GATCTTTTCGAGATTGAATACAACATGAGTTCCATGACTGTCATCCGCAATCCACAAAGTATTTTGAGGACATCAAGAATTTTTCCTTCCTTATTGAGGCTGGAAGGATTGATTATCCAAGCCAAAGGTTCAGGTTGCTGATACATCATCACAGGTAGGTATAATGCATGGAATGGAATCATTTTTATTGTCCTAATCAATGATTAGTGCTCTGGCATGATGTACTGTTGTATTTAAGAAGATACTGTACTTTTCATGGTACAAACGAAAGAGTTTGCATTATTGACAAGTAGTAATGTTACCCAAAGTGGCACACCGGCATCTGCAAAATTTCAAACTCCTTGCTTCGCCTGTCAAATCTCTCTGAGATCAACCAGTCTGACTACGTCAAATAATTAACATCTCAACAGTAGTCTAGACTGGTCATGAGTCTACATCCTAGTGACATTGTTCTTGATCTTTTTCAATTGGATGTATGTAGAAAAAAACAAAGGAGTACAAATTTATGAAAATCAATACAGACCTTGAATTAGATGGTCATGGAAGAGGATTGCAATGTGCTGAAGTGGAAGACACTTTGGTAATGTTCCCAGTGATGCAATGTAGAGATTTGCACTATTGCAGGCTTGCAATGTGTTATACTTCAGTTCATACTGTTACAAGAACATCTAGATGCTTGGGCCCCTACCATTTTTCTCCTTATCCTTCTCGTCTCAGCCCTTGCATCACACCCTTACCCCGACCTTGCTCTCATTATCCTCGTTATCCTCACATTCCCCTTCGCTCTCTACCTATTGCTTCAGCAGAGCCAGTACATTTGGCTAGACCCTTTCTCTGACGAAGCATACCCATGCTCCATTCCACCCGATGACTGATCCTGTGGACAGTCCCCTCTACCCTTACCATCTGGACGGTAACCTATGACATGATGCACACTGCATCCCTTTGCTCTGTTTCCTTTTCTCATTCTATGACTCAGTGTGCAGTCACACATTGTACTTATACTTAGACCCGCAGTTGCACAATTGTGCCACTGCTTGTTTCACTTCCTATCTCTGTTCTTTGACTCATTTCTTATTTGCACATTCTGGTTCATCTATGACTCACCTCGAATGTGCCTTCTCCTTTTAGTATCACCCTTCAACCATCTCTTCTTCTGGTAGTATGAGTTATCATTTACTAATATGCTTCCCCTCCTCTATATAAACTCGCTACCATGTAACTAGTTCTCTAACTTGAATCTACTTGGTTCTTGATCTCCTACTCTCATCAGAGTGATTCTCTCAGCCTAGCCAGCTGTCTATATTCTACTTTCTTATTTGCTCATTGCAGATAAGTCTCTAGTTTCGATCTTTACTCATTGACTTCGTCGTTGAGCAAAGCCCCTGTTATTAGTCGGACTTCTGTCCTTCTATTAACACAGATCTTACAATTAACCTTCAGATGTCGTAAGCCTTGGCAGATATGCTTATCGTCGAGCTCCGCTTGACATAAGCTACCCAATTTAGACATAGGCATAAAACCTTGCTTGCTGAAGCCTCACCAAGCAAGACTCCTAACCTTGGGCTAGCCCAAGGACATCCTCAACTGTTGATGACACATGCTCTGTTTGAGCATTGCCAACAGACACTATCCAAGTCCATAACACATACCACCTGGATTTGCAGCACCGACTTGCAGCATCATTCCCTGACCTTTCCCCAGTTATTTCCATATCAGGCGATGCTTTCCCACATCACATGACTTTCCCACACCTTGTGATGCCCTCGCATCACTCGCTTTCCTGTGCTTTCATCGCCCTATCATCCAGGAGCATCCATCCATTGTCCAGCAAGTCTCACTGGTATGTATTTTTGCATTTTTCAATATGGCACCATATTAGAGCATGGACCTTGACTCACATACATTATTACATACATTATCTCCTACTCGGCTCACTTAGCAAGATACATATATAGGACCACATTTTTCACCCTTTATTACAGACACCTTACCCTAAGGGAGTTCCCTCATCATGTCCATAGTCAGAGTTAGAATCTATTAGCAGTCCTTTTAGTTGTCATTCATTGAGCCCTCATCTATTGCTTGTTTGATTTCACATCTTCGCATTTTGCATTCCCACGCTCTTGTGCTAATTGTGCGCAAGTTTCCTGCACTTTGCACTTATGTTGCTCACCTCGCACAGTCGCTGCGCGACTGTGGATTTATCTTCCTTGCTTCCCCTTGGATTGAACGCACTTGTCCCTGCAAGCATAGCAGACTAGGCATCACAATAGTAGATCACTATATCAGCTTTTTGTGTCCCTCCCTTAGATTAGTCATTTGATCTTCATCCAGTATATTCTTGCTAGCTCAGGATGACTATAACATACATATAACTCGCTTGAGCATAGAAGTTATGAGTCTGTGTTGCAACAAGACCATTACAGCAGGGTTTTACATATTGCATGTATATTGGTCAATCAATGCTCATTGATTTTTTGTGTACATCAGGAAAAATCTCCCCTAGGTATCACCTGGAAATTGCTTGAACATGGTGTGTATTACGATGTTTTACTGGGTTTTATCATGATATTTCACATTACTGACATTTATATAGTAAACTGCAGTCCCCTGTCAACACCATCACAGTAAAGTGGAGGAAAACACAAAAACATAAAAAAAATGCAAAATGTTTGTAGCATCTACAGTGTACTACTGGTACCTTTCACACCAGATTCACACTTGCTGAGTTAAGGCTTGTACACCACTACTTGAGACAATTTGAGTACCCAGCATTCATATTAGATATCTAAATAGTACTACCAATGCAAAGAATGATTTTTTTTTTGCAATGTTGAATATTGTCATATCCTGTGTTCCGGACCCAGACGTATCACACACATCATTTCTGGATATCCGGATCTGACCGACTTCTATCTATGTCCGGATCCAACCCGCGTCTAACTTCCGTGCCTAATCCCTTTGTACGTTCCTATTCCAGTTAGACTATATATTTTCCATACCTCATTTCACTTCCGCCTTTATTTTCCTCTGTTCTCATCTCCGGGTTCATTTACTATTTTCGATAGACTAGTGTTTGACTTTTCTATACCCTCCATCCACAGCCTCGCATAGCTTCGGACCACACTGGCTTGTCCTCCATTAAGTCCTCCTAGTATATAAACCCTGTAGAATCTATGTACATCTTTAGTTCAAATATTATCTTAGACTCTGCTCATTCTCCCCTCCGTTCCGACTTGAGTTATTCTCTCGTCGACCTCCTGCTAGTCTTAGGGTCGATCCCGATAGACTTATCACCTCCACCTCTACCTTTGGTAGTCCTCTGCTGTTTCCTTTCTAGTTCAGGACATTCATCCGGATTAGTCTTATCACCTGTTCCCGAAATGTCTGCCGGAATTCCCGCGCATCGGACAATCGGAATCTGGACATCGTCCATTAGCCTTCGGAAGTTAGGGGCATGTACTTGGGTAAGGGGCGCAGCACACAAGCTGAAGCCAAGCCTTTCAGATTAAACCCTTGAGCACAATCTTAACAGTATATTCGAACTCACACCTTACCGAGTATACTTACATCGGATTTCATGGCACCTACACAGGTGCAGGCAGTTCTCAACGCAGCGGGTTTAGTAACCGCCTGATGGGACTCTACCCCCATAGTCGATGCCTTCACCAGTTTCTCGCAGCGCCGCGCTAGTGCGCAAGGCCCTGCCTCCAGCATCTCACAACTCATGAATTGCCCACATCCATCTACCCCCACACCCACTCCTGCCGGAAACCTTCCAAACAACGATTCCGATGATGAAAATCCTCTAGGTGGAAACATGCCCAGAGATGGTGGTGGAGATCCAGATGATGAATCTCTGGAAGACCCGACTGACGACGAAAACGAAGGTCTAGGTCCGCAGGACTTGGTTTTCCTCTGCCTATCCCAAGCTATCAATAACCTGGCATGCAACAACCGCCAATCATCCTCCTCCGGCGACTCTAAAGTCAAAATCCGAGAACCAGATACCTTTGACGGCACTGAACCCCGGAAGCTCCGGGCATTCTTTGTCCAATGCAAGCTTAACTTTCAAGCTAAGCCAAAATCTTTCCGTACCGGCCATACCAAGGTCAACTTCGCGCAATCATACCTCAAGGGCATGGCCCTTGAATGGTTTGAGCCGGACCTCCTTTCGGATGATCTAGCAGATCGTCCAGATTGGATGGATGACTACTCCGAGTTCATGTTAGAACTTCAAACCAACTTCGGACCGCATGACCCGGTGTAAAGAGTAGATCTGGGCTGGGCTCTACTGAATGTGAGTCCCTAGTCCTGAGAGATGCGAGTATGCTTCGTCCCAAGAGACAACCTAAGAACTACCTTGATAATGCAAGGGAAGTCTTATACAGTTAGAGAGTAGACAAGATATTTGGAAGAAAACCTCTTTAATGTTTGTCCGTAGTTCTGAGACTACTTCTGAAGTACCGAGAAACTTGTCCGATGCGACCAAAGGTCGTCCGAGGCTGCGAAAGTGTTGTCTGAGGTAGCATGATGCCTTCCGAGGCTTGCGAAGGCTGTCCGAAGGTCTATATATGTCGGTGTGTTGAATAACAGTATAAGACTTTGCGCAACGTCCGAAGTCCAGAACAACGCTAATCTATTGGGAACTCGAGAATAAACAAAGTGCGAAATTGGCAGAGGTCTAGCCAGACAATCGTTCCAAATGAACAAGGATCGATTGTGCAATTTACGATTATACCGAGGTGACTCTACTAATTACTATTCGAAGTACGGGAAGTGAAGTGCCCTATCAGTAGCCAGCGAGCAAGATTATATCCTACTTCCGTGAGAGGCCGGAATCCATAGGCGAAACTAGTAGCAAGATAAGCAAGTCCGAACCTATGTAATAAGCCGCGATGCGTACTGCTTATACATATTCCGAGACTCCCAACAGGATGCCGATGTTATCCGTGTAGCACTAAGATGTAGTCAACATATAGTTATAATAAAGGAAAATGCACCAGCGAAGTCAAAAGGATGAGGATAGGACATGGTATGGTAACTTGCGAGGTTCAGATGGGTCTTGGAACACGAGAACTGCCTGCGGAAGGTTCGGACAAGTGCGCGTGGCCTTCGGAAGGTCAAGGGAGGTCGGGGAATGGTATGAATGTAGGTGTTGGATTGCCTGGTTCCGAGCCCAGCGCCATGACCATTGTTACATCTGCGGGGCCTTAAATACTGACCGTCCTCGGTCACCAATACTTGAATAGACTTAGTGAAAATTCTGCGAATTTGGGCGCACATGACCAAAGTTCCAACAAGGGAAATGATGCGGGGTTCGGTGGTTCGGCGAATTGTGAGAAGTGGACAGAAAAATAGAAGTCCGCTGTGGTGAAATTGTTGTTCTCTATAAAGTCTTGCTCTTTTCTCGCCACTCGTTTCTTTCCTTAACTTTTCACATCACTATGTCCTTTTTCCAGTCCTCTGTTAACCCAGATGCCGAGCACATCATGTGCACATTCCTTGCTCTCGTCGTTGAGCTCGACCAGCTCTTGGCAATCATTCCAGAGGAGGACACTCCCTTCCTCGACAAGGAAGTTTGGTGCCATGACTGGTCCAAGTTTTTCGGAGTACTTCGTTCCTCGAGAGTTTCCTGATGATGCTGATGTTCTATTAGGATAACTTCTCCTCTTGCCAGAAGGAGGCAAAGGAGAAGGGTGTGACTCTCCCAATGTCTGGCAAAATCGCTGCGAAGGGCAATGCCTGCGTTGCCGCCCTTCCGAAGGTTCAAGATGCAGTTTGTGCGATGAAGGAGGAGGCCGCCAAGCAGGCCAAGGCAAAGGCTACAGAGGAGGAACGGGTGAGGCTCGCGGAGGAGGAATGGAAGAGGTTGGCGAGCGAGGAAGCGGCGAGGAATGTTGCCAAGGAGGAGACTACGGCACCGGATGAGGAGGAGAAGGAGTCATCCGAGGAGGAGGAGGAGGGGGAAGATGGTGATGCGGAAGCATCAGGCGACCGGTATGTTCGTCCTAGGGTGAGTCTTTCCTCTTTTTCTTATCTTATGTACTTAACGTTTTTCCTCAGACAGGTCGCATGTCGACCAAATCTACGCCGGCAATCCGGTACTCTAAGCGGTGCGCTTGCTGCGAGTGGCAGAATTCCGCCTGCTTTGGTTTGGCGGGCCAGAGCTGCCAACCGTGCAAGAGAGCGCACGTCTGGTGTGAGTACAGCACCACTCCGCCTAGTAAGTTCCTTCTTCCCTTTTCACTTACTCATACTAACACTTTTCTCTAGAAGGCAAGAAGGCTGTGGCGGCAACTCTGGCGCCGGTTGCTGGGCCTTTTCGCCCCGCAGCTGTTCCGGTGGCGTGGGCCATCTCTATCTCAGAGGACGATCACGTCGCGCCTCGCCTGGTCGCAAGAGGCTCGAAGAGGAAGGCCGTGGAAGCATTGGAGGAGGAGGTGGAGACTTTGGATGAGGTGGATGAGGCTTTGCAGAAGCAGTTCGAGGTGATGGAGGCCAAGTGTGTTCAGGCGGAGGGGATAGTGAGGGAGATGTGGATCGGCATGGACCTTATCGCTAGAATGATCACGAAGCGGTGCCGCATGCACAAGTAGCTATTTTTACTTTACTTTCTTTTTCTCATGCAAAGTCGCCGCCTTCGGGCCAATACCACAGAGTTCCGGTCCTTCCTGTGTGAATGTCTTGATCCAATACCATGTCCTCTTCCTGTACCTGTAAGAACTTTGCTGTGCCTAAGAATTGAATATAAGAAGTTTTTAAGCGCGTGATCATCGGAAGAAGATTCGGAACTAAGAGATCAAATACGGATCGTGCAGAGTACCATCCGTCTTATCTTCGTCGATTTGCTGTCTGCTTCTATTCCTTCAGATGCTCGGATTGTATTCCCTTGGTTCTGGAATTATCAAAGTGTGTGGTGCACTACCTCCGCATGAGAAGAAAAATATGTACAGTAATGTTCGGTGCACAGGGGTATATCTCAGAAGTCTATTGCTCGTTCTCGGAAATTTTGTGTGGCTAAATAAGAGTCTATACACTTGCGCACGGATAATATGTAAGTGGTTTCGGAATGTTTGGAGAGAAAGGGAGAATGGAGATCACCAGATGAAACCCGGGGTAAAACAGAGACTATCATACTAGAGATGGTTTTATTTGTTGAGTCTGAACTCAATATCTTCGTCTTCTGGCTCTTCTACCACTTCACTCGCAATTTTGTCCAAAGCTTTGTCGTCCATACCAGTGATTCTGGTTACCAATACTTTGGTGTTGCTTCTCGGGTAGTACGGTAGCAAGCGAAACACCACATATCATAACTTCGATACTGTTCCGTCTAACTCGCCTAATACGTATGATTCTCCGAGAGTCTGGCGAAGGACAATCATTGGTCCGATGTACCTCGGCTTTGTCTTCCGGTTTAGCTCGTACTCTATCTTCGAGTTCCGCACAAGCACTAAGGTGCCCGGAGCGAAGTCGTGATCTCAGATGGTGTTTCAGAACTTCATTTCAAATTCTCGGATGGACCGGAACCTTGCTTTTGTGACTTTGTCTTTGACGGAATCTAGATCTTCCTGCCGCTTCATAAGTTGGTGGGCGCGCCATGCTATAAGTTCGTCGGAAGTTAGTTTCTCTTGGTTCGGTAAGTCAACTAAGAAGGTTGCTTCGGCGAGATCAAAAGGAAAGATTGGTTCTACTCCATGTACCATGAAATGCGGCGAGAGTCTGGTGGATACCTGGATGGTTACTCTCTCAGCCCATAGTACCGCATGCGCAAATTGATACCAGCGAGACTCATCCCCCTCGCAACTTTTCATGATGGCCTCCCGGACATCTCGGTGACGTTGCTCAATGATTCCGTTAGCTTGCGAATTGTACAGTGATATTCGGACACGGTTGATGCCGTATCGTGCGACGAGGTCCTCCATTGCTGATATAATGGTTGGGGCGTTGTCGGTGACAATTTTGGTGATTGGACCCCATCTGCAAATTAGCTCTTCAAAGATAAATGATGCGACAATCTTCGCAGATTCCTTGCGGAGCATCTGCCATTCCGGAAATGCGGTGAGCGCACAGCGAGCGTGGATGATTCGGTCAAACCCGCCAGCCCTCGGCATCATCATAATGTCGAAACTTCTGGGTCTGTCGGATCTGGCACTCGTGACAGCTCCTGTCATACCATTTGATGTCATCAGTCATTAGCAGCCACCAAAATCTGAGAAGAAGACGGATTCGGATCGTAAATACTCCCTTGTGCCTGAGGTCATCATGTGCCTCTTTGAGTAGCTGATACCGCTTTGCTTCGGGGACAACAAGCTGATGCTTCCCCTGTGTATGTTTCCTCCATAGTCTTCCATCGAAGATGAAATACTGTCGACATGCGCTGATGAAAGTCTCGAATTCTTCATCTGAAAGTTCCGAGGGTCGTTCTCGGTTCTCTAGGAATTTCTGAATTTTCAAGATTCTCGCATCTTGCGCTTTAGCAATCTCGGAGTGCGGGATGCGGATATCGTCGGAACCACCTTCAGTGGTATCTAAAAATGCGGAAAGGACGGTGGGATGGGTTAGCGGGTTTGGTACGGATACGGTATACAGGTAGTGCAGGTTATCGGAGTCTATCTGCACAATAGCATAAGTGCGGTCATTGAGAATTTCCATAGAAAATGAGTATGAGCGGTCGAGCCAGTCCTCATGGTCGTTGCTTTCATCCGGATCTTTGGGTGCACGGGGTCTCCTTGAGAGTCCATCAACACCTGCGTGCTTCACTGCGGGAACATGAATTAGCGAGAATCGGAATAAGAGAATACCAGCGATCCATTGGTTGATCGTCGCATTAGGCTGGAGATCGGGGTTATTAATCATCCCTTTAATATACTTCGTGTCGACCTCAACCGTGAGGTTGGTGACACCAAAAATAAAAACTCGGACTGCGCAAAGTGCGTGGAACAATCCATATAACTTGAGTTTTGCTTGCGAATAGCGGGTTTCTACTTCCGTAAGCGCGATGGATCCGAAGCGGTTCGGGTAGCGTTTTCCGTCTTCGCCGACTTGGAGAAGAATAAATCCCATGGCAATGTTGGAGGTGTCAACAGCAAGGATGACTTCGCGACCACATTCATAGTCAATCAGACGGAGTGCGGGAGATTCTAATATCAAGTCCTTGAGTGTCTGCATTGCTTCCTGTTGTTCCGATCCCCATACGAATACTGCGTCCTTGCATGTAAGGTTGACGAGAGGTCGGGCAATCTTGGAAAAATTCTTAATGAAGATATGGAGGACTCCACATGTTCTGAGGAAGCCCCGCACTTGCGTGACGTTGCTACACTTGGGCCAATCTTGGATTTTCTGCACTTTGGACTCTTCGGGAACCCTGCCTTCAAATGTGCATTTGTGACCGATGATGATAGCGGTTGGCACGGCTAAAATGAACTTAGTAGCAGATACAGTCACACCAATGTTTTTGAGCCTCTGGAGTATGCGATTGATTACCCTGCAGTGCTCCCATATAAACCAGCAGATTCCTGGGTTTTCCGGAATAGTCTCATATGAGCCGTCAGCTCGCTGATACCGAGTTTTTACTGATTTAACAGGGACATCATCAATAAATGGAGAAGTATACTCTGGTATCTTGTGCTGCAGAATAAACACCGTATCCCCTTGGTATACTTGGACTGCGTTAGCGTGACCTTGCGGCAGCATAGTTAACCGATGAGGTCCGAGTGGGGTCCCGAAGGTCATCAGGTCGCGCGAGTCCTCATGCAACGCTCGCTGATCATAACCTGAGTACAGATCCATCATACCATATACCGCGTATCCTGCGAAGGACTCGGTGTTACAATGACATTTACTCCTATTTTATTTTTCCATTCTTGTAACCATGCCGCCGACTCTAGACCCTTCTAGACTCGGCTATTCTCTCATCAAGCGGGCTGTCCGCACTTCTCTTCCTTTTGATTGTAACATAGATACTATCTTGCGCCACATGGCGGTTTCACCTATTCTTGCTATCTTGATAGGTTGTACTATTCTCCTATCTTTGTTACCATTCTTGTCGCGGCTGCGCCGCTCCCTTCTACCTATATAAACCCCATGTACCATAGTTGTATTCCTTAACTTAATCTACTGGGTTTTCCCCTTGAAACCTGATCTACAAGGTCTCCACCCTTGTAGCCTGATACTTGATTCTAAGACAGTCACTCACTGTCTTAGCCTGAACCCTTGACTGCGGTAGAAGTGCTAAAACCACTCGCCGCTGATCCTACATAGAAGCTGCCGCGCTCGTGTAGAAGGAACCCTTGAACCAGAAACCTTCCTTGTACTAGGAAGGCCAATGAACTGTCAACTCGACTGGTCTATCTTTGACCTTTGACAGAAGAACTATCCCAGTCGTAACACTCGGCGAGGTGCTCAATGAACAGCGGGACTGAGGAGTCTCGTATGGTTACCGCATTGAGCGGCTGCAAGTCGTGAACTAGATGCAGGGACTTTCCGTCTTTCTTGACAACACAGAACCAGCAAGAGCGGTATGTGGCGGTAGACAGTTCATAGACTCCGGAGTCGATTTTCTCTTTAATGATTCGGATAACTTCGCCGACAGTTGCGGGTGGAATAGGGATGTTGCACTGAGACCATGGGGTATGCGGGATCGTCGGAATTCTGTACGGCAGAAAATAGGTTTCATTGAGACATCCACATTTGCTTGCATCCCAAGCGAATGCCATTTCGTGTGCTCTAACGAGCCAATGTACGAGCTTCAGTTCTTCGGGCCATAACCAATTTGCCGGGTCTAAGTCTAGGTTGTCGGATCTCTCTTGCGTGTAGTGGATGCCCAGAACGAAGTCGGGCAGAATGGATGGCAGTGTAGGCATGCCGGCCAAAGGATCATCGGGTAATTTCCTTATAACTCTATATTCGGGGGGCATAGCCATTTGTACAGTCCGGACTTTCTTCGCGACTGGCTTATAAACCAGCGCGCGCTTGGTTTTGTTGAATGAATATACACTGTTGAAGGCATGGACAGATGAGCAATTAAAGACCGAACGGGTTGTTATGAGATAATTATAATGCGCCGAGGGGCGCACAACAAGAGGAATGTGCAGGGTATTAGTGCTCTGTGAGAGCAAGGTTTGCGCGGATAGCGCGAGGCGGTGATTAGTTTCAGAATTTAAATTATAAGGAATGATGGAGGATGTGACAGTTCATAAGTCTCCCCGTGGTAGCAGATCATCGGTACTTAAAAACCCTTCGGACTTGGATGGTCCACACACAACATATTGTGCCTACACTTAGCACACTTTCTAGCCCAAGGTTCCATAGGTATCCTGATAATTTTGCCGGTGTTCGGATCGGTGAGCGTGACATCCTGATCGCCATTAGGAAGGTCAGTGGTTAGACAACTGGTTAACATAAAGAATGGCCTGCCGAGCAGTATGTCGAAGTTGGCCGTCGGGATGATCTGAACCTGGAACATCATATCCCCTGTTCCAAAGTCCAGCGAAAAGTTTTCCATGATGCCTAGTGTTGAATCCGTTGACGTGTTGACTGATTCCATGGTCATCTGGTAGTCTGAGCAAAGCGGAACTCCACCAAGCAATCGCCAAACTGCTTGTGGCATTATGATGACCTTGGCGCCTTGATCGAGGACACAGGAGAGTACCCGGCCCCCTCTCATAGCGCCTCAGATACATTGCAGGGCTTTAAAATGGTCAGCGATGATACGACCATCCTCAGCTCGCTTCATATGCTCTTCCCAGTCCCTCAGGAATTGTTCCGTCTGAGGAAGGCTACTGAGCTCATTTACCAGTACTGCACCAACCGTGACTCATTTAGACATTGTAAGGTCTTTTATCGCCTTCTGGATATCCGGCGAAGCTGCGATTATGTCCCTTATCGGCAAACTTATGTCTGTATCCAGGATCTTATCAACGACCCTCTTTTCTGTGTCCTTATCTCCTAGCGGGAATGCATAGCAATATTGCGGTGCTTGCAGTGATGATGTGGCGGCGGCCAGAGTTGCGATAGGTGCCTTAGTAGCCAGTTTTAAGACAGAGGTTCTGGGGTTCAGTGCTTTCCCAGTCTTTGCCTCTTTCACTTGCAGAGATACGATCTCCTCCATTTGTTCTGAGGTTTTTGACGATGGGCCCAGCCTCGGGCATGACGATACATCGATGCTGTCGAACCGTACACCTTTCCCCTTGTTTGTCTTCTTCGCGCGTCTGGCGGTAAACACTGCGTATTCTTGGTTCGCTAGTCGGATCCTGCGGTTAGCTGCAAAGAGGTTGTGATGAGCAGAGTGATATTCAGAGTGGGGATCTTTGGTCTGGACAGCGAAGGTAGGGCTGCGACATGTTGTCTCAGCGGAGGTTTCGGTAGTTGCGGGGTTACGTCGAGAAAAGGGTTATCTGGTGATGGCGCGTGGGGAAATGTCGTGTTGCAGCTTTCCAAATCTAAATAAAATAAGGAGTGGATTGAATTTAAAGGATCGTCTGTGTCTTCTTCTTCCCGACGTTCGGTGAGCTCGGTAGAGTCGAGGGTACTCGGCGAGAGTTGCCGTATCACAATATTTTCGGATGACGATGAATCTGGAATGAACGGTATCAAAATATCTCTTGGAGTAATCTCCAACGTCCGGAGAAAGCAGCGAGGATTAATCCAAAGTTGTTTATCTCCGACTGTAAAGGAGTCCCTCGCAGTGGGCTCCAGTTGTAAAGAGTAGATCTGGGCTGGGCTCTACTGAATGTGAGTCCCTAGTCCTGAGAGATGCGAGTATGCTTCGTCCCAAGAGACAACCTAAGAACTACCTTGATAATGCAAGGGAAGTCTTATACAGTTAGAGAGTAGACAAGATATTGGAAGAAAACCTCTTTAATGTTTGTCCGTAGTTCCGAGACTACTTCTGAAGTACCGAGAAACTTGTCCGATGCGACCAAAGGTCGTCCGAGGCTGCGAAAGTGTTGTCCAAGGTAGCACGATGCCTTCCAAGGCTTGCAAAGGCTGTCTGAAGGTCTATATATGTCGGTGTGTCGATGTGTCGGTATGTCGGTGTGTCGAATAACAGTATAAGACTTTGCGCAACATCCGACATCCAGAACAACGCTAATCTATTGGGACTTGAGAATAAACGAAGTGCGAAATTGGCAGCGGTCTAGCCAGACAATCGTTCCAAATGAACAAGGATCGATTGCGCAATTTACGATTATACCGAGGTGACTCTACTAATTACTATTCGAAGTACAGGAAGTGAAGTGCCCTATCAGTAGCCAGCGAGCAAGATTATATCCTACTTCCGTGAGAGGCTGGAATCCATAGGCGAAACTAGTAGCAAGATAAGCAAGTCCGAACCTATGTAATAAGCCGCGAGGTGTGCAAGAATGCAAGTATACATGTAATAAGCCGCGATGCGTACTGCTTATACATATTCCGAGACTCCTGACAGGATGCCAATGGGATTGTTATCCATGTAGCACTAAGATGTAGTCAACATATAGTTAGAATAAAGGAAAACGCACCAGTGAAGTCAAAAGGATGAGGATAGGACATGGTATGGTAACTTGCGAGGTTCGGACGGGTCTTGGAACATGAGAACTGCCTGCAGAAGGTTCGGACAAGTGCGCACGGCCTTTGGAAGGTCAAGGGAGGTTGGGGAATGGTATGAACGTAGGTGTTGGATTGCCTGGTTCCGAGCCCAGCGCTGCGACCATCGTTACACCGGTCGGAGATGCGGAAATGCAGCTGGAACAGCTCTATATGTGCAACGGACAGCGCATCAACAAGTATGTTGTAGAGTTCCAGCAACTAGCTTCCCAAGTCCGAGGTTGGGGCGACAGAGCTTTGCGCCGTCAGTTATATAACAAACTTCCGGCTTGCATCAAGGACGAAATCAGTTGTCAAGGGAAACCCACCACACTTCCTGAATACAAAACTCTTGCCCAGACTATCGATGCACGATACTGGGAACGCAAGGGAGAAGTCTCCCACAAATCCAAACCCTCCGCATCCGCCCCTCCTGCCAAGCAGTCAGCTCCAACCTCCGACCGGAAAGAGTCCTCTGGCGGAAAGTCCAGAAATGCCTTGGCTTCATCCTCCGCCAAAACTCTGGACTTGACATCCAAGCTCAGAAAAGATGGTAAGCTCACCTCCGAGGAGCTCCAGAGGTGCATGGAAAAGAAGCTCTGCCTCTTCTGCGGCGGACCTGGTCATACTGCCCAGGACTGCCTGAAGTCTACTTCCCATGTGGACAAAGGTTGTGCCAGCATGGTAACTCCGGAAACCAAACTGGAGGTCTCGGAAGAGACAAAAAATTAGTCCGCAACTCTCTTGACTCCGCACGGGACACTATTTCCTTCTCCGATCCAAACTCTTTACTACCCTATGTTTCCATTGCCACTTTTCCTGATATCTCTCCGTTCCCGGCTCTTGTAGATTGTGGTTTCTCCCATTGTTTTATAGAAAGCAAACTAATCCGAGAAAACAACATTCCGACCTATGCAATCCCTCCGCTTCCGCTTCATTTGTTTGATGGTACTTCTAATGCCACGATTACCAAGGCAGTAGATTTACCGATCCATTTTCCGACCGGCATTGTTACCTCCAAAACATTTTATGTTACTCCATTGGACTCATCCTGTTCTATTGTCCTAGGATATAGCTGGCTCACCCGACACAATCCGTTGATTGACTGGGTAAAGGGCAGCATCAATTTCCATCCGATTCCTCATGGAGTGCCTTCACCTTCTCCGAACCCTTTTCCGCCGGCTCTGGCGGAAATCCCCTCCACGACCTCGCCAAGTCCCTCCGCTGATAACGCTGTTCCCAATATTTCTCTAATCAATGCAGTTGCCTTTTGCCGGGCCTGTAAGTTAGAGGGATCGGTCCAGTTCAGTGTTTTTGTCTATCCTTCTGGTGTCAATCTCTGCTCCGCTACACTCTCCTCCGAACCTCCGGACCTATCCGGAATTCCTTCGGAATACCATGAGTATGCGGATGTCTGTGATAAGGGCAAAGCTGGACAGCTCCCTCCTCATCGTCCCTATGATCTAAAGATCAATTTAGAAGAAGGAGCGGCTCCGCCCCTTGGCACCATCTATTCCCTCTCTCCAGTTGAGCTTGTAGCTCTTCGCAAATTCCTTGATGAGAATATTGCGACCAGACTTCTCCGCTCCTCATCCTCTCCACACGGAGCCCCTGTCCTGTTTGTCAAGAAAAAGGACGGCTCCCTGCGTCTCTGTGTAGATTTCCGAGGACTCAATAAAATCACTAAAAAAGACTGCTACCCGCTTCCCCTCATTTCCAACCTTCTCGATTCTCCGAGCTGCGCTAAAGTTTACACTAAGATCAACCTCCGGTCCGCTTACCATCTAGTCCAGATGGCGGAAGGAGATGAGTGGAAAACTGCTTTCCGGACGTGCTACGGCTCATATGAATGGTTGGTTATGCCCAAGGGTCTCACCAATGCTCCGGCGGCTTTCCAACAGCTTTGTCAATACCATCTTCGCCGATATGCTTGACATTTGTGTTATTGTGTACCTCGACGACATCCTCATCTATTCCGCAGATCTTGCATCTCATAAGCAACATGTCCTTGAAGTCCTCTGATGCCTCCGGAAGCATCAGCTATATGCCAAACCGGAAAAATGCGAATTCCATTCCGACTCGGTGGAATACCTTGGTTATCTCCTATCTCCGGCCGGCCTTACCATGTCTACGGACAAAGTCCAAACTATCTGCGACTGGCTGGAACCACGGAAAGTTAAGGATATTCAATTGTTCCTCGGATTCGCTAATTTCTATCGTTGCTTCATCTTTAACTACTCGGATATTGTTGTCCCGCTTATGTGGCTCACTCGCAAGGATGCTCCCTGGAATTTCTCTGAAGATTGCCGGAAATCTTTTGATACTCTCAAGAAAGCCTTCACTACCGCTCCACTGCTTACACACTGGATGCCAGATGTTCCTATCGTCGTTAAGACGGATGCTTCTGATTATGCGATCGCCGGAATACTTTCTATAGTATGTCCAGACCAGGAACTCTGCCCGGTTGCTTTTTACTCCCGGACCCTTTCAGCTCCGGAGCTCAACTACAACACGCATGATAAAGAATTACTAGCTATCTATGAAGCTTTCCGTTCCTGGCGACATTACCTTGAAGGCTCTGCTGAGCCGATAGACGTCATCACGGACCACAAAAACATTGAGTACTTTGCCACCACAAAACTCCTCACCCGCCGCCAGGCCCGCTGGTCGGAATACCTTCATTAGTTCAACCTCATCATCCATTTCCAACCCGGAAAACTCGGAGCTAAGCCCGACTGCCTAACTAGACATTGGGACGTCTACCCCAAAGAGGGGGATAAGGACTACGCTCAAGTTAATCCACACAATCTCCGGCCGATATTTATCACAGAACAGCTCGCTTCGTCCTTCCAGGCATCACAACTAGCAATTCCGGTTCTCCGGGCGGCTATACTGATGGATGTCGAGCAGCTTCATAAGGACATCTTGTCTGCCCTTCCTAATGACCCGATCACTTCCAGTCATCTTCCGGGTCCATCAGACCCGAGATGGACAGTGAACAAGAGTGGTCTCCTCCATTGCGACAACCGTATTTACGTTCCAGAATCTAATGACCTTCATCTCCGAGTGCTCCGGAATATGCACGACCACCCGCTATCCGGACATTTCAGCCAGAACTGGACTCTGGAAGTTATCCGTCTGGAATATACTTGGCCCAGAATCCACACATATGTCAAGGACTATGTTAAATCCTGTACGACCTGCACTCGAGCCAAAGTTCTGAGACACAAACCATACGGATTGTTGAAGCAACTCCCCATCCCCGAGAAACCGTGGAATTCTATATCCATGGACTTCATCGAACAACTCCACGACTCCTCCAGCTTCACCGCCATTCTGGTAGTCATAGATCGACTATCCAAGCAATCAATATTCATTCCAACCTACAACACCATCACCTCTCCGGACCTCACCTGGATATTTCTCCTCCATGTGTTTTCCAAGCACGGAGTTCTGGCTCATGTTACTTCCGATCGTGGCACGGAATTTGTCTCCCACTTGTTTTGGTCGCTCGGAAAAGTATTAGATATGGTTCTTCATTTCACCTCTGGATATCATCTGGAAGGTGACGGACAAACCGAGCGAGCTAACCAAACCCTAGAACAATACCTCCAGATCTGAGCCCCTTTAGTGACAAATTCCATGTTATACAGGTCACCTGACCTACATAATATCCCGTATAAGATGGGCCAGCGGACTGTGGGCCAATGTTATGTATATCCCCGATGTTGATGGATGGGCCAGGAGGGATATTATTTCCGATGGAGATGGGTGGGCCCATCTATGCTGATATTATATATATCCTCAAAGATGTCGGGTGGGCCAATGTAATGGTTTATTGTATAGATGGGTGAGCTGAGGTATAGGAAGTATTTTGTACACAGGTGGGCCGAGGGAGTGGTGGAATATGTATTATATAGATGGGTGGGCTGATGTAAGGGTTTATTGTATAGACGGGTGGGCCGACATACTGGAATTATTTTGTAGACGGATGGGCCGAGGGAGTGGTGGAATATTCATTATATAGACAGGTGGGCTGATGGAGGGAGATGTTATATAGACAGGTGGGCTGATGGAGGGGGATGTTATATAGATGGGTGGGCCGAGGTAGTGAGATATCTGTCTGACATTCACGGATTACCGAGTCCCAGATGCCCAAAAACCGAATCCCATTGTGCAACATCCATTCCAGACACCCGAACACCCCACCAAGTGCCGAGTGCCAAGGCCCGCACCCCGATGTCCGAAACCCGAAGCCCGAAATCCGAAAATATGTATACAACATATCCATATTTCCCTCACTGCACAAATCAGCGGGTGTCGAGTGCCAAAACCCGAAACTCAAAGCACAGTACAAAAATCACCAAGTGCCGAGGCCCGATGTCCAAAGCCCGAAACCCGAAGCCTGAAACCCGAAAATATGTGTACAACATATCCATATTTCACTCATTGCACAAATCACTGAGTGTCGAGTACCAAAACCCGAAACTTGACACCTGGTACACAAATCACCAAGTGCCGAGTGCCGAGGCCCGAAGCCCGATGTCCGAAGCCCGAAACCTGAAAATATGTATACAACATATCCATATTTCACTCATTGCACAAATCACTGAGTGTCGAGTACCAAAACCCGAAACTTGACACCTGGTACACAAATCACCAAGTGCCGAGTGCCGAGGCCCGAAGCCCGATGTCCGAAGCCCGAAACCTGAAAATATGTATACAACATATCAATATTTCACTCACTGCACAAATCACCGGGTGTCAAGTACCGAAACCCAAAACTTGACACCTGGTACACAAATCACCAAGTGCCGAGTGCCAAGGCCCAAAGCCTGATGTCCGAAGCCCGAAACCCGAAAATATGTATATAACATATACATATTTCCCTCACTGCACCAATCACCAAGTGTCAAGTACGGAAACCCAAAACTCGACACCCGGTACACAAATCACCAAGTGCCAAGTGCCAAGTGCCAAGGCCCGATGTCCGAAGCCTGAAACCCGAAAATATGTATACAACATATCCATATTTCACTCATTGCACAAATCACCGAGTGTCAAGTACCGAAACCCGAAACTCGACACCCGGTACACCCATCACCAAGTGCTGAGTGCCGAGTGCCAAGGCCTGAACCCCGATGTCTGAAGCCCGAAACCCGAAACCCGAAAATATGTATGCAATATTTCCATTTTTTACTCATTGCACAAATCACTGAGTGTCGAGTGCCAAAACCCAAAACTCAAAACCCGGTGTGCAATAGGCAAAGATAATGAAAACATGGAAGTTGTTGTCTGAGTCTAGGTGAGTGTATTGGTAGTCTTTTCTTGTCCATCGGTTATCATTTGACCAAGATATAAGCTAAAGAAATCTGAAACATCGGTGAGAATGAAAAATGAAAGTTGTAGTCCAAGTCAAGGTGAGTGTATTGGTAGTCTTTTCTTGTCAATTGGGTATTTCATTACTTGGTACTCGGTACTTAGAAATCAGTACTCAGTACTTGGTTCTGATACTCGGTACCTGGTGTAATGATAGTTGCGGCACTGGGCTCAAAACCCATGTTTTTGATACTCACATTAAACAGTATTTGTCCAACACATCCCTGACATTCTGATCCTGATCCTGACGCCCGACCCCGGCCTGAAAGTTTCGGACTCATCCTTCCTATGTCCTGTCTAGTCGTATCTATCCCCACTGGTGCATATTTACTCGTTTTCGCATTATTGAATATTACAGACAGCGTTATTACATGTAAGCATAGACCATTGCACTTTTGACATTTTTCACGATTTTCAGTATCTTGCCCTTGCATCCATGATCCAACCTTTTAATATATAATGAGCATAGCTTATATTATTGCCTCTTATGACCAAGATCAGCTCACAATAGGCTGGAGTTTGTGAGCTAGTGTGCATACTTGCCATTTCTCCTGATAAGGGGCCCATACCTTCAAAACATTGAATCTTCATGATCAGAAACCTGTAGTACATTTAAAATATATTAAGTATCATAGACATAAATTTACAGACAAATCCACCAAGAATTGAGTACTGAGGAAGTGAAATAGATAAGAAATGGAGTGTGGGAAACTTCAAAGACCCAAAGCATCGAAAATGGTCAGTGAAGCAATAATAGGACTTTAATGCTGAGTCAACTTGTGTTTTCACTATATCCCTTCCACCCACCTCCTACCCTCAAGGCAGTAGGCAGTATGGGTTCCTTAGGTAGTTTACAATCTATCCTACATATTTTTAATGAAATCTTTGGCCTGAATCATCTATAAATGCGACTTTGTAAAAATATGTCTATTGTCACATTTCACACATATGCCTGTCATTACATCAATCCTTCATGTATCTTTCTAAACTATTAGGGCTATTATAATGGACATATATGGGTGCCACCCCAGGCCTCTGATCCCATCACAGGCTTGTCATGTTGGATATCTCAACATAATGTGCAAGTCTCACTATTAATATTTATTCTTTTATCTTTATGCTCACTTACTGCACACATGTACAAATGCACACATCATCTTTACATCATTGCTAACATGCCAGACAAATATATAATCCTCATACCTGCATCATCCTACCTCAGTCTATTTGTTCTCAGACTGAGGTATGACTATACATTCATTATCATACTCGACACTGACTAACATTTAACGTAGTCTTCAAATAATCCCCAATTGACAAGAATGACATGAGTATGAAAATCAGTGGTTCTGAGCCCAGCACCGCAACCATCACTACACTGAGTACCAATACTTGGTAGGACCACCAATACACTCACATAGACTCGGACTACAACCTTCATTGAGAAAGTTAAGCATAATAATAATTTTCATTTTTTCATTATCATTTTCCTATATTGACTAGTGAGTCCCGAGTCCCGACCCTTGGTAGTCAATACAATTCCCAAGTTATTTGAACCCTACATCAATGGATAATACATAGAAATACAGAATTCATGTCCAGTTGTAGTCACGTGTACTGGGTGTTGAGTTTTGGGTTTCGGTACTCGACACTCAGTGATTTGTGCAGTGAGAAAAATATGGATATGTTGGATACATATCTTTGGGTTTCAGGCTTTGGATGTCGGGCCTCGGCACTCAGCACTCAGCACTTGGTGATTTGTGTACTGGGTCTCAAGTTTTGTGTTTTGGCACTCGACACTTGGTGATTTGTGCAATGAGTGAAATATTGATATGTTGTATACATATTTTTGGGGTTCGGGGTTCGGACATCGGGGTGCGGGCCTCGGCACTCGGCACTTGGTGATTTGTGTACCAGGTGTCAAGTTTCGGGTTTCAGTACTTGACACTTGGTGATTGGTGCAGTGAGGGAAATATGGATATGTTGTATACATATTTTTGGGTTTCGGGCTTTGGACATCGGGCTTCGGGCCTCGGCACTCGGCACTCGGCACTTGGTGATTTGTGTACCAGGTGTTGAGTTTCGGGTTTCGGTACTTGACACTTGGTGATTGGTGCAGTGAGGGAAATATGGATATGTTGTATACATATTTTTGGGTTTCAGGCTTTGGGTTTTGGGCTTCGGGGACATCAGGCTTTGGGCCTCGGCACTTGGCACTCGGCACTTGGTGATTTGTGTACCGGGTGTCGAGTTTTGTGTTTTGGCACTTGACACTCGGTGATTGGTGCAATGAGTGAAATATTGATATGTTGTACACACATTTTCGGGTTTCAGGCTTCGGGTTTCGGGCTTTGGAAATCAGGGCTCGGGCCTTGGCACTTGGCACTTGGTGATTTGTGTACCGGGTGTCGAGTTTTGGGTTTTGGACTCGACAATCGGTGATTTGTGCAGTGAGGGAAATATGGATATGTTGTATACATATTTTTGGGTTTCAGGCTTCGGGTTTCGGACATTGGGCTTCAGGCCTCGGCACTTGGCATTTGATGATTTGTTTAATGTAAATGAAAAATGGGCATGTTGCATACCAGGTTTCAAGTTTGGGGTTTTGGCACTCGACACTTGGTGATTTGTGCAATGACTGAAAAATGGATATGTTATATACATGTTTTCGGGTTTCAAACATCGGGTTTCGGGCCTCGGACTTTGGGGTTCGGCCCTCAGCACTCGGTACTTGGTGATTTGTGCAATGAATGAAAAATGGACATTTTGCATACATGTTTTTGGGTTCCGGGCTTCGGATTTTGGGTCTCAGGCTTTGGGTCTATCAGCACTCGGCACTCGGTGATTTGATAAATGGACTTTCAAGCTTCAGGCTTTGGGTGTTCAGGTGTTCATGTGTTTGGTGTAAGGAAATAGAAATTTCACACATTTTCACAAGTTTCCAGTTTCCAGTCTTGAGCTTGGGGTGTTCAGGTGTCCAGAATGGATGTTGCACAATGGGATTCGATTTTTGGGCATCTGGGACTCAGTAATCCGTGAATGTCAGACAGATATCTCACTACCTCGGCCCACCCGTCTATATAACATCCCCCTCCATCGGCCCACCCATCTATATAATGAATATTCCACCACTCCCTCAGCCCATCCATCTATACAATAAACCCTTACATCGGCCCACCCATCTATATAATACATATTCCACCACTTCCTCGGCCCACCCATCTATACAATAAACCATTACATCGGCCCACCCGACATCTTTGAGGATATATATAATATCAGCATAGATGGGCCCACCCGTCTCCATCAGAAATAATATCCCTCCCAGCCCATCCATCAACATTGGGGATATACATAACATCGGTCCATAGTCCGCTGGCCTGTCTTATATGGGATATTATGTAGGTCAGGTGACCCATATAATACAGAAATATGTCACTGTAATATGTGGCACAATGATGTCCCAGTCCTGGGCGATTGGACCATTGAGGAGAGAATGTTGTGCTAATAGAGAGGTGTTAAGGTTCTGTTGCCAGACACGTAAATGTGATGGTGATTTGATCCGGTTTTCAGGCATTGCTGGGGGGTAAGGACCAGTAGGCTTCTGTGCTTGATGGTGTTACAAATGAAGTGACCTCCACTGTTGAGGGAGCAGGTGTGGAAGGGAGGAGGGGAGGTGACAGGTCCTTGGGTGTTCGAGGTGCCTTGTTGGAGTTCCACAGATTGAAGGGAGTGATGGGGATTGAGTTTGGTCCTGTCGGTGTACTTGAGGTAGGTGCTTGAAATCCTCGATGACCTGGGTGGAATGGTGCACCCCTTGAGTGATAGGCTCCTCATGGTGGGCATCTAGATTTAAATGGGAGATTTGTTTGCCATAGGGAAGGTCGAGGTAGGGTCAGGAAAGAAGGGCATAGAGTTTTCAGGGTGCTTAGTGTCAATGCCTGCGCATTTAGATTCAAATTCAGGACACTTTCTATCCCAGCTGGTGTGACTGTTAGAGTTGCAACTAACACAGAAGAAGGTGCAGTAAGCATTGCAATCGTCTGTGCGATGGTTTTTACCGCATGTGCCACATACGTCTTGCGGGGCTTGGCAGTCCTTAGCAATATGGCCCCACAATTGACAGTATACGCAGCGTGTGGGTTCCCGTTTGTCCTTTCAAGGGTGTAGTTTTTCCTGGCCAATGTATATTCCATCCCGAAGTGTAGTGTTGGCTGAGTGGGGGTCTGCAAAGTGGAAAATCGCATGTGCGACACACTGTTGAGGGCTTCTTCTTTGTTGAGGTTTGATCCAATTAACCAATTCAATGGTGCCTGTGGTCATGCTGTTTTCTTCTTCAATTGTGCATAGCCATTCAGGGTCTTCTATATGTAAACTGATGGATAGGAATGGTACTATGATGGAGAAGTGTCATTCCTTGATGGTGGTGCTGATCCCGAGGGCTTTAATGATCTTGAGCCGATTAGACGGTGTCCTAATCCAGGTGGCAGCTTCTGAAGTGGTAAGTTCTATGATAAGTCCTCCGTTCCGAAGGCAGGTGATGGCTTTGATTTGGGTAGCTGGCATGTTGTCTGATTCTATTGCTGCAAGGGCCTGTTTCATCTTGCTTGCTATTTTGGCAGGAGACACTTCGGGTGCAAATAGGGTCTGGCCTGGTACTGAGTCGAATAGTATTTGCCGGTCCCTTGTTGATGCACGAATAAGTGCAGCCGAGATCGGAGCCAGGGTTGGTATGTTTTGTTGAACTTCAGCACTGTATGTCTTTGGAGATCCTGGTAGGGCTGTGGAGGGGTGTGTGAGTGATTCTATTGCATCTTTAACATTGGAAATGCTGCTTAGGACGGCTTCTGCTGCAAGTTCTGCACGGATTGCAGCTGCAGACGCAGAGGTGTTGTCTTCTTTTGAATTTTCTTCTATTGTAGATTTGTATTTGGTGATGGCATCGATGTTAAGTTTGAGGGTATCTGATGCTGTTAAAATGCTGGCTACTTGAGGCGAGATGGCTGCAATAATGTGGGTGGATAGCATGTTTGAGAGGTTGTCAATAACTTGGGTTGAAAGGGAGGTCGAAAGAGAGTTTGACAGTCGCTGGATGAGCATTTGGTCCTCTGTTGCAGTCTTGAGGCCGTCTTCGAGCAGCAGAGCTATGGCCCTGAGTCCTTCTATAGTGGTGCGTGGAATACCTGTGTACTGTGTGATGTGAAGAATTGTGAATACTAAACTATCATTTGTTAGTGGTTCCCCTGAGCGATGGAAAGGAGATTTCTCTAGGAATGATATACCACTTTCTTTGTCTTTTACTTCATAATCCTGCTGAATAATTTCATCTCTTGGTAACAGCAAGGAAATTGTGTTACAATGTGATGCTCTAGTTCTGTTAGTTGGGGTTGGAGCCTGGTGTAACGATGGTCGCGGTGCTGGGCTCGGAACCAGGCAATCCAACACCTACGTTCATACCATTCCCCAACCTCCCTTGACCTTCCAAAGGCCGTGCACACTTGTCCGAACCTTCTGCAGGCAGTTCTCGTGTTCCAAGACCCATCCAAACCTCGCAAGTTACCATACCATGTCCTATCCTCATCCTTTTTGACTTTGCTGGTGCGTTTGCCTTTATTCTAACTATATGTTGACTACGTCTTAGTGCTACATGGATAACAATCCCATTGGCATCCTGTCAGGAGTCTCGGAATATGTATAAGCAGTACGCATCGCGGCTTATTACATGTATACTTGCATTCTTGCACACCTCGCGGCTTATTACATAGGTTCGGACTTGCTTATCTTGCTACTAGTTTCGCCTATGGATTCCAGCCTCTCACGGAAGTAGGATATAATCTTGCTCGCTGGCTACTGATAGGGCACTTCACTTCCCGTACTTCGAATAGTAATTAGTAGAGTCACCTCGGTATAATCGTAAATTGCGCAATCGATCCTTGTTCATTTGGAACGATTGTCTGGCTAGACCGCTGCCAATTTCGCACTTCGTTTATTCTCAAGTCCCAATAGATTAGCGTTGTTCTGGATGTCGGATGTTGCGCAAAGTCTTATACTGTTATTCGACACACCGACATACCGACACATCGACACACCGACATATATAGACCTTCAGACAGCCTTTGCAAGCCTTGGAAGGCATCGTGCTACCTTGGACAACACTTTCGCAGCCTCGGACGACCTTTGGTCGCATCGGACAAGTTTCTCGGTACTTCAGAAGTAGTCTCGGAACTACGGACAAACATTAAAGAGGTTTTCTTCCAAATATCTTGTCTACTCTCTAACTGTATAAGACTTCCCTTGCATTATCAAGGTAGTTCTTAGGTTGTCTCTTGGGACGAAGCATACTCGCATCTCTCAGGACTAGGGACTCACATTCAGTAGAGCCCAGCCCGGATCTACTCTTTACACTGGGCGTCTAAAGTGCCAGTTCCCGTGGGTGCTGGACGTGTCTTTACAGTGGCCATTGTCTCTAAGGTTGACAGTAGTATCTGTTAGAATTTATCCAGGGGTTTGTAGGAGAGGTAGGTGAAGCCTGTGGGGCATCAGTGATGCCTAGAGCACTGGTGAGTGCAGTGTTGGATTCCGAAGTTTCAGGGTCCTATCTGGGGTGCCACTTGGTAATGAACCAAGAAGTGATAACTCCAGCTCTAATCAATAGGATATGTCTTGCGCATTAGCACACATATTTTATTTTGCAGATTTCACGTGTGGCCTCTTGTGTTTGTGCACATTGCACATCCAAACTTGCATCGACTGCACACCTGTCCAGCACCTGCAAAGAAAATGAACAGAGAGAATTTTTAAATCAAGAAATGTACCTTGCAACCAAAGTATGAGATGTAAGTGGAGCATGCCTCTTCCTTGAGCTTCAACTGTGCCATTATAACCTTCAACAATGCCAAAGATTCCACCTCGCCATGTGATCTTTCCCTTGCTGCTTATTGTGATACTAAACAAATTGGCTAGAATGGCTTGGATGATATAATAATAAAAATGGGCAGCTCCAAAGGGATCTGAAGCAACATTCAGGGATCAATGAAATACATCGGGACCCATATCATGATTGAATGCATCCAGATTGATTTCTTCACCAATGAAAACTTGTGCAATAGGATTGTGCATGTCGCTCGGTGAAGGTGAAACAACTCAGCTGTTGGTCAAATGATAGATCTAAAGGAGGGACACAAGAAGCTGATATAGTGATTAGTGATGCCTAGTCTGCTATGCTTGCAGGGACAAGGACGTTCGATCCAAGGGAAAGCAAAGAAGACAAATCCACAGTCACGCAGCAGCTGTGTGAAGCGAGCAACATGCGCGTGAGGCGCGGGAACACGAAATGCAAAATAGCAAAATAGCAAAAATGCGAAATGCAATAAGCAATAGATGAGGGCTCAATGGAAACAAAAGACTGCTAATAAATTCTGAATCTGGCTATGGACATCATGAGGGAACTCCACTAAGGTAAGGAGTGGTGTAATGTGGTAAAGGGTGAAAAATGCGGACCTATATATGTGTCTCGCTAAGTGAGCTGAGTGTGAGATAATGTATGTAATAAGGTATGTAAGTCAGGGTTCATGCTCTAATATGGTGCCATATTAAATAAAAGCGAAAATACATACCAGGGAGACTTGCTGGACAGTGGATGGATGCTCCTGGATGATAGGGTGATGAAAGCATGGGAAAGCGAGCGATGTGTGAGCACGAGGACATTGCACATGCAGGAAAGTGTTGCCTGATATGGAAATAGCTGGGAAAAGGCTAGGGAATGATGCTGCGAGTTGGTGCTGCAAAACTGGATGGTATGCACTGAAGTATAATGTATTGCAGACCCGCAATAGTGTGAATCTCTACATCAGGTTAAGCATAATCCACAATGATGGAGGATTTTTCATCAAAGTCATACCCCATATTAAAGCCCGGATTTTCATGTGTGATTCATCTGTCCTGATGACCTTTGTCCATACTGCATTCACATGTTGTTTGAGAGAGTGAACTATAGGATTGGAAAGTGGCTTATGATTTAATTCCTCGATGCCTGCAACCGTTAGATCATGTGAGGTCAAAGTATGAAAGGCTTCTTCATGATCATGAAATGTCTTCTTCTGAACTTGGAGAATAGCAGCTCGACAGACTTGATGCTTCTGAATTACACCAAAGACTTGAAACATAAAGTGAAGATCTTTCCTGAATCTCTTATCTACGTATCTCATAGCCCATTTAGCATGATTTTTGTATGTGATAGGATGAGGGTGTTTGACCTTAAAGCCTCTCATACCATATGGGAAAAGGCAGGGGAAGGCTTCCAAAAGATGATTTGGATTGTTGGGTTCTCCTGTAGTATGTTCGCCAAGTGTGTTTCGTCGAGGATACTTGTTGACAAAGTTAGAGTCATACTTGATGGTATATCCTTCTTCAACAGATGTAGATGTATTAGTGAATGCATGCGCCAACACTTCATTATTAAATAAATGAACAGCTTCAGAATCCAGAATGTCATGTGATTGAAGAGGCAGCACATTGGTTTCCACTGATACCAATATATTAAAAATGCATGTATGAAAAAATCAAATACTGACCACTCGTAGGACAAACAATATCTTCCTCCATAAGATCTTGCACACTTGCATGTGTATCAAAATTATGATTCACTGATTATATTCATTTGAAATTAGATTGGAATGAAAAAGTAAATACACACATGTTCAATATCATCATCTTCTATAACATAGCCATCTCGTTCTTGCTCTAGCAGGTACACTTCATCCAAAAATTTGATCATGGAAGGTAATTGTGATGGTACTCCATTCTCTGGCAACAAAGTGAGTGCATCTTCAGAAATCTGAATATTATGATAAAGTTCATTGTTTTCCTTCAAAAACAAGAGAGCTGCTTGAACACATAATCAATTGACAGTGAGAATGGATGGAAGTGAACGAGCAGGCAAGTTATGGGGACTAATGATAGAGACCACAATCACTGAAGGCAAAATATCTGGATGATGAGGCAACAAGTCTCCTTCAATCATGTGACAAATATCTTGAGGGTTTAAATGGTATGTAGACACATTACTGACTCCACTATTCAGAGCAGATATATCCCACTGCCTAGCACCTTTTTTTTGAGGATACAACTTGATGATGAATGCTGCAGGATAGTATAGAGCAACAAAAATTCACTCAGGTAGACTGAGGATGCTGAGTTCCCATGGAACAGTGCCGATCCAAAGACCATTAGTGAGCACATGAGCTAAAAGTCAATTGTACTGAATATCATATATGCAAGACATGCAAAAATGACCTGTGAGAACTGCTTGATGAATGGAAATGGCCAGCGTGTACAACAGCATGGAATGAGTAAGTTCTTGAGCGGGATGAGAGCACTCAAGGGAAGGAACCAGATGATAACCATTAGGAAGAGACATAATGTCAATCAAGGATGTGTCAGAAGACATGAACTCGCCGGCACAAACAATACAAATACTTTGCAGTGTCTGAGCATTACCTGTATGATCAATGAAATTGGCTAAACACTCTTCTTTCACTGATTCTTCAACATCCAGAAGAAAGGAATCAAAATCCAAGTTAGAAGGAAGTTCAGTACTCCCAAAATGTGCACACTTGATTTTGATCATGTCGCTCATCAATATGTGCTTCTTGCTTCCATTCAAAAGCTTCTTCCACCACCTTTCAAAGTTCAGGAGATTGCTCCACTGCATGAAGAAGATCGACCCATCGATGCTGTTCAGTGCAAGAAAAAGCTCCAGGACCTCCTTGAGTAATTATTTCCTTCATAGTCAGACTATTTGCAAGATGCATAACACAGGAAACTTCAGCACTCTGCTCTTTGGCTGTCATAGATGACATTGTTTAGAAGCAAAAGATGACAAATTACCTGAGTTTCAAACTGAACCATAGCTCAGTGTAAATTGCCAATGTGTTTGTGAGTGTGTGTGCCTACTACTGACAGTAATCGATTGCATGGATCAAAACATCTTGTGCATCAACTGTATCATCAAAAGGTAATCAATCATACACACATCAACTACATACAGCTATCAGTCACGCAGAAAGAAGACAGAAAGAGCACGCCAGCTCCAGACAATTCTCATATGTACTCGCTTTGAACATTTCAGTTGTGGTTGTTACCTTCATATTGCCAATTAAAGGCCAGATCTACTAAATCTTCTGCCAAAACAAGTAACTCTGCATACACAACAGTGGTCGCAGGATTGTTCGCAATCAAGTTGGCAATTCCTATGAATATTTAAGTACACATATTACTGTTATAGGCATCAGCTCTTACAGTTGAACTCTGTGTGGTCAGTATACAAAGCTTCCGTCGCTATGATGGAAGGTGATTGGGTGTATAACATTGTATCTCCTGCAGCTGCGAACTGAGTATGCATCCTCTCATTACATTCAATGTATACATGATTATCCCCCTGAGATTGACATTCTACTAAGCCTCTAGCAGCCAGTTCAGTTACGAGCATGGCTTGTCAATCAATACGCACTGAAAATAAAAGCACAGCAATTGTCAGAGGTGTTCAGCAATTCAAACACAGTTGGTTGCATGGTAGTTTAGATTGTAAATGTGATGTTTAGGAGCACAGACGAAAAAAAAAATCTGAATTCGGAACCCAACCCTAGTCCAGGGCTGTCCTGGGATGGATTGCCAAACATGGAATAACCCTAACCCTTCACTCATAGGACCAATGCAGGTCATCAGAGTCAAAAACTACTAATCCCTTCCAATACTGGAAAAAGTGGTGTTAACTGAATACTTGCATAGAATATACAAAAATTACTCCCATCTGAGTGGAGTTTCAGTTGATGACATGAGCTGGCACCTAAAACACTTACCCTTGCATCCCAGAGACGAGGGCAGAACAAAAAGGTGGAAAACTCAGAAGAATGGTGAAAGCAGAAAGGACTGCTAAAGTGAAAGACATGAGGCTCAATGAAAGTAGATAGGTAGAAAAAATAAGGGATGAAAAGAGTAAAAGATGGTGTGGGACTGCGAATATGATCGTTTGACACCACCATGCTGAGTTACCATTCCCACAAAGCAAAAATTGTCTGGAGCAAGGTCATAAGATAGACCGCAGTCATACTTCACTTGATCACGTGGTGTGACTTTTGTGGTGACCTGACTGTGACCTATGTTACATTTACTATCGACAATCACACTACACATCAGCTTTGTCGAGATCGCGCAAAATACTATCTGGCAGTACTCGGTGGCCTCTGTACTTCTTTGAAGCCCACGCAGCTTGCTTCTCATTCAGTCCTTTGTGGTATGCATCCATGAACTAGTGTAGAGCCTCATGTCTCCACAGGCACTTCCCTCCGAATTCTCCCACTTTTCCTACAAACTCCAGCTCTAATCCACAGGATACGTCTAGCACATTGGCGCACTTATATTTTATTTCGCAGGTTTTGCACACACATCCGCACTCACATTGTCCGTGCACTCCATCCCATGTCCTTAGAAGTTCATTGGTGTGTTTTCCCATCATATTTCCTTTTTGTCTAATTGGTTTCCATTGCTAATACTCAGCTCTGCGCTTCACATGTAACCAAGACCCTATTACATACCTCGTGTACTATTTATATCCTGTTCACCTCATTACATCGGACCTGTGCGCCTAGCTACTTTACTTATACCCCTCTATTATTTATGTACTGGGTCGATTTTCTGCCCACTTTCTCTGTATCCTTAGATACAAGGAATTTTACTCGTTGTTTGCAAGTGACTATCTAAAGTCGCGTGCCTCGGTTCTCCACCTTCGCCTTAGCATCAGCCAACCTTAGTTGGGGTGTTAACACTCATCTTGCCTCGTCTCTCTTTCATCTCTCTTATTTGTTCCTACTTTGCCCTCACTCGTGCATGCTACCTTTGTGTCGCTGTAACAATGGTCGCGGCGCTGGGCTCGGAACCAGTCAAACTAACACTTATGTCCCATACCATTCCTTGACCTCCCTTGACCTTCCAAAGGTTACATGCACTTGTCCGGATCTTCTGCAGGCAGTTCCTGCATTCTGAGGCCCGTCCAAACCTCGCAAGTTACCATACCATGTCCTATCCTTGTCCTTTTGACTTTGCTGGTGCATTTTCCCTTATTCTATCTATATGTTGACTATGTCTTAGGGCTACATGGATAAATCCCATTGGCATCCTGTCAGGAGCCTTGGAATACATATAAACAGTACGCATCACGGCTTATTACATGTATACTTGCATTGCTGCTTGCCTCGCGGCTTATTACATAGGTTCAGACTTGCTTATCTTGCTACTAGTTTCGCCTACAGATTCCAGTCTCTCACAGAAGCAGGATATAATCTTGCTCACTGCCTACTGATACTTCACTTCACTTCCTGTACTTCAAGTCGTAATTAGTAGAGTCACCTCGGTATATTCGTAACTGCACAATCGATCTTTGTTCATTCAGAATGATTGTTTAGCTAGACCGCTGCCAAATTCTGCACTTCATTTATTCTTGAGTTCCGATAGATTAGCATCATTCCGGACTTCAGACATTTTGCAAAGTCTTATATTATTTGACACATCGACACACCAACATATATTGACCTTTGGACAGCTCTCACAAGCCTCGGAAGGCATTGCGCTACTTTGGACAACACTTTCGCAGCTTCGGACGACTTTCAGTCGAATCAGACAAGCATCTCAGAACTTTGGATGAACATTAAAAAGGTTTACTTCCAATATCTCGTCTACTCTCTGACTGTATAAGACTTCCCTTGCATTATCAAGGTAGTTCTTTAGGTTGTCTCTTGGGATGAAGCACACTCGCATCTCTCAGGACTAGGGACTCACATTCTGTAGAGCCCAGCCCAGATCTACTCTTTACATTGCGCACCTCGCCTTTCACACTCGCGCATGTCCGCCTTTCACACATTGCATCGCTCTCGCCTCGCACTTCGTGCATTACTTAGTCCTAGTACTTTATTAGTTGTTTGGTGTCCCTCTTTTTACAAAGAGAGGTTTCCCTTTACCAGTTAGCTGCCCTTGGGTTGATGTTTTCACTCATGCCCAGGACTAGCTGTGTTTGCTTAGCTTAGCACCAACTTTGACCACAGTTTAGATTCCTCATCTTCACCGGCAGGCTCATGTTGAAAACCTGAGTGGTGTGAACATTTTAATGTAAGATTGCAACAATTAACACACCTGCACATACTGTTGAGTGGTACTGATTCGAGAGCCAAAAGAATATTTCGTTTGAGGTCTGCTTCTTTCGATGATGTGGGATATTGACGATAAATTCTTTTTGCATATCCCCAGCACTGTTCAATGAAGTTAAGTTCACAATGGAACTTCAGAAGGAATAACACTGAAAATCCTCTTGCCTTGCATATCCTTTCTAGATTTGACTCGACAGCGATGAAATCTGGCTGATTGTATAGGACCCGATGACAACAGCAATTTGTTGCTCCCTTTGCACACTTGAAGTCCTTGCACTGTGCCTGCAGCTTCAATTTCTAAATCAGGCCTTGCTCGTGCAAGATCACAGCCATACCTTTGAAGAGACTGGCTTTGGGTCCAGCATCTTCACTGAAATAGAGTGACTGTTTTGATCCATCTGCGAAGGTTGCATCACCCATTTGAATGTTTCCTTTCAACAGCTTGCCATCTGCACCATAAACTTGTTTGCCAGCTGCACCTCAAATATTGACCTCCACGCCCCGATTCATTTCTGCCTTTGATTTTGGCATATTTCTTGCTGAGAAAGCTCCATCTGCACATTTTAAGGGAGTTGTTGCATTGTCAAACATGAGGACATGGTTTTCATTGGTGTAGTGCTTCTCTAGAATATCCATTGATCTTTGAGCTTGTTCAAGGATGTCCTGGTTTGTGAAGTACCCTTCACAATTTTTTCCTGCTTTGAAGACGCGAGCCTCCTCTTTTCCATTAGGTGACTGCAGCCACCCATAATCAGCAGAAACAAGATCTGCGACCATCTGTGATGGTCCCTCTCCCTTTACATAGGGCATGGCTGTTTCACTATTATGGACCCATCATGTTTTGCGACAATCATTTGCATAGAATGTGGACTTGTCATGCCACCATACAACTGTCTTCTGTTCCTGTAGTGATGGACAAGGGTAATCTCCATCTCTCTCATTACAAGACCAATCTCAAGTCTTCTCCTTGATTGCTGCCTATGCAGGCAAGAAAGTTTCCTGCCAGTAAGCCACAACGTCATCTCTTTCATGACCATCGATAAATTGACCTTTGGGATCTTTTGTCCAGCGGTACTCGAGCTTTTTCATCCATCACTGTACAGTTGCAAGATGAATTCGCTTTGTGAGTCCACTCCTTTTTCGCATTTCTGGTGTGTTAAGGAAGTCAACAAGGTCCATAGCCTTCACATACTTTCCAATTCCCTGCAGATGGATGTGTATTTCTTGCGTGAGATCCTCGCCTTTGTCAAGTAATGACTTGTTCCATGTCCTGTAGATATTAAATGGAAGGTTCTCACTGAAGGTGAATCAACTCAGCTCTAGGTCAAATAATAAATCTAAGGGAGGGACACAAGAAGCTGATATAGTGATCAGTGTGATGCCTAGTCTGCTATGCTTGCAGGGACAAGTGCGTTTGATCCAAGGGGGAGCAAGGAAGATAAATCCACAGTCGTGCAGTGGCTGTGCAAAGCAAGCGACATGTGTGCGAGGTGCGGGAATGCAAAATGCAAAATGCAAAATGCAAAATGCAAAATGCAAAATAGCGAAAATGCGAAAATGTGAAATGCAATGAGCAATAGACAAGGGCTCAATGAAAACTAAAGATTGCTAATAAATTCTGACTCTAGGTATTGACATGATGGGAGGACTCCACTAAGGTAAGGAGTGGTGTAATAAAGGGTGAAAAATGTGGTCCTATATATGTATCTCGCTAAGTGAGCCAAGTAGGAGATAATGTATGTAATAAGGTGTGTAAATTAGGGTCCATGCTCTGATATGGTGCCATTTTGATAAAAATGCGGAAATACATACCAGTGAGACTTGCTGGACAGTGGATGGATGCTACTGGATGATAGGGCGATGAAAGTGTGGGAAAGCGAGCGATACAAGGGCATCACGAGGCATGGGAAAGTTGTGTGATGCAGGAAAGTGTCACCTGATATGGAAATGGCTGGGGAAAGGTCAGGGAATGATGCTGCGAGTTGGTGCTGCGAACCCGGGTGGTATGGACTGAAGTATTACACATTGCAAGCCTGTAATTATGCGAATCTCTACATCGCGATCTGCAATGAAGGCATGTACTTGTTCACGGAGTACTCATGAGTGTGCGGGTTTTGTTCTAGAGCTTTTGCGGTAAGTAATGATGCCATTGTCCACTTTCCATATGCCAAAGACTGAGGGTCAACATAGACCCACAAGAATTGTTTCATTCCTTCGAGTCGGCGACAAAAGACTGAGTCAAGCTTAGGGTCTTTGTAGCCAGCAGTCTTCTTTGGTAGTCTAAGAATCCTTTTGATATCATTGAAGGCTAAGTGTGCCTCCTTGACAGTGGGTGAGGGCTTGTAGAACCCTGTTACAGTATTTATCCTGGCACTAGCCATATTTATGTTTGAATCTGGGGGAGAAGCCTCTCCCATGGCACATTGACTTGGATGCTTGAGCTTGGACTCATAAAGTGGACTCAGAGATAGCTCTATTATTTGTAGCACAAATGGAGGAGGATCCAATACCACAGTAATTGTTACTTTCCTCTTTTTCCTCTTCAGACTGGATGGAGGAGACTCAGACACATTGATTGTCATTGGAACTTCCTGTGGCCATTGTTTTAGTATTTCTGTAGCTGCTTTAAATTATGAGGTTTCTTACATTTTCTTTGTTTCCTGAGTGTCCAAGTGACTTTGCCCAACTTCCGAGGTTTGCAACATTGAACAATTTTTGTTTTGGCATAGTAGAGAGACAGTTTTGTTCCGTTGTTGGCTGCTGAAGTGGATCATTGAGTAGCTGACAAAGCACAATGCATTGTGTTCCAAGTAAGGTATGACTCACGCACTTTCTGCTAACGAAACATGACAAAGTGTTACTTTTGTTTGAAATGTTAATAGTAATTGTAAAACATCTATTTTGCAAAAAGAAATCATGCAGGGTTCTTTGTATTTACACTGCGCACAATGCTGCACGGCTGGATTTTTGAAAAAATTGAAATTGAAAGTACCATTAAGAAAACAAATGTTATGAGCCCTTTTGAACCTTGTTGTGTGACAAACTAAGGGGGAACACATAATTGGTATGACATTCTCAAACTACCATGACACAATGCTCAAATGTGCACTGAAACACCTGAAGAACCTTGGTGGACATGCTATTTTACTTCTACATCATTTGAGCATGTTCTGGTCCACGATGGTCATCAGACAATCCTCTACTAGTGTTTGGGTCACAGCTAGTCACATCATGTCACATGCCATCACACATTAGTGGAAAGTGCGTGAGCCATACTAGATAGTCCCACGAGTCCGTGTGTCCCAAGAGTCCGCGCATCGACTCTAGCACACGCAATTCTGCACAGAATCCTTATGTATTGTATAGTCAAGTTCCCCCTAGCGTAATACATAGTGTGGTATTTTTTATTTGAAGAAAACCGAAGTAGATCTCGTCCTATGGCGAAATTATTGGTGCTGGAGGGCAATTTTGTGCATAGAAGGCTCACTATGAAGGTCAGATCACCTCATAAAATTCTGGAATGTGGTGTGATGGTTATACATGATGAGGAAATACCAAAACAAATTTCTCCGGGGCTACATGCTTGTCAGGATCATCTGTGATAAAAGAAATATGCCCCAGACGTGACAATCTATGCAAAGCGTTACATTGAGACTGTGTAAATCAAAACTCCGCAATGCCGAAATGCGGCACAAAAACACCAATGCAAAATTGAAGTCCCCAACGGCTGCATGGTCAAGTCCAAACAGCTGCGCGAGGCTCAAGAAGAAAAAGTCAAGAAGGCCTGCGCAAAGCTTTGGGAAGATCAGCGAGCTGGTAACACACCAAACATCAGGAGAACAGCAACTTACTATGGTATTCCCGAGAGTACTCTTCGTGGCCGCTTTCGTGGTGTTCGTCCAATTCACTGGCCTTTATGGTCATCTCCATCACGGGCAGAAATGCGTGCATGCGAGCATGATTGATGAAAACATTGCACCGGCAGTGTCCGAATCACTTCAAATTGAACATCCTGCAATTCGTCGTCAACTCAACGACCGTTCGACGGGCTTACCAGCGTCATCCTCATCCACTACTCCACATTATGTTCACGCGCTGTCAATGTCTGATCCTCCCTTGGCCGCTGTTCATTCTGGTGTTCAAGTTGCACCTACTTTACTTCCTCATGGACACCTGCATTATCCATTCTCTCCCCAGCATAATTTACATCATGCACCTAGCAACACACACTATCATACCGTTCCTCATCATTCTCTTCACAATTATCATATACCTGCACAAGCTACACCTTATTATTCACATTAGTTACTCTCGAGAGCCGAGATATAATACTATATATCTTACAATCACATAACTATTGCAATAGAATTGATTGCACGCTTCTACCGCGTCGTACAGATTGTTTCGTGTACCATTGCCTCTGACAGCGCGACGAACGGTGCGGACACTGATACAGAGTGCGAAAAGGCATGGCGGCAGACGTGTGACATGGTGTGACAAAGTGCGCGAACTCTAGGGAAAATGCACTTTTCTGCGCGGTAACCTTCCGCTGGACTCAACACGTCGAGATTCAAAAAAAAAACTAGCAGGTGCTGTACTTTCGATGTCACGCTATCGAGCTGTCAACTAATTAAATTTTTATGTTGATGCGTTGTGGAGTAATAGACGTTACGCCAAAATTGCGCGAACTCTAGTGGACATCTAGTACCTTATGAAAAAACTATCTCTACTCCCAGTTTAAGCTATATTCTAATTCTGAAATCTAGGTGCTCTGGGGATGTACTCTAGCTAACTTTCTCTGGTTTTAATTTTGCGAACAAAGGCAATTTGATCACATGATCAAGCGAAGTATGACTGCGGTCTATCTTAGGTTCGCGCAGCGAACCCCTAGTAGCTATAAATAGGCACCTAATCTCATTTGATCCGTTTATCTGATCATGCCTCATTATCCGATCGAGCACAACAACTTTATTTTGAACCACAATCAGTACTACTAGTCATGTCCCAACGCCTTGCAAACAAAGTAACGCAAATAAATATTTTGCAACAGGACATACTGACAGAAATTTCGAATGTAGGTTGCCCTCATCACCGGAGCCGGCTCGTGAGTCTGCTCAAACATGACATCGCATTTTCTGATCTTAAGGGGATCACAGTGGCATCGGTCTTGAATCGTCCTTGCTCTTCGCTCAAGAAGGCGCCAACGTTTTGTTAGTCGACATCAATCTAGCAGCTGCACAAAAAGGTGCTGCGCTTACCCAGCAACGCTTCCCAAACGTCAAAGCGCTGGCCGTTCACGCTGATGTCGGGAAGGAGGATGACATCAAAGGAGCGGTTGATCTAGCTGTTGCAGAGTTTGGTAGATTGGATGTGATGGTAGGATTCATATCTTATGATTATCCGCACGATGTTTCAACGAGTCTCTATAAATCCATAGTTCAACAATGCAGGCATCATGCACCCAGCAGACGATCACGCCCTCAACACCGAAGAGAAGATCTGGGACCTGACAATGCAAATAAACGTAAAGGGTGTCTGGTGGGGCTGCAAGTATGCTATTATGGCTATGCGGAAAAATCCTGTCGACGAGGAGAAAGGCCTCCGTGTTGGGGGCTCCATCATCAACACTGCGAGCTTCGTCGCGCTCATGGGTGCCGCCACACCACAGTTAGCATGTATGTGAACACAACTGCATTTTTTGTTTTCTAAAACAGACGATTCACCGCGTTCTTCAGATACTGCATCCAAGGTAAGCATGATAGTCGTTCGCTGAAGTACGTTGGCTTGAAAGAACATCAGGGTGCTGTGTTGTCCATGACACGAGAACTCGCGATGGTGCACGCGAGAGAAGGAATTCGACTGAACTCTCTATGCCCGTAAGCTAAAGTAGGACTTGCATTGCTGCGTGCTGACCTTAATACCCATAGCGGACCGCTAAAGACGCGTCAGTGCACAATAACCACACAAAAATCGATATTACTGACGTATCATACTTTGAAGCTCTTTTGATGGATTTCCTCAACACATCGGAAAAGAAAGAGCGCCGGCTTGTTCATCTCCCCATGGGTCGGTTCGGTGAGGCTGTGGAACTCGCCAAGGCTGCACTGTTCTGTACGTTCTTACTTGGTGTCACCATCTGGCTGATCTGATTTCACCATTGTATACACAGTGGCAAGCGATGACAGCAGTTATATGACTGTATGTTTCTTGCCAATCAGTGTGAGATGCTTAATTAACGCGACGTCAATAGGGCACGGATTTCAAGGTCGACGGAGGCCTCACCTCGTGCTATGTTACCCCTGTCGGAGAACCAACCCTCCAGCCTCCCACCAGTCTCATTTAAGGGTGAACCAACCGTGATAAGCATGCAACCTGATAGTGGAAACTGGGTTCATTATTGATCGAAATCAATGGTAAAGATGAAAATAACCCAGTTAATGTATGATACAAGACGACGGTGAACTATAAACAGCCCAGAACCTCCACAGGCTAGGAATAAAAGAATCCATGAGGTCGGGCAAAGCAGGAGATTCAACAGATACGTAAATTTTAAGATGATAGATATGCGACTAGGATGCTGTCGTCGATCAAATTAACTGGCCTTCTTTTCTGCGAGGCGTCTCTTGTCGCCTTGTGTCTTTCTCATCTTGGCGATCTCAGTGCCTATATCGTTTTGCAGTTGCTTGTGTAGAGCAGGACGATATCCGAGCATGAACATCAATTCCAAGTGTACAAAGAACGGAGCGAGTACAAGGGCTAGAATTGATTGTTAGCAGGCAACGTACGGATTATATGCTTGATCGATGAACCTACCACCGACAATGTTGTCTAAAAGGGCCGGAGCACGACCCTCAGCGAGTCCATGCCCAAGGAACTGTGCAATCCATGAAATGACTTGAATAATAATCGCGTCTCGAATGCCATCGGGGTGGTGGGCGTGAGCTGTTGCCGTCAGTAAAGTCAGCACCATTTGTGGCGCATACAACAACTAGGATTGGTGTCAGATGACGATATAGATGGGATCCATGGCGTGAGAAACTGACTGCAGCCAACGGTTCAAGGATAATATAGTATGCAAGATAGATGGCGGCGACCACGGCGGGCGTGTTCAAATCGAATAAGAGGTACTCATTGAACGTATAGCGAAATTCTGGCAAGAATGCGGGAGTTTGGATGCGAGTAGCCAACAGCAGTGAACTCCTGAATCAAAGCAATGTGGTACATAGTCCGTACTCCCAAGCAATGAGAAGACGACGCACCACAGAATAGCTGGGACCCCGAATATATGAACGAGGACGTTGACTGGATTAGAGTGGTAGGAACCGTAAAACGTGAGCTGTTGATACGAACGTCATGTAAAAAGTTGATAAGATTCTAATGTGGTACGCACTTGTTTGCGAACGTCGAACAAGGAGAGAGTCATGATGATGGTGGTTGTGAACAAGGACTGCGAATATTGACCCCTGGAACATGTTTAAATAAAACACTCACGAGTGACCCGGACGAATCATATTTCAACGGGATGAGACCCTGCCGGCGGCAGACGCCGAGTAAAATTAACTTGAACTTCCTCGAACTTTTTCAGTGTTGTATATTGCTCGACCATGCGAGTGACAAGATCTAGAGATTCACCTTCACCGGTCAATCGGACTGACACGATTCAAGAACGGTTTTGATGAGCTTTTGAAGGCTTTGAGCTGACTGCCCGAAGTTTCCTATTTCGGATATCGACCAATTTACCGCCGATCACGTGCTTCCACCACTTTCCGCAATTGCTTCCACTTGAGCCACGACAACACCATCTCCCACCATGGTCCGCTCAACAATAATAGTCCGCGCAACAGATGCTTTGCCAATGGCAGCAAGCGTGGACGACGAACAGGTTAGCTTCTTTGACTTCTCGATTACTGAGGAGGCTTATTTACCCTAATAGACCGAGCAGGCCCTTCAGGAGCACAAGCAACAGTCGAAACTAATTTTTCGACGTATCACTCCCAACTCGGAACCGCGGTGTTCCATCGAAAGTGGACAGTACACACTTCAGTGAGTGTCCGTTCTTATCTCGATCAGGCTCCGCATCTCAAGCCGCCGGCTACTACAGCTACCTCCTCGCGGATAATGTCGTGTACCTCACCATTGCGGACAAATCTTACCCGCGGAAGCTTGCTTTTTCGTATCTAGAAGAACTTTCAAAGGAATTCTCCGTATCTTACGGACCCAAAGTAGAGTCTGTGCGGAAACCTTATGCCTTTGTCGGGTTTGGTGCGCGATCCTATTGCACTAAATTTTACCGAGGACTCATTCGCGCTGCATTCAGATACCTTTATGTCGAAAACAGCACGGCTATATCAAGATACACGCGCAGCTGATACAGCTGGATCATCAAACTTGGACAAGTTAAACAATGAATTGCAAGACGTCACTCGAATCATGACTAAGAACATGGAAGAGCTTTTGTGGAGGGGGGACTCGTTAGACAGTGAGTGTGAATATTCTTTCGGATCCTCTATGCTTTGACGCTCTACAGGAATGTCGCATCTGTCAACTTCCCTGCGTTCTGAATCGGAAAAGTACCGCAAAGCAGCAAGAAACATAAATATTCAGGCGCTTATACGACAATACGCACCATTTGGTGCTGTGGCAGTTATTCTTATCATCATATTGTGGTGGCGGTTCTCGTGAACTGCATTCGGACTCATTCCGCGAAGTGTCGGACATCTTTCACCAGGCAAAGTAATCTATTACCTTTTGCAACTTTTTGTAATATTGTCTCTCACCGGACCAGTATGTCATATTTTATGTTTCCATCTGAATTCTACAGCAAGTGGCATCTCCTCGCTCTTTCGGATTGCTGGTCAAGTACACTATCAGAACAAGTCATCATTGATATCAACTCGCATGATTGTTCGTACCCTTCTTCACCGACAGTAATATTCTGACATAGGCTGCTGAAAGTATCGGATAGTCTCGATGGTGAATCGTATCATGCTGCCCATCTCCCTCTAAAGGATATCGTCTTATATGTCACAAAGCGACTACATGAGTGAAATTTTTGGGGAGAGAAGTGTTCAATCTACAAGCAATAGCCGTCTCCGTTGTATGGAAATTAATGGCACATTGGCGTTGTTCGGCGGAGATACGTGACAATCAGAAGCACCACGGGTTTACAGCTTTTCCGCAAGACGAATCGTTTGACCACATGGAATTCAGTTCATGACAGCTTGGTGGCCTGTACCATTATTTCTGGTCCACTGGTTGTTTCCTTTCTTTTACAGCAATAAACTGAACAAGATCTCGACATGACCGCAAAGAAGCCTAGATGCCAAAATAAATAGATGTGAGTTCTTGCATAAAATAGAGGTATTTACCCTTGGTCCCTTGCACACTCGCAGTCTTACGGAAAAGGAAGTCAAGTGCTTCCTAGGAGCCGCGTTTCCAGGTGAACTCGCAGTCATGGGTGCATCTAAATCGTTCCGGGAAGTCGACCACTATTTTCAGAGCACCGTGAGGAGTTGTATGATTTTACCGAGTGGTGGTATCCGCTTACCGGCCGCTTCCTCTCGTGACTGGAGTGTCAGAAGTTTGAAAGGGAGAATCGTCAGTGTACCCTGATACTCGAGAGAGTCCCATTTCGTGAAGTGCGTTAATACCGCAGTTTCTGAGACCCAACTCCATATACTCGACTCAGCTACCGAAGGACCACAGCTGGCATTCAGTTTGTAGGGGAAGTAACATGGTAAGAGTAAATTCTTGCCTACAAACTTGCGCTGACGGTTGGTAACTACTCAGTTCAAATTTTATTAACTCAGAGCAGCTTGTGAAAGGTCTGCTTGAATAGCGCAGCAACTATGCTCCGAATTACTTCCGCGGCACCGACGGTTGCATTTTTTGGATGATGGAAGAACTTCCTTGCTTTGCCGAAATATGGCAACAGCTTTAAGTGTACCGCCTAAAAATTTGCCGTACTGTTGGCACTAGGCGAAACATTGCGCACCCATCTGCCAAGGTGTGCCATTTCCTAAAACAAGCTGACCCAACAAATTCCATGACCACAAGCACCGGCTAGGACGGTGCAACTATCGTCGAGGACGAAAATGAGCTGCAAGGCTTTCAACACTTCATTTGGCACATGTCGTGGGATTATCATCATGGTGTCTGTGCGTGTTTATACTTTTCATCATTAGGGATTTGGAATAGCGTTGACGCGTTGACGGCTGGTAATTAGTAACGCACTGTTGTTGACGCCAGGCCTGGAGCGTTCGAGTTTTTTCGTCGAAAATGGTCGACGACATATCTGATACTGAGAAAGTAACGCTAGCTCATGGTACTATTTCTCGATCTTTCACTGCATTTGATTGCTTAGGGAGAAGGCGCTTAGAGAGAGGCAAAAATCTTCGTGGAGTGAGCTGCCCAGACGCCATGTGATTTCCTGGTTGAAATCTGAAAGATGTTTGTATACAGGAGGCTGATAATGTGAGCCGCTTTTTCGATGCAATAGCAGAGGGACTGACCTTCATAGGCCATTGTTTCTTCCTAGTTCGTCTCGAAGCTTGACAGAAAGCATAGGCTACCCATGACCTGACCGAGGGCACTCTCTTTTATCTGGTGCTTTGGTGGTATGCCGTAGTATTGAGAAGCGGGCCATCAATCCATCAAAGTCCAAGCAATGACATACATGATTTGCCCTCAGAAGACGTTCATGAGCCTACCAGGGATACTTCATTCCCAAAGAAGTGCTACCGGTGACCACTTATACCCTCCAGTGTCACTAAATCATTAATGATGGCCAGACAGATTCATGCAGATCCTGACGTATGCTCCCTGATTTGTCGCTTCGATAACTAGTCAAACGATACCCTGACAATGCTGCATCTAGCTTTCGGAGACAAATACAGAAGAGGATCCAATCTTACTGGAGCTTCTTCGCGGAAAAGGATGATTTCCTGGTACGTCGGAAGCATCTGATCCATGCATTTATGAGACAGACTTTTTTTCTTTTAATGAGATTGATGGTTCAACGTGACAAAATCGTACTCGAGAACGGTATGCAGGCTGGAAGTGATTAGGTAAGCTAACCAACCCTTCTCAAGTCAAGACAATGATGATGCTTCCCTCTAACACCCATGCGCACAGTCAAGTTTTTGTTATGTTACATCTCAAGTATGTAGTGAGCTGTTAAAAGTACGAGTTAGGTCCCAGGTAAGTTAGACTGAGGGTACCGGCATACGTTCGCCCCACCAGCCGATCAAATACGGTCTATTTGTGATAGGAACAAAATCAGCGCTGAAAACTCGGCCATCGCCAGCAATTGTCTCGATATAGCGCAACACGAGGCAGGGTAGGGCTACAGGGTCAATTTATTAGATGAGGCCTCTTATCAGTGGCATCCCCTTCTCTCCCAGCTTCCCTCATCTTCAGAACTAGAGTGCACAATGAACGGAACAGGAGGATTTGCTTCACCTCAACAGCAACCGCAACAGCAGCCTCAGCCATACTCGCCTCCGTCTGGCGGCCAGATCGCGCCTGGATCTATCACTTACACAACATCCACCAGCGCGGATGGTCAGGTTACATATCATCCCTTCAGGTATGATCGACATCTCTCTCGCAAACTAGCCTTATCGTAACCCATCGATGTTGCAGAGCGGTACCTGCAAGGCAAGTGGTTGCGATGTTAACGAGATCGCGTCGCCTGATCAGATTATGATGTGCAGCTATCAGACACCCCAAGGTGTTGTGCATGGTATCCAATGGGTCCCTGCCGAAGCCACACAGATCTTGCCAGCGGGTGCTCAGCCTGCCAATGCAGTGAGTCCTCAGATTGTTCCAGTTTTGCCCATGACTACTGAGGGTGCGACTCAGGAATTCGCTGCATCCTTTAATCGCGGCCAGCTCAGCAGGGATGAAGAGAAGGAGCTCGAAAAGTGGTATGGTTCGTTCAATTCAATGTTGCTTCAGACACTACATCTCTTCCAGGAAACGCTCTGAGGAGAAGCGCAAAAAGAAAGAAGAGAAGGCATCCCTAAAGAACATCGCGAAACAGATTGAAAAGGACGAAATAGAGATCCGCATGTCGCGCGAGAGGGATACTCATGTCAGAGAACGCAAAAGGAGCTTCTATGGAGAAGCACCTCCCTCTGGATACGCGATGCCGGGGACCGCTGCGTACGGCACCTATGGCAATCCCGCAGATCTTGACCGCAGATTTGGAGATCTCGACGTAGTAGAGCGCAAGGAGGTTACCTTTGCTGCGAGACCCAGAAAGATTTCTCAGAGTGGTCCAGGGGGATACTCTTCCCCTCCCGCCACCTACAGCAGCCCAACAGGTTATCCAACAACTGGAGGTGCTAGCCCTTACAACCGTGCAGCCTCCCCTTACAGGCCTGTAGGTAATTTCGCCACTTCACCAAATATGAGGCCGCAAGAATTCCCCTCCGCGTACCCTGGTGGACCGGATCCCATGGCGAGGGCGCCTTCTCCGTATGGTGCCCGAGCACCCTCTCCTTATGGTGCTAGAGCGCCTTCTCCTTATGGGGCTACAGGACCCCCTCCCAGAGCGCCCTCTCCTTATGGTGCTACAGCGCCTCCTTATGGTGCCAGAGCGCCCTCTCCTTATGGTGCCAGAGCGCCCTCTCCTTATGGTGCCAGAGCGCCCTCCCCTTATGGTGCCACAGCGCCTACTCCTTACGGTGCCAGAGCGCCCTCTCCTTATGGCGCCAGAGCACCCTCTCCTTATGGGGGACCACCCTCTTCTTATGGTGCTCGAGCGCCTTCTCCAATGCCGCAGGTGCCCCGTGGTCCTTCTCCAATGCCGCCGCGTGCACCTTCTCCATACGCACGCCCCGTATCCCGTGCACCGTCCCCATACCATGGTCAACCGCCAACATCGACCTATCCTCCTCCTCATCGCGCTCCTTCGCCATTTGTCCCTCCTGGCCAAATTCAATCAGTATACCCCCGTGGGCATGTCCTTGAAGGCCAGCCTATCGCGGCCCCTCGGTCGCGAGCACCCTCTCCAATGCCTGGTGCGCCTGCTGGGCCAGGATTCGCCTCATCCCCACGTATGCCCAACGCAGGATTCACTTCATCCCCTCGTATGCCCAATGCAGGATTCCCCTCATCCCCCCGTATGCCCAACGCAGGATTCCCTTCATCCCCCCGTATGCCCGGTGCTGCCACAGGAGGAGAATCACTACAGCTCGCTGCTCCGGAGGCATTCTCCCGTCCGCCCAATGCCGCCCAGCCTTACACCCCGTTCAGCGTAATGAGGATCCAAGATATGGACAAGTTCTACGATCAGATTCCTCGCATGCCACTAGTGCTGGACACTCATGACGTTTACCACCAGGATTGGATCAGATTCATGAATGTACGTGGTGACAGACTTATTGATTGGCATGTCAGCTCACTTTCACTCCAGGATCTTGCTCTTGCGTGGGCTGGCAAGATGCCCATCCATGAGTTCTCCAAGGGGGGGATTCCTCCAAAGCGTACCTCACTTGTTGCAGATTTGATCAATCTGTGGAACGATTCATTCTTCCGTGCCCGTCGCGTTGAGGTGGTCCTCTACAAAGGCCGCGAGCGACGCTCAGGTCCGCACACAGGGACCATGGACAAAAACCTTCCAATGCCTGATCTTGACCTCGACTCTGATTCAGACTCGTCGGATTCTTCTTCTTCTCTCTCTTCGGAGTCTGACGACGGGTACTACGGTCGCGGTGGTGATCTCGCTGAATCCAAGAGAAGGCGCCGGGAGAAGAAGGAGGAAAAGAAGTGGCGCAAGAAGGAAAAGAAGCTCAGGAAAAGGGTCAAGGAACGCGAGAGGCAGTACGCGTTGTACTTGAACTACATTGCTCCTCGCGACATGCCTGTTCCAGGAAATTACTATGGTTGACAGAGCATGCAGCGCGTGAAGCCAGTAACGTCGAATTTGTTGATACTTTAGTTCTTCATTGTCACTGTACTACTACGGACTGCGAATCAATTTGTTGCCCGGTCGAGCTTAAAGCTGGCTGAGGACGTTGTGTTATTAATATTAGGGTTCCGAGAACTTTTTGAGAATCTCGGGCTCTATTCCAATTGATGACCCGGCCGGAGGCTCTGCGCACTGTTCCGTACAGGATCATGACACCCTGATATCAACATCATTGGACGCTAGTCGCACGCCAAGGCACCCCATACACGGAGATGAGCGTCAAAGAGCTCCACCGCCGTATTGGATTTCCGACGAGCACGAGCCTTTGTGGTTGGCAGTGCACGTCATTCGACTAGATTCACGCAAACTTACGATAATAACGTTGTCACATCATGATGGAGATAAGGGAAGACACGATAGAAAATCAATGACAAGACAGGAACTACAGGCCTACAAGTAGGCGATCTTCAAGACTGCGGCGTTCGATATTGCACCATCTTTATCGTCGCGTCAGATATTTCATACTCGCCCCAGGTAAGAACTCACCTAATGGTTTGTAGTTGATGAGTTGACACAAGCTAGAAACATCAGGCCATTTGTGGAACATCTCTTGACGTTCACGCAGGCCAGTGGTAGCACGTGTGGTATGCATTATTATAACACTGTCGTATCATAATTCATTTTGTGGCCCTTCAGCTTCTAGGGATTTATCATGAGTGATTCCGCACGAAGACTCGTCCAGGAGTTCGACCAATATGTGATGAACCATATCCCAATCCGCCTCATACGCCTATCAGATATGGCGTTCGTGGGGCGTGATGATGTGAGGAAGCACTTCAGGAGCTCTGTTCCTCACACGGATCCTTTCGGGGTTTATAAGCCCTCCCGGCTTGTCAAATATGCCATTCTATCTCACCGATGGCTGGATTCGGGAGAGCCAACGTACGAAGACATGAAGGCGGGCAAAGCAACAGGTCCGGGATATGAGAAGCTGAAGAACTTCTGTGAACAGGCCAAGAAGTACAACGTGGAATTCGCATGGTCTGATACCTGCTGTATCGACAAGAGCAGCAGTACTGAGCTGGACGAGTCGATTCGCTCCATGTTCCGGTGGTATCGTAACTCGGGAATTTGCATCGTCCATTTAGCAAAAAGTACAACCATCGAGGACATATTGCATGACGAATGGACAGAAAGGGGCTGGACATTGCAAGAACTCCTTGCACCCTTCCATATCAAGTTCTTCAATAAACACTGGAAGCCTATGACGAATGATTTAAACGACAAACGAAAGGAAGCAACCACCAAGTTACTGCAGACTCTGGAGAAAGCCACTGGCATTCCTCATCGTGAAATCTACTGGCAGTTCAATCCAGGTCCGTTCAAGGTGGATGAGCGGATGGTATGGGCAGCCAGACGCAAAACAATGAGGGTTGAAGATGTAGCATATTCTCTGATGGGTATTTTCGATGTCAGCCTACAAATCGCATATGGAGAAGGAGGGGACCGAGCATTCTGCAGGCTCATCGAAGCCATCATGCAGGCTGGTGACCATTCCGTCCTCAATTGGAAGGGCACAGCTGCAAAACATCACAGTTCAGATGTTATCCCTCGATCGCCGAGAAGCTTCCTGAACCGTCCAGAGTTGAAGTTGGCTAGTGGCGGGCGACTGGAGATGACTATGAACGGTCTCGGCCTACGAATGCCTCTGGTGATACTTCCTCTCAGTCTCCCGCCTTCGACAGTGGCTACTGGCACGGGGCGTGCCCGCATCACATTCGACTGCCCGTTGTATCCCAACATCAAGGTTGACATCAATGTTAACAACTCTGTGGGCCACGGCCAGTATCGATATGCGCTTGGGATCATCAACTACTCACTTGTCAGGGATGGATCATTGCGTGAGGTTGTGGAAATGCAGGGCAAGTCGGCCGGATTCCCGCTCAAGTGCCGGCCAGTAGATCCGTTCAACACATCCACTTGTCCACCCAGAGGAACCGGCGTTGTTGGGTTTGGGTTCCAGACTGTACACGTGGAACAGACATTTGGACCGTGGAAGAAGATACGTGAGGAGGGCTTGATTGAGATCAATTTTGCAATCACACCGCGTTTTCACATTGAGCGTAAATACCTGGAAACCGTCCACCTGTAGCACTGACCTGTACTCCTAATACCATTTAAGTATCATAAGGAGAGTTGAACTTGGTACATGCAATGAACTCCGCTTTAAACAACATTAACTCTAGCCTACATGGTCTACCCGAGGCACGGTAGTCTTCCCTGGACCGCCTGTGCTAGCGATATGCTGAGACATAGGACTAGCAGCTCCAGAGTTGTCGCTATCAACATACATACGCAAGTTAAGGCGCCTTGCCCATTTTGTCGTTATCACTGACTTTCCAGTAGTATGGGTACGTTATCCCTTAGAAGGAACACTCAGGTTTAATCAGGGACAAATGATAGGAATATCGTTGTCAGTGGAAGGCTCTGTAAGCCAAGGCTGCGCCTGTCATGTCTGCTCGCGCGCTGGGGCACGTTCTGATGGGAAGACTATCGGGAAGACGCCTACCCTAAGGCGGGCCCCTGGGTCATAACTCAAGTGCAATATTTGCTGCCCAGGCGTTCAAAGTGTCTTCTACAGTTCCCTTCCCTCTGACACGCTTCCATCATCAACAAGGTGCGCAATGGTGGCAGAAGTAGAAGGATTCATAACTCTTGAGCCGCAACCCCAGTCGCACCCGCCCTCTCAAGCATCTAATTCTTACATCGTACATCATTGGGCTACAAATGGCCAGATCACTCCTGGAACCATCACCTACACGACGAGCAGTAATGCAGACGGTCACGTTATAAATCATCCTTTCAGGTATGAACGTGTATCTGGCAGATATCGCTAAACTTCATCTTGAGCTTTTGAACTTGCAGGGCGGTGCCTGCAAGGTAAGTTGTTTACGATTTGATATTGACAAGATTTTCCTGATTCAATCACGATGCACAGCTATCAGACCTCCCAAGGAATTGTGCATGGTCTTCAATGGGTTCCTGCTGATGCCACACAGATCTCGCTAACAGGCGCTCAGCTCTCCAATACAGTAAGTTTTCAGATCACCTGAGTATTGTCCCCTGACCATTGAGTACTGAGCATATGGATTAGGGACTTGCGGCAGGATCCTTTGATCTCGATTCTTTGCGTAAAGAGGATGATGCGGCATCTCAGAAGTTGTATGAACGTATGTCTTATATGCCTCGGGTGTCTGCTCGATGCCGCTAACTGTAAGGCTGGAAGAAACCCTCCAATCCACTCTTCCCGGTGCACCTGATACCATCGCGATGGCAGCATCCCTGTTTTCCCCTCGAGGGCGCTCTCCTCAAGGTACTCGTGCGCCTTCTCCAGTGTCGCTACTACAACATCCTTCACACTCACGCTCTCCTTCCCGCGCGCCGTCCACATACCAAAGTAGTCAGCAGTCGACGTCACCCTATCCTTCCTACCGCACTTCTTCGTCTGGTGTTGACATTCACCCGCATGTGCCACCCCCATACCAGAGTCGTCGGCAGTTGGGATCAAGCTATCCTCTCCAATACACTCCTTCACCTTATGTCCCCCCTCCACAAGTTGTATACCCGCACGGGTATGCCTTGGATGATCAGCCTATTTTGGCTTCCCAGTTGCAAGTACCTACTTCATTTCCAAATATACCTTCTGGACCAGGATTTTATTCATCCTCGCGTATGCCCATCGTTACAGTCCATAGAGAATCAGTGTCACACCCTTCTCTACATCCGTTCGCCCGTACACCAAATACTACTCAAGCTTACGCTCCATTCAGCATGACAAGGATTCAAGGAATGGATCAATTTCTCAGCCAGATTCCAAGCATGCCATCGGTGCTCAATACCCATGATGTTTACGACCAGGATTGGAGCACATTTATGAATGTACGCGGTTATGGAGATTATTTCAGTGACGTATCAGTTCATTATCCGTTTCAGAGTATTTCTTTTGCGTGGAAGGGAACACTACCCCTTCCCACGTTTGCCAGGGGCTTTTTGCGGAGCTCAATTGTTGCAGATTTGATTAGTCGGTGGAACAATTCCTTCTTCCTTCCCCGCCGAGTAGAGATAGTCCTTTACAAGGGCTGTGAGCGACGCTCAGGCCCGCACGCAGGGACTGTAGACGATCGAGTCTCGTTGCCTGCATCAGAAAATGATAAGTACTCGTTATACTTGACCTGTGTGACGCCTTATACAGTTGACGGCCGACTCAGGTCGACCAGTTACAATACCCATAGAGCCTACGGTAGCTCAATGGCAGCCCACAACCCTGTAACTTATGCCTACTATTACTGATGGAATAACAAGCTTGCAAGAAGGTAGATATGGGATTGTTGATCTTTTCTATTGTTATTTGCATAATATAACCATCTTACTGTGTTTCTCACTACACGGCATAACCCAGAATTATCCCAATCACTGATGCCAGTCACCGTTTGCACGCTGAAAGTTTGTCAAATAATTTACCTGGTACGCGTGAATGTGGTGGTGTATAGTTAGACCAAGCCTAGCGGCTTGCAGGACCGTAGACGATAAATATTCATTCACCAAGTTGAATAGGACCAAGGGATGGCAGTCATTTGAGTGATTCTTGTGACATCCAAAAACTGATATGACAGGGCGATACAGCCATTTTCATATCGATGTAGCGAGTCCATATCGTTGGTATAATCAGAAAGAAAGCAGATAAATATATATCAATGGCCTATAATACAAAATATCTGCGAAGGAAATATTAACGAGAAGCAGTATGCAAATAAGTTACTCTAGAACCCTCGGCCCCGGCCCCTTGAAGGGTTCTGATAACCTCCTCCATTGTAGCCACCTCCATAGCCACCACGAGCCTGTCCGTCATTCTGATTTCCATAACCCGTGTAGCTACCGCCGCTATCTTGTCCTCCTGAACCACCATAGCTACCTCGGCTCGTGTGGCCACCGTAGCCCCCGTAACCACTATTCGCCTGTCCACCATATCCTCCGCTGCCGCCACCGTACCCACCAGAGTAGCCTCCACGGCCATATGCCGGTTGATGAGCGTTTTGAGCATAGGACGTAGAACTTCCATACCCAGGACTGCCGCCACGAGGAGGGCCGCCACGGGGAGGACCACCGCGGGAGGGCCACTGCGGTTTGGTGGCATTCCACGCGAGGGAGGGGCACCTCCTCGAGGGGGTGGACCACCACGGGACTGGCCAGGATAATTATTACCATAATTTTGAATTGGTGGCCTTCCATTGGAGCCATAGCCTCCGAATCCTTGTTGGGGCCCCTGAGTGTACGGCGTTCGAGACTGGGTGGTGGTGTATGAAGAAACATATGATATTGGAGTTTGCGATTGGCTATGAGTGCTGCCGTACCCATGTCCGTTGTTGTAAGAGCCGTTCTGGTAGCCACCTCGCCCGCGACCGCCACGATCCATACCGCCCCCTCGACCATGTCCTCGGCCCCTCCGAGCTAGATCCTCGCCAGTAAGCTGTCTTGCAGGTTTTATAACCCCTGGAAGAAACATCGATCGATGAGGAGAGAGTTGCTTTGGGAAGAAGTATAACGCGGAGAGAGAACGATCATTTTTAATATCTTGCAGATCCATGGAAGTCAAAGGGGAGTAATACGTCGAGCCAGGCAAACAATCGGGGTTTGGTAGAACGCTACCGCTAATGCCTTTAGACAGGTTGGTAGGTATGAGTTGAGGCTGGGTAGTTGTAGTCAGTAATGAAACTGGTTCTGGTCGAACTGACAGCATACCTCTTTCTCCTTGCGTTTACCATACAATCCCTCGAAGAATGGATATATTGAATGCTCATCAGCGACAAATATGACATTTTGACCCCAGCTGTTTCTTCGAACTTCGTCCTCGGTGAGCTTAGGGTAGTGCTCGGCCATCGCATCTAATAGCCTTTTCTCGTCTATGAAAGGCAAGAGCGCAACACCTTGCCACAACATCTTCTTCCCATTCATATCGATCTGGAAAGTCGATGGGTAGAAATCATGAATTGGAGATTCTTCGTTTGTCATGAGATCGTGGAAAATTTCAGGTATGTGCTTGCGACTGGCAATACTTGTGAGCTATGTAGTCAGATCATTAATCAATGTGAACGTACCTAGCAGGGGGGAAAACACCCATAAGTTGCTCGTACGGTTTGAATGGCTGTCCGAGGGTAAACTCCAGCTCCATGTTCTCCAAACCTTCGAAGTCCGACGCGAAAGGTGCAAAATGGTATGGGTAATACCACTGCCACGAGGGGGTCTACTACCGAGTCAGCAAAGAAAGGCAAATCGGCGGACGGAGCTCACCCCTTGATAGTAGTAATGCAGAACCCACGCAATACCTTCGACATAGTGTTTTGTTAGCCTTTGCGCAGGAGAGTCAGCCAGGTTTGTGCAGAATCGATAACAAAAGCGCCCACTTTCTACGGAAATCATCGTCGTTTTCTGATATGCCAAACTTTTGCTGATAGTATCGCTTCTTATACCCGGGTTCATACAATCTGAGGAAATGTTATTCACAGCATTGGATAATTTCACAGCTTTTGCATACCTCACGTTATCGGTCTGCTCAACTGAGCCATCGGCCCTGACTACCAGGGCGTAAGACGCATCTTCGTTATCTTCAGATGACTCCTCATCAATACCAGCCACTTCATCGGTATCATCTCCTTCGATATCTTCAAGCTTCCGCTTGATGCCAGCGACAGGTGTTACAGGCTCATCAGCTGGAAGAGTTATAGGATTATTGGGCTCGACATCCATGTCACCAGCCCCATCATCAACGAATTCAAGTGCTGATGGAGCATTCCCAAGACCTGGAATGTCTCCGTCATCCATAAGTTCAGGGTCTGTTTTGGGTGGAGGGGTAGGAACAACTGGCTCAGGTTTAGGAGCAGAAGCACTCTGTTTCACAGGAATGAGACCAGATAGCTCAGCCTTGAGCATCTCTGCAGCACTCATGTTCGCCATCCGAATAGCAGCTCGATTGGCAACTACATCACGATTCGAACCAGCCAGTGCTTGCGCTGCAACTGGAGCAACTTCAAGAGACTGAGCATTACGCGGTGCTCCGAGACCAATAGAGTCGGCCTTTGCAGCAAAAGCATTATCTGCACGTTGGGGAAGAGATGATAGTGATGTAGTGGATGCAGTCAGACCAAGTTTCGCAGACGGGGCGGCAAACTGAATATCGCCCGCAGCGTTCTCTCCAGACCCAGACTTCTCAATTTTACGACGTTTCGCCTCTTGATCTTGGCGTTGCTCAGCTGAGATATGGTAAGTCTCTAAGGCTTTGACGGATCACATTATAGATACTCACTCTCTTGTCGCTTACGGAAGATCTCATCTTCTCGTCGCGCCAGTCCCTCTAATATGATCTGCGCACGACTAAGCACTAATTGACCATGGTTCGTTAGATATCCACCCATTCTGGGTAACTCCATCTTCCAGATCCTCAAGAGAGTATCAATCGCTCCTTCGCGAATCTCAAGTGATGGCAAATGCGGCAAGAAATCGTTGCCGACAAAGAATATGAGCAACACCCAGTCATCAATAGCCTGTTCCAAATCGAAAGGGAAGGGCGTATTGTTCACATTCAACTCGGATTCCAGATACTCGCGCAGAATGGCGACATCGAGGAAAATGAACGGTTTTTTTTCCGGTGGAGGAGGCTTTTTAATCTCTGATTTCAGTGCTGTACATTGAGCGGCATAGTGACCTTCTTGTCCACATATTCGGCACCCGGAACCTTTGTCCTGCGAAAACACGTCTTCCCGAAGTACTCGGAAATAAGGTTCATGGGTCGCGAGTGCGAGCATAATGAGATCAGCATCCTAAACATGCGGTCAATAATGCAGAGCACGATGGCTGGGAATCAACCCACCAAACCATAAATTACATGTCGAGTATTAGGGTCATGACCGGGGTTTGTGCGTTGTCTGCGTATGAAATCCATAATCTTATGTTCTCCTTCTCCAGGTACACTGGCATCTGAGATGATGACTTGTAGCTATACCAGAAATGAATCAGAAAGATACCAAGGAAATGCTCCCTACGTACGTCTTTCCACCCTGGGTCAGTGTTCATCTTCTCCACCACCCAGTACCGTAACGACGATGTTAAAAGGTCCATGAACGGCGTACCAGGTGTGATAGCGTTCGAGTCCCAAGATTCCTTGTTTTTCTCGTCATCGGTAATAATCTTACCCATGGCTGCAATGATAAAATCAGTCAGAAACACAGCATAGATTCGCTCTGAGAACAACGCACCTTCCCACTCAGCGACAGCAAGTTTATGAGCTTCCGCCTTGTCTTTTGCTTCTTGGGCAGTCCTGAACCGTCTACTCCGCTGTTGGTTCATCTTGGCACGAGGGGCGACTCCATCTAAATGCACTTTGCGTAAGTTCGTGGTATGATACAATAAATACTAAGCGCACCAATAGCCATAAAAAGAAGCTTGCGTGGCCGCACCATGTTGACCACTCTGTTAGTGTATTTGAAGACTTCAAGCATCATTTCCTCCTCCGTTTCGGGAGCCGGCTGTGGGAGACGAGTTAAGGGGTGAACCAAGCTTGTAGAACAATTGTATGCGTACCTTGCCTTCGGGATGAGTGCAAGGATGAACCTGTGAGTGCAGATAATCAGCCACGAAAAACGTATGTACTTCCATCACTCACGATACCAGTTCATGTCCAGGTATAAGCTGTCGAATTCCTCGCCATTGGGGTTAGGTTGTGTGATGTCAACGGGAAGTTTGATAGGATCTCCAGCTGCGTCGAGAACTTCCTCCTCCTCCGCTTCAATGACAGATGTTACTGGTAGCTGTTAGCCAAGCAAATACAAGTTAAGCACCGATTGCTCACCAATTTTCGGATACTTCTTGCTTAACCAACGGAACAGTGCGGGAACACCCTATAAGCAAAGTCAATAGAAGCACAATTCACAAGTTTTAGAGGACATACCATTGTACCGTAATAATTCCAATATAAACGAAAGATTATAATGTGATCGTTCACGAGCAAGGACCTAGCGTCGGCACGACGCCGACTGCCACACAACGCAAAATGATGGCCGTGAGAACATAAGCTGATGTAATTAAAATTCCCACGTCCCCAGACTATGACTCGGTATGATTGGAAACGATCAAGCACAGTTGAATGTAATGTCTACTGCACTTCTGATCATCAACCCTTTGACTTTGTCAGATCTACTCTGCTTAAACGATGAGCGCAACTAGCAACCATTACGACGTCTGCTCTTCCTTCTAAATCTACAATCAAGCTCGCTCCTACTCAATCTCATCCCGATGCATCATCATCTCAGGCCCAGAATCAGCCCCCCAAGTCTCAAAAGCAGATGACCAAAGCGGAGAGACGCGAGCAACAAGAGCGTCAGAGAGCTGCAAAGGCTGCCACCAAGGCAGCTGGCCCACAACCCAGCGGATCTAATCAGAATTCTGCTCAGGCAAAGAAAGGCGCACCACCCGCTGCAAGCACTAGTGCTTCTGTCAAGAAAGGTGGAAAGGGTCCTGATGGAAAACTGATAAAGGACACAAAAGACACTACATCCGATGAGTCTGCTCGTGGTTTGCGGATATTCTCTCATTTTGGCCTCCCCAAACCTCCTGGCCCTAGCAAGGGAGATATACACCCCACTATCATTCGCCTCGGATTGCAATTTTCGGAGTTCAAGATCGCAGGGGCAAATGCGCGTTGTATTGCGACCCTGACTGCATTTAAAACTGTACATTACGATCGTCCTGGTCTACCGAACGTTACTGACGTCTATCAAGGTGATACAAGACTATATCACTCCTCCTAACAATACGCTCTCAAGGCATCTCTTGACACATCTTTCGCCTCAAATCACCCATCTTGTTTCTGCTCGCCCCATGTCTGTCACTATGGGTAATGCCATCCGGGAGCTCAAATTAGAGATCAGTGGATCGGATATCGACCTTCCCGAACAGGATGTTGGTGTCAATTATTTGTTGCTGTCGTATGTACCGCTCATTTGCTCTTCAGGCGAAAAATCTCCTTTGTCAAAAGATAGATGACTACATCAGCGAACGAATTACTATAGCAGATCAAGTTATCCAAGAGACTGCAGGGACCAAGATTAAAGACGGAGACGTCATTTTGACGTATGCTCGGTAATAAGCTTCACACTTTCCCGTTATCATCAGCTGATATAGTCATGTGCTTAGATCTTCAGTTGTAGAACAAGTTCTGGTCGGTGCGTGGGATGATGGGAAGCAATTCTCGGTTATGGTTGTCGATTCCCGGCCAATGCTAGAAGGTAATGGACCCTATTATTATAGCCCCGTTTGTGATCTCATGCTGTAGCCTATGGAATAGGAAAGAAGCTTCTCTCCGTGCTTTCTGCCATGGGCATCCCTTGCACTTATCTCCTTCTGCCATCCATCGGATCTGTCATCACAGAGGTATCGACAGTCTTAGTTGGTGCTCACTCCCTACATTCGAACGGTGCCGTATTTTCCCGTGCAGGCACGGCCCTCGTAGCCATGATGGCAAAACAGCACAGCGTTCCTGTCGTCGTTTGCTGCGAGACATACAAGTTTGCAGAAACAATCCAGCTAGATAGTTTTACCAAGAACGAGCTCGGTACGTTCCCAAGTAGTTGTTATCTTTCATCTCAAACTGATGTCAAGACCCTGTAGCACCAGCTGGCGATATATTTTCGTCCTTCCCCCTCACACGATCAAAAGATACGCTCACTCTCAACAAACAACCCAATCTTGAGATTCTTAATCCGCTCTACGACCTGACGCCCCCTTCGAGTATCACAGCAGTCGTGACAGAAGTCGGAGTTATTCCGCCAAGCTCCATCAGCTCGATTCCACTCGCACTCGGTCGCACTACGCTGTAACATATCGCACATAGCATTTTATCTGATCATGACTAGGAAGTTACAATCATACGATTTAATTGCAAGTGGTGCATTGACATTGTCTATTTATGCCCTTTGTTCCGCTGGAGTGCTGGTCATCATGCATCACCAGTCAGCATTTGTCAGATAACAGTATTTAAATTTATTATTGTTGCTACTTACCCGGATTGTGCAGGCCTCGGAGTTTGATGTCAGCATGGTCAACAAACTCTTCTGAGCATGGGCCCCACTTCGGCATTAGCTGTCCAGTCCCAGTACTGGCACGAGAGGTTCGGCGTTCGAGGGAGTATCCACACTATTAATGGCGACGATAATCCAGTGCTTTAGAGACAGGATATAGGGTAAACAGTAGATAAGAAAAGCGATCTAATTAGTACGATTACCACTATGATTTCTCTCTAATATCTTGACTCTCAATTAGCCTCTTCTCTATCCACTCGAATGCTTTGTCCGTTGCCGTCTCAACGGGGTGATCGAATATGTACGGCAAGAAAGGAACGATAGCAAGTCCACTGATAGTTGGACCCCACGTCTTCAATCTCTTGTTTTGCACGTTCGTGAAAGCTTTCTTTGCTTGGTTGACTGCGGTGTGAATAGTGAATGCGGGTAGAGCCCTGTGCGTGATAGGAACATCCAATGAGAACGACTCGTCGTAACGAAAGGGCGTAATAGTCAGGAACGTGCACGTACATTGATGCTACAGATTGAAAAACCGCACGTTTGACGGCTACCATACCTACTCTTGTCGGCTCGGAGAAATGGGCGGCTTCTATTGGGCTGGGTCCACGTCTATGGGTTTTATACGCTTCGTAGCTCACGTCGCTGGTATGACTCGTCACTATTCGGCACAGATATTGATGAAAGGGCACGCACCCAGCGAGGTATAGCCATGATATACCGTAACATGCAGTAACTACGGCAGGAGGCACTACGGGACGAAATGCCTCTCCGACATCACTGGTCTGTGATCCGTCTTCACCACGAACAAAAGTAAGTCGAGTGATGCGAAGAAACGTACATATGCAATGTAACGACTGCCGGCACGTACTGCAGTCCTGAGACGAGCAGCATATGCCATGTAACGCAGATCAGAGTCTGTGCTGTCTACATTTCTGTCAGCTAGAGAAGAAATTTCATTCTGTGCTTTCTCTGTCATTTGCGACATAGTTGTAAGTATGAGTACTAGACCACTGTAAGCCTACTGGGATTGAAATTACATAATTTGAAATCGAGGGGTCATTTTTCTTGTTTGACTCCGTGTTATGTAACGAAAGCAAGTCAGTCTCACCGACACTCGCCGACTCTAACAATAATGTCCTTAACAGCCCTTGCAGTGCTGGACTCACAGATGGACAACATCGACATCCCTCGTAATTTTCCCTCTCAAGATGACTCTACAGCAAAGATCAGCGCATATTATTCTCTTGTCTTCCCAAACATCACTTTCTATCTTCAGACCCTGACCGTAACTATTGGACGACGCTGCATACCCAATGCGTCTACATCTGCTGGCGACAACAGTCCTGTTGATGTCGATTTGGGACCTCTCAAGAGTGTATCCAGGCTCCATGCCAAGATCGAGTACGAGGAGGACGAAGAGCGCTTTGTTCTCGTCGTCGTAGGCAGAAACGGCGCTTGGGTGGACGGTGTTTGGTCTGGAAGCGGTAGCAGAGTTCCTTTGGGGGAAAGGTCGGTATTTGGTCTCTCATGAGCGGGAGCGTGTCTGACCGTAGATCAGGTCTCAAATACAGATAGCTTCTAGGACTTTCCATTTCGTGCTCCCACCCCCTCCAGCACCGGAGGACTCGCCATCCCCGAGTTCGAATTCATCAGTGCAGCGCGCACGTTCACCTTCTGTCGATATTACGTCTATATCACCGCCTTCCTCTCTTCCCTCGAATTCGCCGCCCCCCGTCTCCGTACCAGTTCCGCCGCCAAAGTCGCCAGACCCTCAGCTCCCAAATACGAACAGCATATCCAGGGTAAAGACAGCGCCAAAAAAGCGCAAGAAATCAGACCTACCTATACCGAAGCCAGAGGTTATGCCCCCCAAACCTCAATTCACATACGCTCAGCTCTGTTATCGAGCTATTAAGGCAATGGGCGGCAAGGCAACGCTGCAGGATATATGTTCGTGGATGATGGAGACTTATGACTGGTATCGTTACAACGAGGGTGCAGGGTGGGAGGTGAGTTATCTTATCTCTGATATTACATTGCATCCAACAGTCCAATGGCTCACCTGTATTTCAGAACTCTGTTCGACACAATTTATCATCTGGCCGTGCATTCAAGAAGATGGAGAGAAGTTCTGGAGAGCGAGGGAAGGGATTTTATTGGTCCGTGGACGAACAATATGAACACACCTTCGAGGAGCAAGAAGCCCGATCACAAGCTGCATCATCAAGTACGGGTGGTAAAGACGGAAAGGGTAGGAAGAAGGATAAAGCAGCTCCCCTAGAACCCGCACTCAAGCGCAGTGTCAAGGGCGACATCAAAGGTGTTACTCTTCCGCCACCGCTAACATCAGCGCCGCTATCATTCAAGTCTTCTAATTCCTCTATACCGCACACAAACCCGTTGACGACAGCCCCACTTGCGAGTCCTTTCACGACCACACCCATCATTAAGTCAGAGCCTTTTACAACAACCAAGCTCACTTCAACAGTGCATCCAGCACCAGGAGCCACATCTCCGCATGTGGCTCCTGCTCTAGCATCAACTCCCTCATCGGAATCTGCCGCATGTACGGCATCTAGCGCCGTATCTGCGCCCTTCTCAGCATTACCGGCATCTGTTTGCCTACCTATCATTGTCGGACCTGTTCCACCTTCGCATCCTTCGTCCTCGAACCCTGAGCAGGCACAACCTATCATTCTTCATAACAACACCCTCATACTATCTCCGACGATCTTTTCACATTTGTCTCCAGAGCAGCTCAGAGAGCTCGAGGCTCTTGGTGCCCAGAAAGCTTTAGAAATATTACAAGGTCATATCGTGCGATATCTCAAGGAGAAAATGACACGTGGACGCGGGCGGACCAAACGTGCGAGAGGTGGCCGCGGGGGTCCGCCCGGATCTCGTGACAACAAAGCCTCTCCAACAGGTGGGCCATTTACCACTACACCGCTCCCATCACGAACACCTCAACTAGTCACGGTACCGGGTTTTGAGAGTGCCCAGTCTCAAGCACCAGCTGCCCATCCGCCAACTGCTGAGGGCGTTGCTGTCAGTGTCATGGAGAAGCCTCCTGTGCCTGTGCCAATAACATCATCTGCACCTGCCCGTCGAAGCGAATCTCCTATCATTGTTGTGGATGATGTTGATTCGGCTGATGAGGGTCCCGCGATGAAGAAGCGGCGGATAAATGTAGTTTGTTAGCATCATCATCATATCAACCGTTCATTTCCCACACCATGGTCATTACACGCCTTCGTTTTGACTTACTTTTACCGATCCACTATAGTTCATGCGATAATTTGACTCGATAGTAGCATACGATACTCATGGAAACATGATTATGATTCAGAGGACTATAGATCAGAATCTACACAGAACTCGTTGGGCGTGCGCATTCGTGAGACGTAGCTAATGCAAAAGGAGAGCAGCCAATCGGAAGGAACATGTTAGGGGGTAGTACTAATGAAGTGCACAAAGTGAATGAAAACAGTGAACGTCAACGTTCGAAAAACAAAACCACGACAAAGAGCATATGTGCATATGAAACCACAGAACGACAAAGCACAAAACCACGACAAAAAAAGCAGAGACAGCTAATGTGAGACAACAGCACACGCCAAAAACGGACAAACGGATACCGTCGGCCATACCGAGTGCTGGCGCCTGCGAAATTTCTGGAACCCAGGATCCCGCAGCAGCGGCCATCCCACGAGTTACCTTCCTTCAACCTGTTCTCCTCCCTTCACCTTCACCTACGTGTCTGGGGGTATCTCTCACCGCGGAACCGCTGCGCAAAGTTGTCGAGGATGCGCGTTCCGATATTGTAGGCTTCCGTTCCGTTCATCAGATATTCGGTCAACACAGCGGTTAGGTGCTTCTCAAGACGAGCATCCTCGACTTCCGCACGAGTAGCCCAGTCCTTGTTCTCGTCGATCTCTTTCAGCAGATTCAAAATCTCGCCTTTAGACATAATCTCCTGTTTCCGAAAAGGTGTGTGGATTAGCGTTCATTGCCACGATTGCAAAGAGAAACACGCACCACGTTATCATCGAATAAAGACTCCAAACGCGCGTGGCGGATTCTCTTCAATGTTTTCGCCCACATACGCACTTTTTGGGAGATCGCCGCCGCATAGGACCATGCTCGCTGAGGATCAGCTTCGACCTCGTCGTCTGACACCTCCATATCTATATCCTCCACCTTGACCCTGCTGCTCGACGCTGCGGTACTCCCACCCAGGGCCGGCCTCTTATAACTGCGCACCACATCCGAAACCCCACTCCCTCGCGCCGAATGCGTTGGTGCTCGAGTGTCATCAAGAGACACGGAAGGCTCTGGACAGTTATTGTATGCATCCGCTATGGATTTCGGACCGTCCGGGATGACCTCATCAGTAACTTCGACACTGCTGGACGAAAATCTGCCCGAAGACGATGTCGGTTCGATTGACGAGCGTGGCCCGGGCGAAACATCGCTTGTGGCTGAATCTGAGTGGAGACGAGGTTGTAACGCTCCTTTCTGCTTTAGGCGTTTTTGAGGACCGCCTTCGGAGGCATCGCTGGATTCCAAGTCGAGGCGGCGCTTCGCTGTGTCAGCTTTGATGTCAATGAACGTCAATAGGATCTGAGTCTAAATACAATGATAGGCTTTGGCTCAGTACCATTTTCAAATTTGTACAGCATTAATACTTACATTTCTTTGCTTCTCTGTGCCCTTTTGACTTGTAGGTTCCTTTTGCAACAGACCATTCTTCTTAGCATTGCCTAGGCTAAGGTCAATGATATCTTCTGTGACTGTGGGAACAAGTGGGGGAGTGCCATTGACATCAGTAGTAGTAGACTCCACAGTGTCATTTGATTGGTTGAGCACTGCCTCAGATACCACTGGCACCAGGCTTTGGGGTTCTGATTTGTGAAGTTAGAATCAGATATCACTAAAGGCATGTTTGCATCACCTGCAGTAGCATAGCTATCATGAATGACACTAGAGTCAGTAGGATTGACAGGTCCCCTAGCTTGAGCTGCTTGTAATCGGCGCAAAAAAACGAAGCGCAAATTTGGATCCTTGGGCATGGCAATGATGGAGGAACCTTGATGAGCAGCTTGAGATGTGCCAGTGAGCTGAGGGCACAGTGGTTGGTAAGTTTGAGGTGGTGGCTTGTAATTAGACGAGGCAGAACTTGCACTAGAGGTAGTAGGTGCTAAATTCAGACACTCCATAGCACCTGCAATAGTTCCAGTATCATGTCGGGAAGGATAGTAGTCAGAGGTAACAGATGAAGCAGCAGTAGCGAATGCAGGATTAGCTCCCTGAGATTCCCTTGCAGGAATGCCCCTGGTATACACCAATGGGTCTGACCATTGAACATGGTGTCCAGCAGAATGATTGTTCTGTGACTGGACACTTGCATCAGAAATGGCAGAAGGTAAAGCCTTGGAAGGGGTGCTTGAAGGATGTGTCATGAGGGGAGAAAGCTTTAGCTATGGTAGTGGTATCTGATTGAGGGAGGAAACAATAAAATAGGGACCCATATCGCAATTTATAGTGGAGTTTGAACTTTATTAGTAATCTGACTCATTCAGGTTCTTGATCTTCTGGAAGGTTCTCAATTCTCATGCCAAGCAATTCTTCAACGTGAGTCAAGTATCTGCATTGGCAGTGACAGGTAGAGAGGATATGCTTATTTTAATGATGTGATGTTTCTCTCTGATCCCACTGTATATTGCCTCTAAAAATTATGTGCATTGTATATCCTAGCATAAGGCAGGATATTTCTGAAGCTCATTTCATTACTGAATAGTAATATTCACCACTACTCATCTGTTTCTGGCGACAATAATTCTCCCACTGCTGCCAGTGAAAATTTATTTGAAACAAAACTAAACCAACACCATTCTGAATTACTTTGTGCACCATTTGCATTAATTTATCACTCATGTCAGCCTTCATTGGGCCCCTTCCCAATAGTGCATTTGACTCTTTTGAGTCATGCCATTAAGAACCACACTGCCAGAATGCAGGATATGACCATCTGATCAAGATATCAAGATTTAAATACAATACATGGACTCAGAGTGAACACCACTCATATGGCCATAGGGCTGGATGGCAAAAACTGAGACTTCTACGATAAAAGTTGGAGGTAGCAGGCTTTACCATGTCAGCCACGGCCTACTAGTATAGCACTGCTTACACATTAGTGCACGAGCCAAGGAAAGTGCGTCTATAAAAAAGTGTATGTATGTGCCTGCAGAAGGGAACTTGCGACTGTAGACACAACTCGAGATAACAACGACTTGACACATAGATATCTGCCTAGTGTACGCGCAATGCCAAGTCGTAGTCGGCATCCCCCAGCGTGTCCCACATGCCTACTATCCATATTCAAACCCTACATCTCAGATTTGCGCCGTTCCCCTCCAAACACCGGTCCGCTTTATAAGAATATGTGAAATTTGAAGCGGCAGAATTCAGATACAAGTTTACAACTCACACATGCACGGTATCTGACACGCTGCATCAGAGAACCGACCCGGGGCGTTACGTTGATTGCAGGGCCTTTGAGACGTAATATATGACTTTGTATTGCTTCTAGCGATGGAAATGAAGGTCATGCGCTGCATATAAGTTCCTCACCGGTCCTCTGATGTACCCTAACTTATCATCATGTCCATAGTGAGAGTGATCGTAGCTATTCGCAACTATGAATGCGAAGACGATGGACGCCCATGGAATACCGGATGTCAGCGGCACACCGCGGAGCTTATCTGCACGGAGGCACCATCAACTCTCAGTATGGTGAGGATGAAGCTAGTGGCTAAAGTCGGAAGTTGGTGACGATCCATCATGGGTTGGGTTTAGCAGGCATTCGGAATTCTCCTATCCAATTTGCAAAATGTTGAGTTCACTGTTGTCGTACTCGGTCCCCACGGGGTCCAATGGGCCAGCACTTTGGTATCCGCCTACACCTTGATTACACGTACTAACCACAATGTTAAGGGTGGGAAATGGGGGGCCACGTTCTAGGCTGAGGTTGAAGAATGTGCGGCTAAATGCACACGGGCGCAGGATACATGCATGTAAGCAGTGCAAGACCGTGCATGCTCTCATTCGTCCTTGATGAAAAGTAAGGTGGGATGACTGCGGCGAAGACGAAGCTTACTCGGTTTGATCCAGAGAAACGATTTCATTTGCCGACTCGGGATCAGGTCACCGGTCGTGCCAGGGTATTTTGTCGAAGTACGTTTGCAAGCGAACGTGCGATGGGATAGGACCCATGGCACCCCATGTGATTGGACGGCTGAGTAGAAAAGTCCGTTCAAACGTTTGGATTCAGGATTCTTTCATTCCTACAAGGTAAGATGCATCCTTGTCACTCGATGAATTCTCTGCATTCTGTGCTGAAATGACTTTGAACAGATACAGGTTGCTTGGAACTTTGTGCTTATTAATCATCATCCCGACAAATCTTCAAACCACGTGTCTCGTCGATATCGTCATTCATCATTCTTCAAAACTCTGCTCGTATAATAACTCGTGCAGGTCACCCACAACTCACATAAAAATCTTTGTCTCGCAGCACAAGGATTAATATCTACCAGTGCTTGTATTCATTCCAAAAGGTCAAAGCTGATCCCTAGTCGGGCACAGAATTAGCTACCATCGCGGCTTGGAACAAAAGCCACTGAATATGACATTCGGTGCATCAGATGAGACTCTTCCACATATCCCTCTACGTCCTTTCCGAAACCAAGTCGGTGGCCACAGCGCGATCTACAGATTTACCAAGCGTGCTGTGTGCAAGGTGTGTCTGCTTAATGCTCTATCAAGATCTGTTTCTTATACATCTTATATAGCCGCTGGTTTCGAGAGAGAATCAGTTTTATGAAGCTGTTGAGCGAGAAGCACCCCCATTACTTGGATTCATTCCACGTTATCTCGGCGTGATGCTTGTTACTTACCGACGCGTATCCAAAGGCTCGTTACCAGCCATCAACTCGAATGCACCTGACACGCATACTCTTCATCCTCATTCGACCTATCCGCCGCCTCCCGACTTTCACACATCTAATTCCTACCTTTCTCATCCCACTGAAGGGTCGACATCGCAGTTCCTAGAAGACGATGATGTGTCGAGCCATGAAACATCCGATGAAATGCCCGAAGTGGTGCTTGATCGTAATCGTCACATTATTCCTGAATGGGTTCTCCACCTTGACGGACCGAAACACGATCGTCTGCGCGGTGTGATTGCATCAACACCTGACCTTGTGCGACAACAGCCTTCATCAGTGAAGTGCAGTCCTTCCTCGTGTCAGGCTACCACACCCCTCCAGGAGGGGGAGCCGCCCACCCCTTCCAATTCACCCGAATGCTCCTCAGGTACCCTTCCAACGTCATTTGCGGAACCCCATCCAGTTCATCGTACATCAGTACAGGAGGGGACCCACCCGCCTTCCTTGCAGCAGGAAACTCCTAGTTGGTTTGGGGGAACAGGGTTAACGATGGTTAACACAAAGCTCAAAGATCACGTCTTTAACACCATTCTCCGTAGGTTCCAGCGTCGGAATCGCGCCAAGTGGTCCACGAAGACAGAAGACGAGGGTGAGATGGCGGATCATGAGGGTCGTCCGACTTCCTCTACCCGACGTTCTCGCTCACATCGTCGGAGGCACCCTGTGGGACAAGCGGAGAGGCTGAAAGGAGAGGAAGGAAGTCTTCAGATCTCCTCCGTTCTTCCGCGTGTCCAGAGTGAGTCTGCTATAGACTCAATGTATGTACAAGAAAGTGCCAGCGATAGGGATTCCCTTACGCTTGAAGATCAGCACCAACTCGTCCTCCCTTCCTCCCTCACAAGACATCGAAGTCGGTCACGATCTTTCGGGTTTTCTAGCCCTGTAACACCTGTTTCCAGTAAACCTCCGTCCACATTCAACTTTGATGACTCGATTACGCGTCAAAATCATTTCATTTGCATGGAAGATTTGACTGGTCGGTTAAAACGCTCGTGCGTTCTTGACCTGAAGATGGGGACACGACAGTATGGCATGGACGCGACGCTTGCCAAGAAGAAGAGTCAACGGAAGAAGTGTGACCACACGACGAGCAGGCCCCTAGGCGTCCGGGTCTGTGGTATGCAGGTCAGCATATATATATATATAGATGGGTGCGAAATTTAGAGTTGACTAAACTGGTTTACATTCAAGGTGTGGAACAACGCCACACAATCATACGTGACCCAAGACAAGTACAGGGGCCGAGACGTAAAAGCTGAAGAGTTCGAGTCAGTGTTGACGTCTTTCCTGCAAGATGGGGAACGTCTCCTCGTCTGGCAGATTCCTGTTCTTCTCCAGAAGCTCTATGCTCTCGCTCGGATTATCAATCGGCTGAGGGGCTTCAGGTTCTACGGCTGCAGTCTCCTCCTTATCTATGACGGAGATCGTGAGGCACAAGAAGCGTTCCGAACATGCGCTCTTGAGCACCCTTCATCCCGTAGTAAGCGTGGAGAATCGATGGAGCGATCCAGTACGCGGTCCAGCGCCAGTGACGAGCGGCCCTTGTTGCGCCGTACTCATAGCGAAGACCTGCTCGTTGGTCCAGTTGGCAAGCGTTCCAGCGGGAAGCGAAAGCGCGGCGAAGTCAACGTCCGCATCGTTGACTTTGCTCATACAAGTACTGGACGGGATTGGCTTCCTTATCCTCCGCCCGCAGATCGTGATATCATCCATCAGGTGTCAAGTTCCAAGGGTTACCAGGCTGAAGTGGATGTGGAAACGGGGCTAATATATGCTCGGTTCCCTCCTCACTTTCCCGAAGAGCCTGATCGCGGGTTCCTGTTCGGGTTGAAGAACCTTACGGAAACCCTTGCGAACATTTGGAACGAAGAACGTGTTCGTAGGATCAAAGCTTCGCGGGATGATCCGTCTGCTGACACCAGTCAGCTACCTCCTCTATGTGCTGATGGCAAAGAGATCTTTGATGAAATCTTCAGTCGCTTGGATGATGAAGATCCCGGCATGCTCTCCACCTGATACTATATTCTCTCCTGTCCCCAGTGACACCTTTTCTCTTTAGCCGATGCGGTATCTATCGCGTTGTATGTGGTTTTTCGGCATATATTCCACCACGCTTGGGCGTCCGTATTTCTATTCGACTGCCCTCTGCCTGTCTTTGTGTGTCTTCCATCATCATCATCATCATCATTATCATCATCATCATCATCGGTAGACCAATGCTCATTTGCACTTTACAATTCAGCGTCGTATTCTAGCACTGTACCAGACTGTACCTCACCCTCATTTGCATTTATGTAGCGCCGTGTTCCGAGGTATATACTCTCATACTCAACCTATTCAAACACGTAGATATCGATCCCTTCGTTATCGTGTTCGCCAATAGACTCCTGTAATTGCCCCAGTTTGACGACCACAATAAGTTTGGGCAGGTGCCAGCTCGCCGGAATTGTCGGTGGATATATAGAGTCCGTATAGCGGTAATTCATTCAAGTCGCTAGCGAAATGGAAGATACGCGCATCAACACCAAAGTTTCACGATAATATAGTTCTCCATGTTCTTGCACACACCGACGACCGCGAGACAATTCCGGGAAGAAATCTAATAATCATTATGCAAGTCGGTCGCTGACCAACTGGGAAGAAACTACGAGTCTGATCCCTCCTGGACATATTTCGAACGAATGTCCTTCCATTGTTTCTAAAACATGCGGGTATCAGTCATCGAGCAGCATTGAATGTGTCGGCTACTCACCCCCTGGTTCCAACGATCCCAGAAACTGGTCACAGCGACGTCAAAGCCTACATTGAACGCGAAGGCTCCAGCAAAAATGGAAGTGACGAAGACGCCTAGAAGTTTGATTTGGTTACATGACCATGAGCGCTGTAGAGGGTCGGGTCACATACTGTTGCGCTTTGCGATGGTGTTGTAGAATGCGTTAGCAAGCTATAATCGGTGTCCCAGTTAGCGTTGTATCATCGACTCGACTGTTTATTTTACTTACAGCCATAGTTTTTTGTGAGCAGCAAGTTGGATGGAGAGGGTTCTGGACCCGGTGCAATCCGAAAATGTGACAGACTTTACTTTCCCACAGTCCTCGGACGCGTTCAAGGTCTTGCTAATTTCTGCGTTTGCTCAGTTCAAGGATTAGACATGGTCTCACTCTCTCAGCTGAGACCATCAGTGCTCAACGCTGCACGACAATATCTTCATCGTGCTCGCCTGCACCAAAATGCAGTTTTGTCAAAGCCTGACTCCTTCGGGACTAGTCTCGCCGATACCATGTGGAAAGGTGAAGACTCGGCTGCTCCTCCACTAGACAAGCCTCCAGTGGGCCCAAATACGTACTACAACTACAACCCCATGACTTCAATGATGCAAAGGGGACCAAAGAAGGACAGCGTGGAGCATCCAGAGTCTTACCACCTCCACGTATACACTACAAGCAACAATTGCCGCATCGTTTTCACCTATCCATCCGGCAAGCTTGTCAAGAACGGATGGTGGACAAGTGGTTCATGTGGTTTCAAGGGAGCGAATAAAAGCAGCTATGAAGCAGGATATCAGTGTGCTGTGCGCGCTTTCAAGCGCATCGAAGAGGAAATAACCAGGCCGAACTTGAAGGATGGTGGTGTGTACCCTGTCAGGCTCGCGCTGAAGTTTAAAGGGTTCGGGTGGGGGAGGGAAGCGGTTCAAAAAGCGTTTATGACTTCTGAGGGGGATAACATCCGGTCGTCAGTGTTTTCAGTTGAGGACAGGACACCTATAAAGATCGGAGGGACGAGGGCAAAGAAAGCAAGGCGACTATAGTATTGTGCGCTGTTTCTGGTTCTTATTGTGATGTATCCGCTGAATCAATTACAGTCACTCGCAGCACGCACTCACAAGCAGAGTTTTATGAGTTTGCGCATCTGTAATCCACTAGTCTTTCTTCATTACAGATAGGGAGTCAGATCTCCACGGTATCTAGCCAATCAACGGCAGTATCATCTATTGTTGCTCTACAGCGCAATGCATGTCAGCGCCCACTGGCAAGCCTCCTATGTGTTACAATCATTTACTGTGTAGCGCTCTAAATACCTTGTGCGCCATTGGTGGTATGTGTTAGGGTTATATAACATCCATTCCATTCGGAACAGGGTGCCTAGGCCGTGAAGAAAGGGTCCGACATATACTTCTGGTACCCTGGTCTTGCCATTGACTTGAGTGCGACCTTCTTGTCAAATTCTATGTCCTCTATAAGTGCTTCTGTGAGAGGAAAGCTAGTCAGTATGAGTGAAAGCGGTCCAGGGACAACCGTACCCCGTGAAGTGTAATGCAGTTCCGGACGGATGTATCCCAAAACCAAAGCCTTCATATCATATCCATAAAAATCGGTCTTAAACTCGTGCATTATGTGAATTTCCTGCGCATCGTGGTTTAGGATGATTCGAAGACGGGGAAAGAAGACTTACCGCAGTCATGCGCTCGTTCTTGTAAAAAGGATTCCACCCAAAGCTCATGACCATGGGCAAGACGCATACGTCTTGGTCAGATAAGGATGATGGTGTTCCCTCAGAAGGGGTAACCTGAGCGTAACCGTAGTAGACTCCTGTCTTTGCAGCATCAATCATGGGTGGGAGGGAATCGTCAGGAAGATTCGCTGTAGTTCAAACCTATCAATTAAGTTCGATCAAGATTCGGTTTGGAAACATACCAGTTGGACATCCAAGATCTTTGCCCCCTCTGCCGAATCCGTGCTGCACAGGACCTGACAATTTAATTGGAAACGGGGCGTCTGGAGCGTCTGGCCCAACGATGTCTGGCCTACTCGTGCGGAAAGATTCGTCTGGGACTGCATCGAGCCCCACAGTCTCGTTGCTGGAGGCTGGCACGCTCGGAGAAGATAAGCTCTCTCCGGGTGCATCGCCCGTTTTAAAAAAACTAAGTAGAAAACTCAGTAGGGCGAACATGTGAAGAAGAGGGCTTGCACAAGTGCGGTCTAATGGTTCCGCAGTGCGCACAGCATATATAAGTCAAGGAACTGATGGGGACAGAGGGAACTTGAAATAGTTACTACCGGAGTAGTGAGCTGTGTGAACATCAATGACATGGGCGGCCGGCATCCATCTGACTTTCTATTACTACCATGTCAAATTTCGTTCCATATCAACAAAGCTATGGAACCTATCAACAACCTTATCCTATCGTGTACGCAACTGGTTCAGGACCGCCCCAGCTGCTTCAACCAGCGGTAGCGCATTATCCTCATCGATTCCCGCCGCCGCCAGCAGTGGCCTCAACTTATCAGTTTCATGTCCAGTCGCGCCAATCGAGCGTGGCAGTCGCTGAGATCATACCAGATATCTCTCCAGAAATAGCTTCCAAAGAAGTCCAACGGCTCATCCTTGCCCAGCTACAGACCTCGGAATATGATTCAATCGAACCCCCGGCGTTGAAGAGACTAGAGAAAGAAGTCGTAGCGTGTACGCGGCCCTTCATTCTATTAATTGTTGAGCTCACCTCTCGGAGAGCAGTCATTCAGAATCTATATGAACGCGCCCACCAGTATGCTAATCTTGCCAATCGTGCGATACCGATAGCAAAGGACATGCTAATGGCATGCGAGGAGCGAGATTTGAAAACAAAGGATCTACGCACAGTCGCTGCAGAATTTACAAAAGCTTCTGGTATGTACTAATGTCGAACCATACTAACATGGATGTTTGACCCTGGATTAAGCTGAACCAGCCGAACCAATTTTTGAAATGCCATCTTCGCGATCGCAGTCGCCCGAACTCCTCCCTTCAGATGACGAGAATATGCCGCCCGTTGTGCCAGGAACTCTACGCCGGCTTCCGACCCATTTTCCTCCATTGCCACCCAAGCATACATATCTCAGAACGCCAGTGAGTCCATTTTCGCATCTTCTGGTTGAATCGACTGACATTGTTCCTCAAAAGGCCTCTCCTCCTAAAAAAGCTGCGCTTCCCTCACTCGAAAGGAAACTCAAGACTGCAGGGCTGGTTCAGGAGTCATTGAAGAATCTGCTCACAGCAACAGAGGATAATCTCGGGCAAGAAGATGGCGAATTGCTAGGTCATATTGTCAACTGGGAAACTTCTACGTACCCACGGAAACGCTGGAAAGTTTCGGCTTAACCATTTGATTTTGCATATACTTTGGCTTTATAGTCCTTTTTTGTGCCAATCGAATCATTTAACTGGGTGGTCTGGTCCTTGTCACGAGTCATGACTGATCTTACTCCACATATGACGTTAGACTAAAGAGGGTTTAAATGACGCGTGAAGCATAGTATTACCATCCAGTGTCCGACAAAATGTTCGAACAGTCTAATATATACTGTAAAACACGCTCCTACCGCTCCGACCACCAACATGCCCCCTCCGGTCATCAACATCACAATCCATAAACTAAACACCATGCAATTTCGCCATGTCGGGGCTAGCCACCCCATCTATCCCAGGATCGTGGAGATTGCAAGAGCTCTTGCCAGTCGTGATAGCGTAGACGGTGTAGTCACCCCGGACGAGATGCTACCCTCGCACTCATCCTTCCTTGCTATTTTAAATGCTACCACCGGTGTCCTAGAACATTCCGGTCTTCATCTTTCCAGACTCGATCCCTTGTCGCGCCAGAAGATCATATGCTTCTCAGTTGATCTGAATAGTATGATGGTAAGGGATGTCACCCAGGGTTCCGAGGGCATCCCAGACTTTCCCTTACCCGCAGACGAGGGCGTGCAGAATGCATTGAAGATTTTCATAACCGAACAGGTGAATGAGTGGAAGAAGGACGAAGAACTACGAAGGCGAGAACAAGAGACAAAGAGGGAGCAAGAACATGAACGTCGCAAAAAGAACGCAATCGTAAGTGCGATGCTCGTGATATTCTTTGGTGGTCCCAGAATACTGTAGTCTCCGTGGTAATATCATGTTTTTTTAGGTTTTCTTGCACCGTCTTGTGGAGTTGGACCTTGTAGATCCAGCGGTGCTGGAATGTGATGCCCCCACTACTGCCTGCCCACTGTGTTCCCACGACCTTATTCGATGCCGCATCTGCGGGGTACATGCTTGCGAGAATTCAAGTTGCAAGGCATCTTCCATCGTCTCCGTCGTGGGCTGCTCTTACCACGACCGAGAGTTCTTCTGCGTACCCTGCGCAACACCTCAAACTGGCCAGTGTCCAACATGCTCTCAGTGGTATTGCATGGAGTCACTGAGCTGGTGTGTTGGACGTCCTGAAGGCGACGCTCAGTGGACCCCTAGACCTAATCACACAGCATTTGAAATCATCGATCCTATCAAATATCCAGATATTGGGGACGACCACCAGTCGACCAGCCACGAGCATCCTCCAAGCATCGCTCCATGTCGAAATTGTGTCCGCCAGGGCCTGGCTTCAGCGTGGCGTCGCTGTGGTAACGTTTACTGCTGGTCCCGCAATCGCAATCGCTTTCGAGACATGGTCTGCTCAGACTGCGAACCAGGAGGGCGGACATGCGCATGTTCACGGACATGGTTATGTGGACTCTGCACAGCTGACCCATCCGGGACGTCGTTCATCGAATGCCCAAGCTGCACAGTCGTGTATTGCCAGGACTGGTGCGCATACATCCAGAGTTGTACAGTTTGCAGTAGGACAAGGCTCTGTGATGACTGCATCGAAGAGGAAAACAATACAGAGCTCCAGTTCCCGTGTCCACGGTTTACTGAGAAGTGTGGGATATGCCGTCGTCATATCTGCGATGACTGCGTACCCCGCTTATCGAGGTGCTCCAGTTGTGATCGCTGCTACTGTCATCGGTGTAGATGGACTGAAGCAGCACACTCATGCAAAACTTGCGCGTCCCCCATGTGCAGGGATTGTACAAGAAACTGGGATGATTGTCGGCGGTGCATAGATGCAAAATATCCAGGGTGAGTTATTGAAGCACGAAGTTGATGAGCATCGTGCTGACCTTTGTTACAGTTACAAGGGACATCGTGCTAGCAGTCTTGTGATGTTTCCACCTTTGTACTGATGAAAAAGTTTGATGCCAGTAGGAAGAATGCTAGTAGGGCGGCCAAGAGCTAGATGTTGCATAAGCATGGAGCGACAGGAAATGAACCGTAAATATACGATTTCACGGTTGAAATACCTTCTATGCATGTATTTTGACGCAACTTATCATTTACGACATTTACCCTTGGCAAGGTAAATTTCGTCGTTTGAATCGACTTATCATTTCAGGCTCACCAACACTTTCGAACGAAAACAAGACATGGTTATGACACATCAACATTCAGGATTACCTATCCCATTCAATTCGATGGCGACGGTGGTGTTAAGCCTAATTCATTGATATGATAGCACTGGACCACAAGTCCAGGACTTAGAGTGCTTGGCCCAGCTTGATCAGTAGTCCCGCTATTGTCCCCTGGAATGAGTCAATATCTAAAAACAACATGGTAACATGAGTACGTACCTGGGACACAAGGAGGCCCTAAATCTAAAACCATGGTACCAGGCGTGGCATCCTTTTTGCTGCGAATAGGTCGGGCTTTAGGTCGGGGAGCCTTCTTGGCTGGCATTTCTTCGGATGCGGGTTCTACACGAGCCTTTTTCTTTCTTCCCACTTTTTTGGTAGACGTTGATGTGTCACCAGTGCACTCCAGGGTGATGCTAGCGTCAGGTTCTGTTAATTTTGACTTCGACTTCGACTTTTCGAGACTCTTGCTCTTAGCCATCCCTAGAGCTTCTCGAGTGCGTTTCCTGTGAGTTTCAGGGTTGACGCTGATGACTGGATCAAGAAACCTTATGGCCGAATCAACCGTCCTCGTGTTTACATGAATACCTGGAATTCTTGGCGCAGAACTTGGCTCCTCGATAGGCGCGAATTCATTCACCTCAGTACACTCATCAGCAGGAGTGGATGCTTTTCTCCTTCGAGATGCTTCTCCAGATGACTCTGCGACCATGTCCATTGAGGGTTGAGCGAGGACGCTGAAAGTTGCTGTTTGAGATTGCACTTTGAATGGATTGGAAATCTTCGGTCGTTGGATCTTATTATACCTGTTTCGACACTAAAGCAAAATAAATGAAAAAGAAACATGGGTCTGAAGTAGTGAATGTTACCATGCTATCGGTGCGCCCGCTGCCCAGTCGATTACTGATCTCCTTCCAGCTCGAAGTCCCGAGTTGCCGCACTGTAGCCAAGAGATCTTGGTCTTCTTCTTCGGTCCACCTCCCCTTGGTTATTGCAGGGTTAATGGTATCGTTCCAACGATCGCGACACTGATCGTTATGACGACCTGGGATGGCGGATGCGACATTCACCCAGGAAGTACCGTGCGCTTGAACTGCGAGACGTAGGCGCGAGTCCTCATCATCAGACCATGCTTTGTGCTTCAGAGCGGGGTTCAGAGTGCGTTGATAGCGGTTCTGGCACTGGCCAGGGGTAGCATCTTCTGAGACTTGACAGGCAACTGTACAGTAGATTTGATGAATGCAGATACAAAATTGCAATGTTGCAAGACACATGCCTACAGACCAGTTATCGTGACCGAAAGTAGCAACAGCTTTCAATAAACGTTCGTCAGAATCCGGTGTCCACAAATGAATTTTTCGCGTCGTGCCGTGCACCATGCAATCCAACGGCGTTCGGTGGGTCTGTCATGTGTAAATTGTCGCTCTTTTTCTGTTAGTTCAAAAAGCAGACATACCCCGAGTTTATCTACCACAGCCTCCCAATCCACTTGCTCATCCCCGTATTCGGCGACAAGCCCTTTGAGTTTGGTGATTTCATCTTGTGTCCAAGGACCATGATTGAAACATGGATGTTGATCACCCAGCCAACGTATTTCACACTCTCTTGGTGTACGCGTATACATGGATGATGAAGAAACCTGGAACACGCGAGTTAACAAGTAGTTGTGGATATGATATATTTGAACGCACCTTCTCTGCGATGCGATCCCAATCAAGGTCCTCCTTATTCAACTCGAGATAGTTTGACGGTTGATTACTCAAACTTGTAAAAACAGGATTGCCTCTGGAAGAGAAGTTGGCAAGGCCATATCATACATAGAGCAACACGAACTTTCGTTGAGCATCCAGAGCGTGCATGCGGTAGTTTTCGGTCCTCACAGCTTCACTGAGAGTCTCGAGATCCTTTTTAGTCACTGCAGCTACGACTTAGGGGGATGAATAGCGTGATGATTCGGATAACGGACTGGGATGAACTTCTGTCAGGCTTAGATATCGACTGCGTCGCGCAGCCTCTTCGTAAAATGGAGAGTCCTGGAAGAGAACATCAATAGTAGTGGAGCAAACAGGAGCCATTCTCACTTCTGAAAGCAATTCACTTGGAGCCAAAAGTCCAGATGCTTTAACGGAGCCTGGAATGACGACGGAGCCTCCGACGTCGATGTCCGGCTCACCATCCGGATTAGCATCAGCAGTTTCCTAGAAGCTATTATTGAAACTATAAGTGCGAGATATACAGAATATGACATACCAGGAGTTTGTCAACGGTTTGAAGCTCTGCCTCAAGTCTTTCGGTGTATACTTTCAAGGCGTGTTGGTGGTCCTTGTTAGCCTGGATGGCCTCTCTTACAACCTCTGTACAGTTGGTCTGTGACATGACTGTATGTTTCGAGGAGCGAAGTTGACGCGTGGCTCGGAGCTACTTAATTTGAAAATTATATAGGGACGCGTGCACAAATTGGGTTCAGCACGCTTGCACGCCATCCACCATCATGGCTCACGGAGCAGCTAAACGAATTGGTACGATTTCATCATACAACCAGCGCTCTCTTTGAATGTGCAACTTTTTTTAGCGCTACAGAATGAGCAGGCCCTCCGAAATTTGAAGCTCGGAACGTTCATCCCCACCCTCCTTTCTGCAATCTTCCGTCTTTTATTCCGGCGGAGCTCTCTCCCTCCATCTAAGGGCTCGCTGGCACTCTATGTTGTGACATATCTCCCTGCCTTGTTCCTTTCACGCTATCTCGAAAGGATGGGCACTACAAGACGAGACCCAACGACTGGAGCACTTATATCTCCGGGAGAGGACCTTAATCAACCAGGAGTAACAGAATGGTGTTTCGATATACTTTATGTCACATGTAAGTCGATGTCACTCTAAGTGTTCGGCTGAACACATAATCTATATATCTAGGGGCGTGTCAGATCGGCAGTGGGGCATTCGGTGATTGGGTCTGGTGGTTCTACCTTGTGGTGAGTGCTTGTGCTGCTTCACCCTATAGTTAGTTACGAATTGCTCTTTCTTTCTAGATCCCATTGTACGCCGGATACAAACTATGGAGTAACTTCATTGGTCCGATGCTCGGTTGGTCTCGTGGTGCGAACACTCAGGCCGCGGAGGGGGGCGGCGAGAAGGAAACGGTCAGCAAAAGGCAAGAAAAATTACGAAAACGCTCAGAACGGGGTGATCCGCGTGTCCGCTCTATGCGAAAGTAGTGCTCTGCATTTGTTCAAAGAATCATGTTTTCGATACTCTGTGACTGCACAGAGTGCAAGCTTGCGATCCAAATATTACTAGCTACTTTTTGAGCACGTGATCTCGCGGTCTTGATGAGATGCGGTCCTTGACCTCTTTCTTTACCATTCACTTACTAAGTGCAGTGCTCATTATCCTACAGCTAGATATTTCCATTGCTTCAGATATGGAGACGACTGCTGAACAACAAACGACAGGACTTAGTACTGATACTCTCCCTTCCAGAGACTCGGATGATGAATTTGTCGTGGCACCATGCGCATATAGCCAGGGCCTTGCTAACCCATCATGCGTGCAGGACAAGCCACCTTCGAACAACCACCAGGCAAGTATACAGTCCATCTATGTTTAACTTATTGGTGCCGATTTATGCATATGTATACACAGTTAGCTGAAGAGTCACTTGCATCGCAGCCACCTCCTGACCTCTCTCCTCCACTGCCACAGTCCAGTGAGCTGGAGGATTATGAGCACCATATAGGTAATTTGTCTCTGCCAATGCTACTGAGGAGTGCATTGACTTTACAATGACCTGGCGTCTTCATCAATTCATGTCGCATAAGCCGCGACAAATACATCTTGTTCAGCAGCAATATTGTCCAGAATTACCACCAACGAAGGGTTTCTTCAGACCGATGAAGTAGGTGTATAGAATTTGCTGTCATCTGAGCAAGCTAATACAATGCACAGATCCTCGTTGAGGATGCATCACTCTCTCCTTTTATATCACGGAGAGGTACTCCGCATACTGAATTGATCGACACAAACGACCTACAGATGATTCCCCTCCAATATAGTGGTATGACAGTTCAATTACCTCGCCTTCAGTCATGTGAAGTAGATGAAGAAGCACCATCGAACTCACTGGACAACATATGGTCGTCTTCTTTGCCTCCCAGCTCTAGCCCTCCTCAGATTTTTTCTTCGTCCCCGTTCGCATCATCTCAGTCGTCGCTCATCGAAACTGGAGACCATTACAAAGTCGCAGACAGGGTATATGCGCCGTTTTTTCTTTGTGCAGCTGCTGACAAACCTCAGGATATAAGAATGGAATCAGACGATCAGGATCTCATCAGTTCTCCGGACAGAGTTTACCCAGATACCTTGAAAGAAGCTTATGATGATCATGATGATACTGACATATATCAACAGCGAGAAATGGTTTGTGATATTTTCTTCGGAAGCCCGGTTACGATCAATTACATGGATTGTAGCATGAGCCCTACGATCTCGCTAGTCATGGGGGAAGCCCTTCAAAAAACGAAGGCGCTTATAGCGTTCAGGAAGTTAACCCGCTGCCACAGAAGCGATCCTGGCAGGAAGGAGAGGTAGAGTAAAGTGCTCCATCGCTTTCAACGACTTAAAAAATGTATGTTTAGATCGGTGTCCTTGGTTTGCGTGCCAGGGACCTACCACAAAACCAAGAAGACATACGATTGGCTAAACGCATGGTAATCAAGACGGGTTTTTTTGTCGACGATGCGCTGTCATTCACTCGATGTTTGCTCGCAGAAAGCACAGGATTGTAAAGTGAATCTGCCACCGGCTCCAAAACGCGCTACCTTGGCGTTCCAGCAACGGCAGTTCAAGAAACTCATCACTCCGTTTCGTTCACCCTTGATCCCGAACAAGGACGAAAATACACCATCGGAGGATCTTTTAAGGTCCAGGAGTCCTCCATCGATTCTTCCAACACTACCACCAACTCTGAAAATGCCTCTTACACCTAAGAAATATCATCATGTCCATGCAGCTCCGTCCGTTACACCAGCTAAGACCAGAGTTCGCACACTCAAAGCGGCGTCACAATTTAAATCTCCATTAAGCTCCTCTGCTTCATCATCGTCCGGAAGAGGATCATCGATTCGACTGACGCCTACAGTCCAGTCCCTAGAACGCAAATTGCAACTTCTTAAACGCGCGGTCAAAGTGAAAGAGGACGACGAGGAAAAGACGCTCGTCGGACTCATCAACAAATGGACAGAGGCAGGACGGGAGGTCGCATATGAGCTTTGGGATTTGGTGAAAGATTCTGTTAATAAGGGGGATGGTTTGGGTTGGGACGGAGGCGAGAGGAAGATGGGCTCACGAGACTCGAACTGGGGTTGGGACTCCCCTGGCATCAAACGTGAAGGCTATCCGGAGAACGAGATGGACACTGTTACGGATAATCCCTTGGACGGAGGCTATACCAACAAGATCGTTTCAGAAGATGACGAACACGCACGGAATACCATGGGTACGATGCTCCGACGGCTTGGAATCGCTATAGAGACATTAGGATGGGATGAAGATGCAGAGGTTTTCTTCGATTAAAGCTATGTTCATTCAGGTTTGTGCTATTCTACATCCAGGTTATGGTAAGTTGGGATATGAAAGTCTCAATTGCCTATCGTCTTATTCTTCGATATTCCTTAACGCCTCTTCAACAATTACTTCCGGAAATTCATACTGTATCCAGTGCGAGGCATTCGGAACAATCACTGCTCTAATGTCTTTAATTTTTGCGACAGTTTGCAGCTTCAAAGCGCCATTAAACCGCGTATCTTCAATTAAAACCGTCAACACGGCGGCACTAGGCTTGTTGGCGAACAAATGCGAGAATGTCCATGGTACATTACCCTGAAGCAAATCAAACCATCAGCACCGTTGATTCTAGAACGCCACTCGCAAACACTGACATCGATGTGGTCATCGGAGTTGGTTGATCTTCCAATCTGGATCCCTAATACCCTCCAGATGGCATCTTCTCTCGTCCATAGGGGATTCAATGTCATATAATCTTCAGCGGCGCGGTTAGTTCTGGTATCATTGGAAAGTCTGGCTCTGCAATCCACCATCTGCTCTGCAGTTATTTCCAGAGATGGGTCGATAAGAACCACTGAAGTAGGTTTGGATTCTGGCAGGTACTTGAGAAGCGATAATACCACGAGCGCGCCTAATGAGTGGCCGATGATAATATCATACTCGGCAGCTTGAAGGTATGGCAAGAGGTCATCTGCCAATGTTTGGACTTGAAAGTCAATTCCAGGCTTCCTGAGAGCATGTCCAAGAAGGTTTGGAGCAACGACTAAATATCCTATGATTGTCATATAGACAATATAGGCCGGCCGCCCACTATCAGCACTATAGAGGTTTGAGCGAAGAAAACTCGCCTTTGGCTGCAAGTGTCGATGCAACACGGTGGAACGTGTGCGAAGATGAATTCAAACCATGTATAAGGAATGCTTTCTTGTTTGCAGTAGGAGATCCCCACTGACTTGCAGACGGAACAGTGGTCATAGTACGTGAGTTGATTCCCTGTTCTGCCCGATACTAACTACTTAGTAACATCTAATTCGGATCCTTGATGAGAAGCACGGCGAATACCGAACGCAAGTTGACCAAAACTCCATGGTAGCGAACCACTCACGAGCAATGCGCGGTCTGCTAGAGAAAAATTGAGCGACCAGTTCTCTTTGGTATCTCCCGATCCCACTACTGCTAGGTATGAAGGATCGTGACGCCTATTTTTACGAGCTTTATAATAATGTTAGACTGGACGTGGCGACCCGAATGATGGGCTGGGCTGCTCCTGCCATTCTACTGGAAATTGGCGCTCAAGCGCAGTCAAGATGGACTCGCTGTAACTTGTATGTCTAGAATTTGTGGGCGTCTCTGTCTGAGCTGCACAGGTACTATAAGTGCACAGTGCTTTCAGTATTGCTCTACAGCCCCAGGCTGTTTCGTGTCTCGTCAGACGCCCAGAATGCCAGCCTGCTGAATGTCCTGAAACTTATATTCAAGGAAAAGCTGATGTACCTCCTTTCCTACATCTTTGAGATTGATATTGACTCAGAGTTCATTCCTCAGTCGAGTGTCTGTTCCATCGGCAATAACAGCACAATTGTCATGCTGATAAAAGCCAGAAGCGTCGCAATTCAAATATTCGCGAAGCTCCTCTGCGTCTACATCTTCCTTCGTCGTCTCGAAGAGGATCGTCCGTTTGACTGACGCCTCCGTCTGCTATCCTGTCTCTGAGACGCAAATACAGCTTCTCAAGCACACAATGGAAGTGAAAGAGATCGACAAGGAACGGACAATTGTTGTTGTGGCAATAGATGAACAGAGGCAGCAGCGAAGTCGCGTAGGCTTTCTTATTAAAGGTAACGTTCATTCAGGTTTGACGTCTTCTACATCGAGGTAATTTATTACACAATGATATCTGAATCATGGAAGTCTTTACTGCCCATTGTTCTACTCTTGGATATTCCTCAGTGCCTCTTCGACAATCACTTCTGGAAATTCATACTGTATCCAGTGCGAGGCATTCGAGACGAGCACTGTTCTAACATCTTTGAACTTTGTGACATGTTCTAGCTTGGAGGGGTCGGCCACCAGAATCGTCAATGCGGCAGCAGAGGGCTTGTCGGCGATAAGATGCGAAAATGACCATGGCACGTTGCCCTGGAGCAATTCAAACCATCAGCACCACTGATTCTAGAACGCCACTCGGCAAACACTGACATCGATGTGATCATCGGGGTTCGTTGGTCTTCCAATCTGGGTCCCCAACACTCTCCAAATGCCATCTTCTCTCGTCCATAGATGATTCAATGCTGTATAGTCTTCTGCAGTGGGGTTGGTTCTGATGTCGCTCGAAAACCTAACTCTCCCATCGACCATCTGCTCTGCAGTTATTTCCAAAGATGGGTCGATAAGAACAACCGAAGTAGGTTTAGTTTTTGGTAGGTGCTTGAGAAGCGTTAATACCACGAGCGCGCCCATTGAGTGGCCGATGACGATATCATACTTGGCAGCTTGAAAGTATGGCAAGAGGTCATCTGCCAATGTTGGACTTGAAAGTCAATTCCAGGCTCCCTGAGAGCATGTCCAAGAAGATTTGGAGCATTAACCAAGTATCCTACGGTATCAGAATCAATATATAAGCGCTATCAAATGATGCTCAAGCGAAGAAAACCAGCCTTTGGCTGCAAGGGCCGATGCAACACGGTGGAACGTGTGCGAAGACGAATTTAAACCATGTATAAGGAGTGCTCTCCTGCTTGCAGTAGGGGATCCCCACTGACTTGCAGATGGGACAGTGGTCATAGTGAGGTCAGAGATTAATCAGTGTTTGATCAAATGATTGTGGCTTGAATAGTGATAAGAGCAATAGTACTTGGGCGGCTACCATGGTCACAGGGAAGTGGGAAAGTATTTAACGAACCTATCAGTGAAGTTTCGAAAACAAAATGTATGAACGGCAAGCTGAAAAGTTGATTTGCAGTACGACATGGAAGAAGCAGTTACATAAAGTGGCCCTGCGCCGTGCGGGTTGTGCAGTCGTAGAGATAAAGTACGCCGTAAAAAAATATCTTCTTCACACGAAATGATATCCAGATACTCGGATTGAATGCAGCTGCCTGAATGCGTCGTTGGAAGTTGTTAGCAATGATAGGCAAATTGTGCCGACCGCGTGGTCTTGAGTCCAGGCTCAGGCCGATCCGGTGTATAGTTGCTCGCGTGCAATGGGTCGAAATTTTGAACCAAGAACTAGTATGTATACTAGTTGAAGAAACTCAAACGAGGACATGCCTCGGGGTATCAGGAATAACAAGAGATTTTGAGAAGTGATCCTGGAATTATCAAAGGACAAAAGTGGCGGGAGCTATCCAGGATAAGCGCCGTTCCAGGGCTGGATCCGGCTGGTGTGCTCTTACCACATGCCGGTCTCTGGAAGAAGTACAGACAAAAGTAACGATGCAGAACACCATCCCTTCTCTACACAGCTTACAATTTTGTTCTTGGTAGGGGAATTGCATGCATAATAGCATCCGGACACTCGTATTGAATCCAGTGACCGATGTCGGGAAGAAGTTTAACATTCAATCTCTCAACGTCACGAGGGATCTGTTCCAAGACACAATTCGCGCCGAGGTTCGGATCTGATGCCAGAATGGTGATCTTGACATGAGGTGGTATGTTTGTGAGTGCAATAGACCATGATTTGTTTCGCTGTTCGATGCAGAAGGCAGAATATGTCAGCAACACATCCAATTTCAACACCTGAAATATTACCTTAAAAACCTCGACGGTGTTGGGATCAACCATTGCAAGTCCCAACACTCTTAACACGGAGTCAAGTCGTGACCAAGCAGGGTTCTCAGCCATGTACTCTTCCGCAGTTTTGACATTCGTCGTCAACTCTACAAACCGATTCTGATTCATTTTGACCTGCTCTTCTGTAATCTCGATGGAGGGATCAACCAGTATGACCGTGGTTTCTTTCGTTTTGGGCAAGAATGGCAAGAGTAACATGTTCACTGAGCATCCAAAAGAATGACTGATGATCACATCGTAGGACGTGTCCATGGCAAAATATGGCCGGAGATCTTCTGCAAATTCGGACATCCGATAGTTGGTGCACTTTCTCCCTCCATGCCCAAGGAGATTTGGTGCTATAACGAAGAAACCTGATCGTCTGTTAGAAAAATCATTACTGTTGTATTGCAACCTGACTCACCTTCTGCTACCAGCAACTGAGCGATACCCTCCCATGACTTAGAGCACATAGTCATGCCATGAATAAGAAGGGCCCGCCTGGTAGCGGTAGGAGAACCCCACTGGGATGCTGAATGAGACATGAGCGCACTCAGATGGCTTATATAAGTTTGAGGACTTGAAGAGGTTCGGACTAGGGAAGGGAAAGGGACCAGGTAAAGTAATAGTCAAGAAAGTGTTTGTAGGACTATAGATAAAAGAACTCACCTCAGTCTTGGATCCTGAGGGAGATTGTTTGACAGGAGGAGTTAATACGCTGAACTTTTAAACGGAGAATCAAAAGTAATCATGTATGAGGCATGTGATGTGGAGATTGCGTATAAAAAATTAGAAGGACGGGTGCTTACGACGTTCAGGCTTGACATGCATCGACAGAGAAGCGAGGGCAAACTTAACCTCATCAGCAAGTCGCGAATGTGTTTATTCGGGGATGATCAATAGCAAGCATATGATTGAACATCAGACGAAAACTACGGAGACGTACTAGATGCAGCATGAATCGCTGCTGCGCCGAAACACAGGATTGGGTACATTGCATGATGATCGGATGTAATCATAACCTAGATAAGCGTGTATCGTGCGAAATGCGGAGGTAAGAAGCTAACCTACTCACAAATAATAATACGAGACCGAAGACTGCCATTGAGAAAAATGCATAGGACTATCTAGTGATCATAGCTTGACCAGACACAGACATGAAACGTTCTGGGTATCTCGTCTTGATCCGTGCCGCTAGATCCTCCTCATATATCTGGTCCTGACCCAGCTGATTCCCAAGCGTTAACCACCTTCGAAGCATCATTGTCAGTACACCCCATCATATGAAGTCGTTCGCCATCACCCACCCAGATCGCGTATTGTGCTTTCTTCCGAAAATCTCAATCTTCCGCCCACCAGGACACATCCTTTCGATCAGGCCGTACACCTCGTCTGGTTTGCGACTCGTCTCGCGCACCTCGCTCACGATAACATCGGTGTCGAGTCCGCGGTTCGCCCAGGAGGGAAAAATGAGGTTCCCCGCAGCGTCTGTGCGAGTTTTGACACCGACAAGCATGTGCTCTTTCGTGTGGTTGAGCCAGTGGCCTGTTCGGCCAGTGCGGATCACGCGTTGGAGCTACTGAATATAAGTAAATCGAAAGGTTAAGAGGGTATATAAGGCATGTACCTGGTTAGTCTTAACCCAGACTACTTCGTCGACACGAGTATACCCCCATACTCGAAGGCATTCCCGACCGACTTCCATTGCACGCCCAGTGACCCAAAGGAAGAGAAGTCCTTCGTCCTGGAGTGTTGGTATCGGCATGGCACGCATTTCATCGTCTGTCATCGTACCATACGGAAGCTATTCAAAATTTACTCAGGCTCACATACGGTGGAATGGTCCTTATAAGACGCGCACGCTCATGTGTATATCCCATGGTGGGTCTGCCATTATAACGTGGAATTTACCTAGCACTGAGTAGTCAAAACGGCGCAGGTCACAATTGATCCACTGAGGAGGAAGCTGGACGAAGAGCGTCAGCGTCTACTACGTCGAGACACATCCACCTTACTTACCACTTGCATGTCTCTTCCATCAGGGCCCATTCCCAGCTCAATCTTGAAAGGCTTCTTTAACTTCTGGTTTTTCCATGCATCAGCCGGAGCAGAAGGTCCATCTTTCTCGTCCCAATCAATCTCGAAATGCAAATACCGACATGGAGCTTTCTCTTTTCCCCTACCACCTGCACCGAGACCAGATGGTAATGACACGCGTGCGCCAGTGCCAGGTGGGAAAGGAGTAATCGAAGGCGATTGTGAGTAAGTCGGCTCAGAGTAGCATGTGTTTAGGTAAGAGCAATGTCCAAGGCTGGGGTCTGTGTGCGGTCGAATGAGAGGGCGGAAGTGCAGGAGGTTGCAGAAGGGAGGGTTAGGCGGATTGGAAGGATCAGCCTCAGAGCGAAATTTGGCGCACTCTCCTTTGGTAATATAGGTGCAGATCGGCTCGAATCCACCGTTGAGAGATCGAAACTAGTGCTGAACGTTCAGGAAAACACAGCACATGAGCATTGGTGGTACACGTACGCGTTCCGCAAGCAGCCGGCCCTTGGCGGTACTCTTCTGGAGGATTGCGTAGACCTCCTTCAAGTCTTTACTTAAATTTCCTAAGGGGGTGTTCATGGAGATGGAAGAATCGTTTTCTCCGTTGGATGATGAGATCTCATCAGGAGAGTTACCAGCAGCGGAGTCCGCATCCTCGTCTATGGGTGCTCGTTTGCGCTTCCGAGGATTGATAGCCTCGAGAACATGGGGATTTCCCAGATGAACATCCATAATATAGAACTCGCCGCCTTCGTGTGACAGCAGGATAGAACCATGATCCCAGTTCGATGAGAGTGCCTCGAGTACTTTTTCTACATGGGCTAAATCAGTTAGTCGTGGTATTGTGAGGCTTGGAGCAGCGGAAGTGGATGGCCTGAAGGATATGAGAGCCAAAAGGAGATCCATGGAGGTTAATGGCGTCGAGATTCTTCCTGAAGTCAGGAGGGTCTGTAAGCCTGTTGATACCAGGAGCGAGAGTTCATCATCGTTCATGATGACAAGGGTGTTCTCGACGACGACGATGAACACTGCAGTCGTCGAAGAATGATGGTTCCAAAAATGGGCATGGGAAGAAAACCCGTCTACCAAAGAAAATGCAAACTTTTGTTAGTGCCATCCCAAAATTTCCTTAATAGTATAGCGACAGAGGGTAACTCAAGCAGACAACGCCCTCGCCTTTTACTAGGGCGTTCCGTGGGTTGCCCTCGCTTCAATGTCGCATAGCCAATTTTTCAGCTCTCAGCTTGACCTGAGCAATTAACCATTTCTATGGTTAAGTTTCTCTTTTGTCTTTGCTGTTTTTGCTAACACACAACGTAGTATCGCTGAATTCGAATGGCCGCCTACTTTTATTATCTCCAATTTCTGTCCTTTGACCCCCAGTGTCCCTTCTTATCTCCAGGTGCGCGAATGCCCTGATGTGAGGCGTACCCCCATCAGTCCGCCGTTCCCGCCGGCCGTTTTAGACGCGCCACCTTGTTGATGAGATGATGGGCCGCCTACTTCTTGATGCATGAGCAATAACAAATGCGGATGGTGGACACCAAAATTAGGCCAATTTTTGTCTGGATGCCAGCCTGGCTCGTTCCGTAGGGATTCCGAGTCTCATAACTCATATCGCTCATGCCTCATTCTTGCATCTAATAGGCCGTGTCTGCTCTCAGCTCAGTGCTCTATGGATGGTGCTAGATTACAAGCATCGGTCGTTGACCGAGTCCGACTTGGATAAACGGCTTTTCCCAATCTGAAGAAGATTCAGATGATATGAACGAAGCTATGACTTGATACTCTTTCAATGCCTGTGTGAGTGAGCTATATATACTTTCGTACTAAGATATGATACCCCTCCGCACTGTACACGATCACTCTTCCTACACTGGCCGCCTCCTTCCAGTCTTCGGTTTACCCGCCCTCAGTATTTAAGTGGAAACTGAGCTCATGAGTTTCTAACCTCTTCAAGTTAGGTCCCTACCAGCTTTACTACCCACAAAGATATTCGAACACATTCAATTCATCTGAATACGAATACTATGTCTACATCCATGTCCGCAACCCACTGGGGTTCCCCTACCGCTTCTAAACGTGCTCTGCTCATCCATGGTTTGACTATGTGCTCGCAAACATGGGAGAGCATCGCTCAACTATTAGTAGCAGAAGGTCAGGTTCTGTAACACTATGATGATGCTCTGTTTTAACACCTATCCAGGATTCTTCGTCGTCGCGCCCAATCTTCTCGGACATGCATGGAGAAGAGGCACTGATTATCGCGTGTCCACCCTCGCAGAGGACCTCCGTCCATATTTCGCTATGGACATGTCTTACGACGTGATTATAGGTCATTCTCTTGGGGGCGTAGTGACCTTGTCGCTGTTGCCGTTCTTGCCCAAGACGAAAGAAACCACTGTCCTACTTGTCGATCCACCCCTCGAGCGCGCGGGGGGGACATTCAAAGATGATAAGAACTGGTATCTGAAGAAGGTTGTAGATCCCAAAAGTGCTGATGAGCACATGGTCGAGAATCCCGCCTGGTCTCGACGTGACAGTACATTAAGGGCGCTGGGAGCCTACATGTGCGATCGCACTGTCATCGAGGGGATCTTTGAGGTAATATTTCTCAGGCTGGTATCGATATGGCAGCATTACTGACAAATTCACCGTGAACAGCATAACACGCCTTGGTCTTTCAGCGGCCTGTTCAAAGACATCCCACCTCACCTGAAGATCACTGTGTTGGCATCGGATCCGGAGCGAGGTGGTCTTTGTCACTCGGAGCACGTCCCTCCTGAAGTAAAAATTAAAGTTTTTACTGGAATTGGTCACTGGATCCAATTCGAGTGCACAGATGCTATCATGGCTGAAGTTCCGTTACCTAGATCAAAGCTTTGAGCCGAGCATATGTGAAGAGCTGGGTTTTTATGATGTAGTATTCGTATCCAACTATCGATTTAGACACTGATATCCCCCCAATCTGAATTACCTAGATCTGCAACAATGCCAAATTCCCTCGTACCACTATGAGTATCTGTTTAACAACTTGCTCTCAAACCCTGCCAAGCTTGCCATCTATTGTACGTTCCAAACTTGTGTTGGAATCTGTCATACCTAGGCTGCAACAAGCTCCACCTACTACAATCGATCTACAGCAACCCGTTCATGTTCGCATCCGTGAACTTCTTCGCTTCTCTCCTCGCACCCCGGGCCCCTGTCATCATCCTCTTCGGTCCGTTTCATGCGCTATCGATACATGATGGATTACAACATTCGGATCATCCTCGGAGTCTGACTGTAAGTATCTCTCAAGCATATCAGTAGCCATTGGATCAATCTGGGGATGGGCAACGCTGGCAAATGAGCGCTGAGCTTTCGATGGTAATGATAGCTGTGTTGTTGAGTTATAACTCGGTTGTAACTCGGTGCGCCGACTTTCACCTTGCTCCATTGTATGTTTTTTTCTTCTTTTTTTACCGCGACCTGTTGGCGTTATCTACAGCCCTTCCACACTTGCTGCGGCGCCCATAGTAATTGATTCTGCCATGTGGGTAAACTTCAACTTGTGCAATGTGACTCAATTTATATAAATCATTACATAAGCATGATTCCGAAGCTGATCACGTAATTACATAATTCAACCTTAGGTGACGACTGACAAAAAACTACAATAGCCATGGTCAAAAGCTTTTCTGCGTGTTTCTTTGAGTTTAGGGATGCAAGGTGAGCTTTTGTTTCTTAGACCGTTTTTTTGATGGATTATAGCGATTACTTGGGATACATCTCCGTGCAATGGCCTTCGACATGACGCGTCAAACGCGTCGCGTCGCGTTCAATCCTATTTAGTCAGCACATATTTGGGTACACCCAAAGGTCGCATGCCCATGTGGCAGACAGTTCAGTCACTGCTAGCTGCATACAAGCATCATCGTGCTTTAGGTCCATCTGCTTTTAACACTTCTTGCTACGACGTGACCGTACGTCAAGCCCTACCATGCGATATTTCTGATGGATCCCGGTCATTTCAGCCACTGTAGAGCAGGAATTGAAAATCACGGTTGGAGTTTAAAATTGGTAGGTCTTGCCCATCCCCACCTTGACATGCATGGCGGTCGTAAAATTTGTCACGTTACCCATTCCTGTGAGATGCGCTTTATCCCTGCACTCACACCCTTAGTAATTTAAGTGAAGACCGAGCCCATGAGTTCATAACACCTTCGTTCCCTCCCTCTTGCAAGATTCTCTAGAAACAACCAAGTCAGCCGAGTATGAGCACGTCCAGGTCCGCATCCCACTGGGGTTCCCCTACCGCTTCTAAACGTGCTCTGCTCATTCATGGGTTGACTATGTCCTCGCAATCGTGGGAAAGCATCGCTCAGCTATTAGTAGCGGAAGGTCAGGTTCTGTAACGCTATGATGATGCTCTGTTTTAACACCTATCCAGGATTCTTCGTCGTCGCGCCCAATCTTCTCGGACATGCATGGAGAAGAGGCACTGATTATCGCGTGTCCACCCTCGCAGAGGACCTCCGACCATATTTCGCTATGGACATGTCTTACGACGTGATTATAGGTCATTCTCTCGGGGGCTTAGTGATCCTGTCGTTATTGCCATTCTTGCCCAAGACGAAAGGAACCACTGTCATACTCGTCGATCCACCCCTCCAGCGTACAGCGGAACAATTCAAAAATGATAAAATCAGGTTCATGAAGGAGATTACGGATGCCAGAACCGCTGACGAGCACATGGCCGAACATCCTGCTTGGTCTCGAGGTGACAGCATGTTAAGAGCGCTGGGAGTCTACATGTGCGATCGTACTGTTATCGAGGGGATATTTGAGGTAATATTAATATTTCTCGTGTCGAAATTGGAAGTATCGCTGATAAATTTATCCTTCCTGTGAACAGCATAATAGGCCATATGCTTTCAGTGGCCTGTTGAAAAACATCCCACCTCATGTGAAGATGACCTTGTTGATGTCCGATCCAGAGTCCAGTGGTGTTTGTCTTTTGGAGCACGTCCCTGTTGACGTGGTGAGATTGAATGTAAAAGTCCTTGACGGAATTGGTCACTGGGTTCAATACGAGGTTCCGAAGGCTATTATAGATGAAATTCCTTTGACAAGGGCAAAACTGTGAGTCGTGTAGACAAGGGAAAAGTAATGTGCGACGAATTTTGTGTAACCGCTGCACTTAAATGTATAATTACTTGTTCTTGGTAAATTTGCCTCAGACTGACTGCTTTAAGAAATTTAGGTTACGTTGTATGAGCACAAGCAATGCTATTTGAAACAAAACTGCTAAGTGGCGTATACCTAGCTAACGCTTCAGCGTCCTGCATTGACACTGAGCTAGCATCCCATCCGATAGAAGGAAGTGTAAGACTGAGCATGAGTTCGGCAGGGAATTGCGAACGAGATGAGATAGATACTGTAAGAGACGTGTTGATAGATAACACGAAGACAAGAATGAATACGTTTAGAGGCGGAGACTTTCTGTGAGGCGTGCTTGGAGCGGGGAAATCAGAGTATCCGATTCTGCTGCTGCTGCACAGCGCCCTCTACTAGATATGAATGTACATGAGATATCTATACTCCCGAAACTCTAAGGGTCCTCGGATATGGCTAGGCCAAATGATTATGTGCATAAAAACGGAGGCAGAAGTAAGTGGCGTTGAATCTCAAAATGACAGGAACGAGACAAAGAGTGCTAAATATTGAATATGAAGGGGTATGGTGTAAGATGGGGCCTGGAACCATGATGGCTGACGACGACGGTGAAAATGTATCCGCGTGACTCGGATACGACGATAAGTCACATGGATGGCTTCGGCGAGAGCCTAGTCGTAGTCTGTGCGTAGAGGATATGGGATATGGTATCCTTACAGAAGATGATCAGTCGCTCCTTCTATAGTATTGAGTCAGTGAAGGAAAACAATTAGGGTGCAGAAACAAAGCACTCCCGTTCTTGGAAACGCCACTCCCAAATTTCAATATGCCTGGATCCAATAGAATGACACCTCGAAGGCTGAGCGCATCAGCTGCCAATGTACAGCCCGTACAACAAGCTGTGAAGCAATCACGGAAATGTTACATAAAACGTACCAGCTCGAACTTCCAGCATACTCAGCTCAACTCTGACTTGACCTAAACGTGTATTGTGTCTTTGTGTCGGGACATCGAGACCTGCTAAGAGTCATATCGTCGTAAGTGGTGATTTTGGACTTTGTTGGATGAAGGGCTGAGAGGCTATGCTTAGTAGTTGATAATGTCTTCATGCACTGTTGGAGCGCATGATACATCGAATTCAACCCCCTGCCAGAAATTTGAAGGACACACCGATTGGGTCTATGGCGCCATACATCTAGGCGGACAGCAGATGATAACTTGTTCAGATGACAGCTCGCTGCGGGTATGGGACTTAAAGAGTGTAAAACAGATAGGAGGCGACTGGCGGGATGGAGAAAGTCCGGTGCTGACAATGGAATTGTCTCCAGATGGGAGGAGGCTGGTTAGCGGGAGTCGGGATGGTGGATTGAGGTTGTGGGATATCGAGACAGGCAAAGTCATCACAAAATGGACGGGACATGCATATGGAGTGAGGACTGTCTGCTGGAGTCGAGATGTTCGGCGAGTCTTGAGTGGATCCTACGATGGGACTGCAAGGCAATGGGATGTAGAGAGCGTAGATGCACCAATCGCCGCGGTCCGGGTGATCGCAATCGAGACTGGGTACACTGGGACACAGGTGTACGTGACGCAGCTGTGTATTCGCCAGACATGACCTTGATCGCCACTAGTGGGTACCACGTGCCCTATGAATATCTGATCAAAATATGGGACGCGAATACAGGCGAACTTGTTGTCACTCTCGAAGGGCATACACATTGGTCATGTCTGGCTTGGACCAAGGATGGGAAAACGCTTGTATCCGGATCACATGATCGCTCCATGACACGGAGTACTACCACCTGGACACAGATCGCAGTGTTGGAAGGACACACCGACTTTGTCTATGGTATTGCGATATCACCGAATAGCCGTATTCTTGCAAGCGCATCTGCAGATAACACAGCGCGATTATGGAGTCTTGACAACGGCCAGCCCATCAATTCGCCCCTCCACCATGCAGATACAGTGAGATGCGTGTCGTTTTCGACAGATGGAAAGCTACTACTCAGTGGCTGCGAGAACAGCAATGTTAATGTGTGCGCATGGGATGTTTGTGCGATACTAAGAGAACCTAGACTCGCCAACCTTATGGAGCAGTCTGAGCACGACAAGTGGATAACTGTACGTGAAATTTTCATTGAATTGCATCAAGGCTTATGCAGGCTAGGCTGATGCTACACGACGTCCTGTCCGTCAGTCAATCAAGTCCCATCGGCTACCCCGAGGTTTTTTCGGCGACACACCGAATCCTGCTCACGTACGTCGTCCGTTAATATTCAGCACTGTTTTCATTACCTTCATGCTCCCAGTCGTCTGCACGAAACAGCCTTCACCCTTCACCACAATCGCATGGAAGCACCCTTCGTAGCCGGTTTTTATCTTTATTTCGCCCCACACCCTCAGATGCTCGTGATACGTTATCTCGAGCCCGCCATTTCCACTGGGCTCGAAATCATCTCCCTGCCAGAACAAGCAGTGTAGATATCGAGCTGCCTGAATGTTTCTCAGCAGTCGTTGACGCCCCGTGTGCCAGGGGCAAACGCGTATGTTCATAGCTTCCTTCTGAAATGTTCAATTTCACCTGATTTTCTTTTCTTCATCTCGGATGTTCAAATCTAACTTCACACCACGCAGAGAACTGCTTGTGCAAGAGAGAGACGAACCCCACTGATCCCGAAAAATACTATTGCAGGAAGCTCACGCCCTCTAAATGGCACCGTCATCGATGCGGCTCAAGCTCAGTCGGCCTCGCAACCACATTCTACCGTCTTCACCTCCACCGCGCCCCTCGCTGTCGCTCATACAACTTCGAGCATCAATCCTCAAGCAACGATCAAACACGCTGGTCTTTGGACTCGCTTTTGGCTCTTTATCTGTTGTACCTCTCCCGAGTATATTGACGGACATCACTAATGTACCAGCGATCTCTCCCGACATTTCATAGTTGTATCTCGTTTAATAAAATGACGGTTTATTTTATTGCATACTTGAAGTACCAGCCATGCATAGCTTTGTCATGTACAACCGCTCTCTAACCCTCCTCGGTTTAAAGTTAAATATGACGATTGGTTGGTGCAAATCATAATACCCCACCCTCACAATATGCGCCGCTCTTCTCATTATGATGAATGGCATGATTATATATTTGCCGCAATCCACGAGAGGTCTTCCCTGAGCTCAGCTATTGGCAGCAGAAGGTCCGATTGTTATACAATCACCCTGCCGCCTTCATACTCTTCCATGGTTGGAATCCAATTTGTTGGTTGCGTTCACAATTGGGTCAGCTCTGAAATGGCTGTACATAAGTTAGATTGATATTACTGAGAAAATCATTCGTGCATGCTCTCAATGTGACCACATACCAATTTGTAGTAACTTCAACGAGTGCTGTATGTAAAGCTGATCACTGTGATTGTATACGGTAGCCATACGGTTACCGCCCGTATCGTATTGTTTGTCATACGGTCCTCGATACCCTCGACGGTACGGTGTATGGTCATAAGGGGGATGGAAACTTACAGTCGCTAGTGTGTGGTAAATGTAAGTATCAATCAATCGATACTGATGAGACTCGACACACCAGGGCCGAAGGGAAGCAGATGCCAGATCACGGAATGGGATACGGTTTTTTGTTGCCACACATAGCCAAGTAGAACGCGTTATAATCAATTGAACCGCTCCTGCAAGTTCTATCGTGCTAGCAACAACAATTCTGCCAAATCGATCAGACGTGCCCAAAGATATAAAAGCTGTCATCCATCAGAATTCCCCCAACATCAATCGATATCTCCTCAGAAGATTCCATATCACCTGGCTAACAAAATGTGTTTATTCTTCCTCGCTGTTGTTGTTTTGTCAGCGTCTATGTCTGTCAGTGCATGTATACCCCAGGGAAAATTTTGTGAAAACATTCAAGATTGCTGCCCTAACTCGAATTTGCAATGTATTTTTCAAGTGAGTAAGAGCAGGAACCTGGAACTAAGGTTCAACCATATGACTCACCTGCGCGCCTTAGGATAGCCAGGCTCTACACAAAAGTTGCACATACGTAACGCCGCACGCACGCAACTTGGATCTGTTCGTCTAATTTGTTGGCCTCGAAAGCTAGCTCGTGGATCTCTCTCTATGTATGTGATGGAGCCAGCGAGACGCCACTTCATTTCTGATCATGATTCGTGACAGATGTGTTATTTTCTGCTTGATGTAGGTGTTTTCGATACCCTCGACGGTACAGTGTACGGTCATACGGGGGATGAAAAACTTACAGTCGCTAGTGTGTAGTAAATGTAAGTATCAATAAATCGACACTGATGAGAACACACCCGGACCGAAGGGAAGCAGACGCCATGTCACAGAATTATAAAATAGTTCTTTGTTGCCACTTGCCAGCACACACATAGCCAAGTAGAGCGCGTTATGGGCGATTGAACCGCCGCTGCAGGTTCTATCGTGCTAGCAACAACAATTCTGCCAAATCGATCAGACGTACCCATAAGTATGTGCAAGGTATAAAAGCTGGTCGTTCATCAGTATCAGTATTCCCCCAGTATCAATCGAAATTCCCTCAGAAGATTATATATCACCTGGCGCACAAAATGCGTTTCTCTTCCTCGCCGTTGTTGTTGCTTTGGCAGCGTCTATGTCTGTCAGTGCATGTGTAGCCAAGGATGAACCTTGTGTACATCATGAAGATTGCTGCCCGAACAAGGGATTGGAATGTGTTTATCCAGTGAGTGTGACCAGTAAACAGGGTTCAGCCATATGACTCACCTGCACGCCTTAGAATGGTATGCTCGAAGGCCTGAAATGCACGTTCATACCGCCGCACGCACGCAACTTGGATATGTCCATCTAACTTGTTGGCCTCGAAAGCTAGCTCATGGATCTCTCTCGAAGTATGTGATGGAGCCAGCGAGACAGACGCTGATCGTGATTCGTGACAGACGTGTTGTTTTCTGCTTGATATGGTTTTAAAGCCCAAGGTCATACAGGAGCACGCGTTATGATGAAAGTGAATAAAGGGGGCAACAAATACAAGGATAAAGTTACTGCCTGAGTGTCAAGAAGTGTTGGATAAGGTGGAAGGGACACGGACACAGTTGGAGAGCCTGGAGAGGGGGAATTTGAAGAAAGAAAAAAAAAAGTTGGTACCTTGATAGTGGTTTCATCAACAATGTTCTTTGTCTCCGAGGGAGTACAGGGTCGTCTGGGTGTGCTCAACTTTGGCCCTCGTCGACGAGTCGCCGTCAACATCATGCGGCTGCCACACGTGACACCAAGTCACACGACCGACGCGCTTGTGAGCCGTAGTAACCGTCAACGAGAGCTCAAAAGCTCAGATGAGCGGTATTAAAATTCAAACCTCTTACTGACGCCCATTGTATTCTGATAAACGACCAGTGTCCAACTCGAGATGATATATAAAGAAGTAAAACACCTACATTGCCATGGTATCCCCATAATATAACATAAGGGAATTTGATTCTACTTATTTTCCAGTTCTCGGATACATCATAGTTTTTTTAGGAGGCTATCTATTATCATTTTTGACTCAGGATACCAAGGGTCCTATGATAAAGATGCATAACAGTGTAACGTTTTGTCCGAGGGTTCTAGACCTATGGTCGTCCTTCAGGCGACCAAGGAGGGTTGTTAGTCTTGATGCCGCCGACACCACCTTCGTAAACGCCTTCAATGGTGAGCTGCAAGGTTGGACTGACAGCTTTCGGTTCCATAGCCCATAGTGCAACAGCAACAGTACTATACGGAAGTCAGAAATCATCTCGTCAATACACCAGGGGTCGTACTTTATGCCATTGTAGTCCAGAATACCCTGCTGGACAGGAAACTTATACTGGGGCCTGTACCTTGTTATCAGCCGGGTTTATGTGACAAATTGAACCGGGCGTACCCGAGGTTAGACACCCTCTTACCCATCATCCATCCGTTGACGTATAACTGAGATCGATACGGCTGAGAGGTGTTGTCAAACACGAAGGACATCGGAACATCGAATCCATCTGGGATGCTCAAGTTGAATGTCGTAACAAAGAACCCAACGCCGGCGGCGGCGTTGGGCAGACCCTCAGAGAGGTCTTTCAGTGCCCAAGAAGAGGTATCAAACCCAGGTAAGTGCCAGCCCATGCGTTCACCGTAGAGACCTCCTTCATTCAGCACCCCGCGCACCTTGTCGAGATAGCTGTGGTGTCCTAAGCTGATAATGTGGACATACCAGAAAAAGGAAAACGCACTTAGTGTATCCGCCAACCTTACCCTGAACTTTCCATTCACCGAAGTCTCCAGTATTGAGCATGAAGCCACGGACACCACGAGGAGATTTATATTCATCAATAACAGCTAAAATCATTCTCAACATCAGAATCACTTCGGTCTGAGTTTAACGCGCGGCTTACGGCCCGACTCATTGAGGCCCATATTATCCTAGTTCTGTCATCAGTGACAACGACGACTTAGAACATGAGAACCCACCTGAAGGATAGTGATGACGTTCTCTCGCTCGTAAAACAAAGATCCCTGGGGGAAGTGGAACTTATCATCCGTTTCTTCCAGAATATGTCTGTTGTTTGTGGAGCTATGTAGCTAGGGTCAGTAACACCCTCAGATGATATCCATGATGACGTACTTTCCGTAGGATGTGTTCAAGAACACATCGTTCACCCAAACACTGGCAGCAAAAGCTAGTTGATATTATCAGCATTCAGATATCTTTTACTCCTTTGGACCCACCTTCGCCGCCATTGATGGAAAGGTTGACAGATTTTGTGTTTTCCGTAGCATTGAAGTGCCCACGCCAAAGTACGATGTTCTCACAGCTGTTAGTCAATAAGCTATAATGAAGGACGTAGATGAGCCAATGACTAACAATTCATAGTCACAGCCATAGAGAACCCTCCCGTCGCCGTAGTGAGGTTTGAAGGGTAGGTTCGTGGTGGTATGGTTAGCAAGAGTCCAGCTGGCATCAGAAAATCCGCTACAGATTTCTGGTAAACTGTCTGCATATCTCCAGTTTGTAAGCGCGGGTGGCGTGAAGCCAAGCACGGCGGATGAGGGCTTTACTTGTCCAACAAAACCTCCTTGGGCGGTCAAATTTGAGACCGCAGTAACATCAGCTGAGATAGGAATTCCGTTCCATGTAACCGTCTTCACATCATCAGGCGCGATAACTGTAAGTTGAACGCTATCATTCAAGTCGCCACGAAGGGCGAGCGTCGATCCAGTAATTGTAGCGTTGCGAACTAAATAAGGACCTCCAACCAGGATCGAGGAATTCGTGCCAAATTGCCAATAGTTGGCAAACTCAACGGAATCATTTGCAGGGATTTCGGGCGACCAAAAGGTTCCAGCGGTGTTGGTATCACTATAGAGGACTAGCTGCTCACTGGAATCCCAAATCGTAATGAGTCCTTGAATGCCAGGAAGGAGAGTGACGGTAGCGACACCATTAGAGGATACTGAAGAGACTTCTGTCCCTTGTATACGAGGCGTACCACTCAATGTCAGAGCAGCCTCTGACTCATGCATAGGGTCGCCATGGAGGAACAGTACATCTCTTCCACCAATCTGGCCAGCAAAAAGAACCTGCGCTGTAGAATAGAGAACTTTCGATGACGAGCCAAATGAGTAATCGGTGACGATAATTTTTGATTGTCTACCCCCGAGTGTGATGGAGGATGTGACACGGGGGACCTCAAAATTACCAGCAGAAGTAGTGACATTGAGCTTAAAAGTGGTTATATCCCTAACGGGATTGTGAACACCCAGGTCAACGTGACGATATAATGAGCTCACGTTGTTGTTGAATTTCCTTGTCTTGCAATGTAGAATGACGCCCCTGAGTCGGGGTTCCTTAACAAAGTTACAAAGGCAGCCGGATTGGAGACGGAAACAATGCCGCCAGTACTGTTTCCAACCCAGTCCGTTTTATAGAAATCTGGGGAGCTTCGCAAGAAGAGACCCTGACGCTTAAGTTCCGGATACTTGACAGTCAGTTCTCTGTTCTCTGCAATGGCACTCCCGTAATCGTACGAAGCTATGAGTCGATGAGCCAGCGTTTTATTGTTAGAGGGGTAGAATCTTACTGTATACCCCGGGAAAAGGAAGGGCACCCCATGAAGTTCCCCTGTAAGTGTGTTGAGTATCGAACCAAGTACAAGAATGAAAGGCTTGCCCGTATAGCATGTAGTAGTTGATTAATTTTGCGTTGGATGCCCAAAGATGAAGATTGAAGACATTCTGGAAATCGACTCCCGTGAGTATGCGGCATTGATCATAACCTGACAAGATGGTAATGTGAAGGCGTAACCAAGGCTTGGACTAACTATTTACCTGGTGCCGTTGGACCCCAGGCATCGAAAGAACCACCCTGGAATTCTGGGAAATACCAAGGTTGTCCAGGGTTAACAGCTGAATGCTGACTTAGCATCAGAAGTAAGAGCTACCAGTGTAAATCACATACACTCATGATAGCTATGATAGTTCGTGTCCACCGGGCTCCAGACATCTGGGTGGGAACAGTCAAACCCTTGTGGGTAGGAATCCATACTTGAGGACAATAGTCATGTCAACACGAACCCAAGTGTCTCGTGAATGCACTTGCCCATAGATATTCACGGCACCCTACACGTCATGAAAATCAATATAATAGTCATCTGGAAATAAATCAGCTTACCGTTCCATTGATCCACGCTCGTTGTTCTCCCGGGTCGTTAGCTGTTAACGGGATAACAATACTGGAGTTCGAATAAACAGCCTCCAACTCGCGAAAGTATTTTGCATGTGTGGCTGGTTCCTGGGAGTATTCATTGTCTTTACGTCGCAATTAAGCACAATACAATTCAATCCAATGGGCATGTCGAATGTGGCGGCCGCTTACCGATCTGGATTGCTAATAACGAAGCAACTATGAGACAAATTAATGTAGAACATGATCAGCTCGGCTTGCCTATTACTGGTCCGCCTTGGGTCACTTGGTAAGGAACAGTTTCGGTAATGACACCTTGCACATAGTCCTGCCAAGCTGCGTGCCAGTCCGTCGCATTTGTCCGTAGTTCGCTTGCAACTTCTGATGTTACCCAGTGCGCAATACCTCCTGCAGTCGTCTCCGCATTGATATAAGGCCCTGATCCTCATTAGCATGAACCCATTTACAAAATACAAAAAGTCACACCCGGACGGAGAACAATCCATATGCCAGTCTGTTTCGCAGCCTCGTAAAGGGGCTCCAAAGCACGGTAATCATTGAAGTCGACAACGCCAGGAGAAGGATTGATCAGAGCCATGTGGGTATAAACACTAATTGCGTTAAATCCAGCAGCCTTCACTTTCTGCAGAATATCAAGCCATAGTCCAGGCACAGGCAGTCGGAATGTATGAAACTCTCCTGAGCTGGGTGCACAACGTGAATGTATCAAATATGATTCAAGTGCCCATCGAGTACTTACTGGATGAAAACGCGCTGCCCTCTGATAATTAGACTGTACTTATCCCACAGGATATCATTCGTACGTCCATTTCCGGTGAAGCCCATGCCTACCGGCATATCTGCTTGTTCTGCCCTGGAGAAATCAAGATGAGACGCTCGGGAGAAAATGTTCGAGCGCCTAACTGGTAACACCAGAACGCATAGAACCGAGAGAATTACAAAAAGGACCCATGAAGGCCCACGACGTTTGGGTAACCTAGATGATGCAGGTCCACTGAGAAATAGCATGTCTGACTGAAACTTGAACGACTTGGGATCCACTGCCTCAAGTGTTGCCTTCCCAAGCGCATTTATACCGCTCTCCGAGTCATAAAGTAGGGTAATATCACTAGTATTCCCGGATTTCTTGAGCTGCATGACTGCAAGCTATCACACGCGAAGCTGTTAAGATGCAATGACGAAGTCTGCTGTGGTACACCGCGGCGTTATGGGAGAATGTTACAGCCCAGATGTTGAACCGAATTACAGAGGCGCGGGAATCATCATTGCGACCGTCGGGCCGCTCCAAGATTCAATTGATCAGGCTTTTTCGTCACTGCTCCGAATGTGGATGGAAACAGTGCGCGGACTACAGAGGACCTCCCCCTTCGGGCATACTTCGTTATGAACACTTCCGTAGTACGACGTGTCGCTTGATTATTCAAATATTCAAACCCCATTGTATTTGTTGTACTTGTACATTGCATGATCTCCAGTGCACAAAATCTATATAAATCGTGTATGCGTGAAATATACATGCTAAAATGAACAAGCATCTCGGAATCCAACCCATGGTGCGTAATTAAATTATCATGAGCGTGAGGCGGCGAAGAGATACAGTTGCTCCCCGGCATCATCAAGCTCAGCGACGAGGAGCTCGTTCACAGCCGTGGGATTATCCAGGTAAACTGAAGAAACCAGATCGGATGGCTGAAAGAGAGATACATGACAGAAAACTTACCATGGTGACCAGCGTATGGTATATTATACATCCTGCTCCGATAATTACCGGCTTTGCGTAAATTCTCAAGAGACTGCAGTCCGCCTTGCGGGTCCATCCAATCATGCTCACCGTCTAAGGGAATATTGAGAAATCGCTCAAGACAGCTAAAAATAGCACGTACAAATGAAGGTTATTGGTATTTTGAGGGCAGCTATTCTGTCGACAAGCGGCATACGAGCATGAGCGTAGGGTGCAAGGATATGAGCTGGGTGAAACACTATCAGATCAGGGGTTGAAATTGAAAGAGCAGAACTTACATATGCAATACTCTCCCGAACCCTTAGAAAGTGTTATATTTAAGATGTAATCATGCATATCGCGTGTTTCCTCTTCCGTCAAACCGGAGAAACGGCGACTTGAATACTGCATTGAGCGGAAATGTCAATACTCCAGTGTGTTCGACGATATCATACTCCACACCTTTCCTACAAGCATGGGACCCCAGAAAAGAGTCGAGCGTACAACTTGAAAGGGACTCCAGCCCTCCTCCCATAGGTACGTGAGGAGCTTTCTTGCTCGACTCTCTTTCTCCTTGATGGCTTTCTGCTCTTCTCGTATTTGTTTAACTCCGCCTGTGGATGCGGCGACCGCAGAATGGCTCGTCGATATCGTGCTTCGTGAGTCACCTTCATCAGTTAGTTCACGCGAAGGCGTGGTAAGATTATTCGGATCATGAGGAACACCAGCAGGGGAGAGAAGAATGAGTTTGTGCACGCGGGTGGGGTATCGCAATGCATAGGCAACACTGAAATAAGCGCCAAGCGAGTGTCCGATTAGCGTCATCTTCTCGAGGCCCATCTTTGTTCGCCACTCCTCCAGCGATTCAACGAAGAAGGACTCGGCTTCATGCACACGCCCGGAGATGTCATCTCGCTTTGCTTTGATGGTGAAGGGTACGCGGGCGGAACGGCCCATGCCCAGCCAGTCCACAGCAAATATGTCGGTACCGCGGTGACCCGCCCATTGTGCGAGTGCGGGGAAATTACGAAAAAAAAAGCCAAGACCTGCACCATATCCATGAAGGACTACAGCTGGGGGTGGTGCAGTTGGCGAAGGATTCGTGGACTTGATTGATAAGGTGTTTAGGAAGTGCTTCGGTGCCGCAAGTTGCACGCGCTCCCTGCGTGCAATGACGGGACTGTCATTGGTCGAGGAAGCCATTTGCTCTGGCTGGAAGAACGGAAGTCGCCTACCATGAGGTCATACGCACGCTTTCAATGCATGGGGGCATGTTGCATACCTGAGTAACCGCTCTTCGGACGCAGTACCCTGCTTGTCCCCAGCAGCCCACCTGGCTCGGATGATCAGGGTTAGACAGTAGCTTGTATTAGCTTTCCTTTCACTCACCAACTCTTCAAGCTCGCCGTGAATGTAACAGGTATATCCTTAGCCGGGGGAAGTGGGAGGAAAGCAGATGAAGTACTAGCTGGTATTGAAGCTGACATGACGCCTGCTTGTCTACGGAGGAGGTTTATCGCTGAAATGGTGAAAGGAGAATAACAGATTATTATGGAGAAGGGCTTGCGTGTGGTCTAATGTAATTATACTGTGAGGCAGTTGCCCTGCCGCTACCACGACGCGTCGAGAGCAATGACAAATGTCGTGGACCGGCTAGACCATATTTTAGACTCCGATTCTATTTATGACAATTGAACTCAATTCATAATCTAGCTTCATTCTCTCCAACGTCATGTACAACGGTATAGGATTAACCACTCCCCGTGGCAGGTGCGTTGCTTTCGGTCATAGTTGGATTCGTCATGCTGACTTCATGTCACAGCGGCACAAATGGCTATGTCATGCGTAATCTCTCGGCACTTCGTGTGCACGAGACAGCCGCAGATCGAGCTGCTGCCTGGGACGTAGCTCCCCCAAAGCATAGGGAACCGGACGAAGCTATTTTGGAACACGAGAGAAAGAGAAAAGTTGAAGTTAAATGTCTGGAGCTGCAATTGCAGCTAGAGGACGATGGGTGCGTAGCTTCAATGTTTGGATCAGCGATTCTGACATTCAGTTTAACAGTCTGGATGAAGGAACCATCGAAACGCGAGTTGACGAGCTTCGTACAACTTTGAACAAGGATTTAGCGTCACTCGCTCCGTCCGCGAAAAAATTGAAACCATCTGATACGCATGGTATTGCAGCTGCCAAAAAGGCTGAACTCGACAGAATGGCCCGAGCACTGGGCACGAGAAGTAACTACACGGAGGGCGATGCATTTGACCGAGAGAAGCAAGAAGAAAACAAGATGCGTCGTATGGTTGAGCGGGAGGAGCGCGAGAAGAAACGTGAGGAAGACAAGTTGAAATGGCTGGAGCAAAAGCAGAAGTGGGAGGCAGAAAAGAAGGAACGTGACCGCTTGCGTCGGAGGGAGGAAGATAGGATAAGGAGAGAGAAAGAGGAGAACGGCCGAAGGAAAGAGAGAATGCTTCCTCCCGTTCCTGCATTTAGGGATCGACCAAGAGATCATCGTGGAGAGCGTGACCGCAGGAGCCGAAGCCCCCGACGTGAAAGAGATGTTCGACGCCGCAGGTCACCTTCTCGATCTCCTCCGCCTCGTCGGCGTTCTCCGTCTCCTGTGCAATCCAAAAGGTCTCGTTCCCCCGACCGAGCAGGATATAGGCGTTCTGGATCTGTTACACCGCCGTCGAGGCGATCACCACTTCCCGTACTTTCCCATCGCTCGCGTGAGCGTTCAGAATCACCTCCTCGTCGTGGCCGTGATCGCTCAGGAACACCACCTCGCCGACGTGGGTGGGATAGGTCAGAATCTCCACCTCGGAAAGAACGCGACCTCTCACCACCTCCTCTTCGTAATGGAGGCGACCAAGATCGTGAAAGAAATGCCTCTCAATCACCGCGACCGACAGGACGTAGTCGCTCAGCTTCTTCGAATTCATCCATGTCTGTAAGCACGGGACGCAGCCGCTCCAGAGATTAAGATGCAGCGCTATCACCAGATTCGTATTTTGAAATCTGCTTTTCGCCCACTTTGCTTTTGCTTTGTATTTCAATTTGTACAAAATTTGTGCTGCGATCATCATGCATGTCGATTGATGTTCTTTTTCGAGTGCTTGTTGTAATGCTACTGGCTCAATTGTGCCCGTTGCCCTGTGACTCGGAATTACCGCTAAGCAGCCGGCTCCTTCCTGTGTCATAAATTATGGTAATTGTGTTGGACTGGACTACCAGAGTCAGACTCACAGGACTGCTCAGCAAATAATTCGTGTGACTGCTCCATGCACTCTACTGCGTGTTTGGCTCGTATGTCGAATTCTCTCCTAGTTACCCGGCTGCAAATTTTTGCTCGAGGCTCTAGGGCAGTATCCAGGCGGTATGCTTCAAATGTTGTGTCTGAGGTACGCCAGCCTATGTTTTTTTAACCTCTGTTTACAAAATGCAAAGAGATGTAGCTTCCAACATCCCCTAGCACACGCTACTTGAAGCCTATATATGACTTTTCTGCACATACACAATCCTCTGCGACCAAAAATACTATAGCGCTTGGCGATGAATACCTCCTTCCTGTCTACGCACGTCCTCCGTTCGTGCTTTCGCATGGACGTGGTAGCTGGGTCTGGGACGCAGATGGCCGAAAATTTCTTGATTTCAGCGCGGGCATCGCAGTGAATGCTTTAGGACATGCGGATCCAGGTGTCTCAGAGGTGAGTAATTTCTACATTTTAAACCCTCTTTTCCATTATGGATTAGAGCGTGTATTACGATGGGAACTTAGACTATACCATCATAGGTGCTCCAGCAGCAATCGTCAACCCTTCTCCATACCTCAAATGTATACTACAACGAGTGGGCGCCAAAGCTAGCGGAGCTTTTGGTGACGCTCACTGTCAAAGAAGGTGGACTAGGCTACGCCGTTGGCGGCACCTCACCGTCTTCTTCGGCCGCTAAGCAAGGGGCCAAGGTTTTCTTCTCCAACTCAGGCACCGAAGCGAATGAAGGTGCTCTGAAGATAGCTCGCAAAGTCGGAAAAGACCGCTGGGCCGCGGCCACTGGTGGAAAAGCGGACGATCCATCGTGTCCTAAAACGCGTATCGTGTGCTTTGAGAATTCTTTCCACGGTCGAAGTATGGGTGCTCTGAGTGTTACTTCGACGGAGAAGTACCAGATTCCTTTTCGACCGCTGATACCTGGGGTCAGCGTAGGCAAGCTCAATGATATGGAATGCCTGCATAGGCTCATCAATGATGATACCTGTGCGGTCATTGTCGAACCCATACAGGGAGAGGGAGGCGCCACTGCCGCAACAGAAGAATGGCTGAGGGCTCTGCGAAAACGCTGTGACGCGACAGGAACAGTGATGATCTTTGATGAGATTCAAGTTTGTTTTTACTTCGTAACATCCTCGCACACTGCCTCCTGATAGAATTGCATTGCAGTGCGGCCTGTACAGGTCGGGAAATCTTTGGGCACATTCAACGTTGCCGATTGATTGTCATCCTGATATCATCACGATGGCGAAACCGTTAGCCAACGGTTATCCAATTGGTGCCGTATTACTTCGTGATACCATTGCATCTACAATGACACCAGGTAAGAATGACAAATCATGAGAGTCGACTACAGCAGCTGACAGTTACTGGCAGGCACTCATGGGACAACGTTTGGAGGGTCACCCACGGCTTGTGCAGTTGGACATCATGTTCTGAACCGCCTAAGTGATCGTGTGTTCGTTACCCATATGAGGGAGATGAGCGTGTACCTGAACAGCCGGCTGGAAGTTTTGCCGAAATGGTTCTCAGCGATATTGCAGCCTCACGTGCGCGGTCGTGGTTTCATCCGAGGCCTTGGATTCAAAGATGTCTCACATCCTGGAGAAGTGGTGCAACTGGCACGGGAGCGTGGGGTGTTCCTGCTGACTGCTGGAAAAGATGCCGTACGTCTCGTGCCCTCTCTGAATGTCAACAAGGAAGAAGTGGATACAGCTATGGACGTGCTGGAAGGGTGCCTGTCATCTTTGCGGAGTTCATAAATAGTTACTTTGGTTACATTGCAGTGACTCATCTGAGACACGGTCACTAGTCTACATGGGATACGGTACATATCCTGGGACCGAGGGCTGAACACAAGAATTTCCATCATCAAAGAGCTGTGCTGATTTTGAATTTGATTCACTGTGCTGACATACATAGTGCTGAGCGAGCATGTCGGCAGCCGATATGCTCACCATTGAGGTATGCCGATAATGTAGTCTAGTAGCCGAATAGTGCATGATTTGGACCGACCGTATGACATCGTACGAGGCAAAGCAAATTCAATTCAAAGCGGTGTGACACGGTGAGTTTGGACGCAAGCGCTATTATGATGAATGTGTTGATCCCATGATTTGAGTAGCGTCTCTATGTTTGCAGATGGGAGTGCAGTGTACACTGGTAGAAAATCATTTCCACGTCGCAATACTGGCTTACAAAAGGGGAATAGCCACGTGATTCTCATCAGCCAATGGGCGCTTTCCTAATTTCCGATATAACGTTTCCATAAAGTTTCAAATCCCCGATATTCCATATTGTCCCGTCCGATTTGCACTCTTCACAAGTCTTGCTTGTAAGCCTACATATCTGTGCTAGTCTCCATCATCTGAGTCACTGACCGTTGATGTGCCATACCAGATTTCGCTATATATTCTGTGACTTTTTCTAGATCAAGTCCTCCCAGTACTTGAAGATGGAAAAGTTTTCTTCGCTGGCACGTTTCAAGAGTTCCTGCCCGTTTTTGGGCGGGACGAAGACTTCAACCCTTCGCGCCCTCAGTAGCACCATTTCCCCTAGATTCTCCTCGATTTCTCAGCTCACTGAGCGGGCCGCGAGTTGCCCCATCATGGGTCCTGCCCTGGTGATGCGCTCTACCCAAATGGTCGCTGGTTACGCCAGTGTTGCTGGTCAGGCCGATGTCCAGAAAATCCACCACAGCAAAGGTATCTTCCCCGGAACCAGTGTTTCCGAAGCGGATATTTCCAAATGCCCTCACGCATCCGCTGCTCGGGCTGCTGCTCGCATGGCGGACGATCTTGCTGCCGCATCTACTGCGAAGGCATCTGAAGTTAAAAAGGAAATCCCAAGCACGGCCCGAGAGGCCGCTGCTGCCGGATGCCCTTTCCATAGGGCCGCCGCTGCTGCCAAGGAACAACCCGTCAAATTGCCTGACATGACAGAGACACAGGCTACCCCTACCACTTCAGATGCGTACAACTATGACAAGTTTTATGCGGCCGAGCTCGAGAAGAAGCACAAGGATCAGTCCTACCGCTACTTCAACAACATTAACCGGCTTGCAACCAAATTTCCAATTGCACACACTGCGAGCGTCAAGGAAGAAGTCCAAGTCTGGTGCGCTAACGACTATTTGGGAATGGGAAATAATCCTGTCGTACTTGAAACCATGCAGTACGTATAGCCTCCGCAATCATATGATTTTGATCGCAAGCTAACGTTCTTCTGATGCAGTCGGGCATTAGACAAATACGGTGCAGGCGCTGGAGGCACTAGAAACATAGCTGGAAATAGTGCTATGCATCTCGGTCTCGAACGCGAGCTTGCTACCCTTCATCGCAAGGAGGCTGCGCTCGTATTTTCGTCTTGCTATGTTGCCAATGATGCAACTTTATCTACCCTCGGTTCCAAACTTCCTGGTTGCGTTTACTTCTCAGACGCTTCCAATCATGCATCCATGATACAGGGCATTCGGCACTCCGGTGCGAAAAAGGAGATTTTTAAACACAACGACTTGGACGACCTTGAGGCCAAACTGAAGAAGTATCCGAAGGAGACCCCTAAAATTATCGCATTTGAGAGTGTATACTCGATGTGTGGTAGCATCGGGCCTATCAAGGAAATCTGTGATCTTGCTGAGAAGTACGGCGCCCAAACTTTCCTTGATGAAGTCCACGCTGTTGGACTTTACGGGCCCCGCGGTGCGGGCGTTGCCGAGCATCTTGATTGGGAATCTCATCAGTTGGCCGGTCAAAGTTCTGAGCCGATCAAGGACAGCGTGATGGATCGTATTGACATGATTACTGGTTAGTCATACATATCTATCTGATGAGTTCGGCTTATCGTTGGCAGGTACACTCGGCAAGGCATATGGCGCTGTTGGTGGATACGTCGCGGGGTCTCGCGATTTCATCGACATGATTCGTTCATACGCACCTGGTTTCATTTTCACTACATCACTGCCTCCCGCCACAGTCGCTGGTGCTCGAGCTTCCGTCATTTACCAGAAGCACCATGTTGGTGATCGAGCATTGAAACAGGTTAATGTGCGCACTGTCAAGGAACGTTTTGCTGCTCTAGACATACCCGTCGTCCCCGGTCCATCTCACATCGTCCCAGTCTTGGTTGGTGATGCTGGCCTCACAAAAGCAGCCAGCGACAAACTTCTTCGTGAACACGGCATATACGTCCAGGCAATTAATTTCCCCACAGTTGCTGTGGGTGAAGAGCGCCTTCGGGTCACTGTCACTCCTCGCCACACTGCAGAGCAAATTGATGGGTTGATTACTGCAATGGATACAGTATTCACGGAGCTCAACATCAACCGGATCAGCGATTGGACAAAGTTGGGTGGACGTGCCAATGTTGGTACAGGCAAGGAAAACGTCGAACCCATCTGGAGTAACGCTCAGATTAACACCGCTGGACAATCACAAACGTTGCATGACGGAGACATGGTATTGGTTGACGCGAATGCAGCTCAGGTAGTTCGGAAGAGCTTCGAGGACCTTTTGGGACCTATGGAGTTGAGCGAGACGGAGAGCATTCAGAAGAAGGTGGAAGCTGTGGTGATGACCGGAGCTGTTGAGCACATTGCTGGGCCTCTGCCAAAGAAAGTGAAAGCACGGGCTCCCGTCAATCCAATTGACATGTCCGTGGCAACCACTATCGCAGTTTCGGCTTAATTAGTTATTGATAGACTGTCAAGTATGACCCAAATTCCAGTGTCAATGTGGTCGTCACCATCATTCTTGCTAGCGTTGTGCGCCTGTCTGCTGAAAGTAACATGAAGTCCGTAATCCTTGGACTGATGCTTCAAATCGTGCTACCACGCAACGTCAGAGTGACTTGGTCTCACTGTACATCCGACAGAGCATCCAGTAAGCTACGAGCTCTCATCACTTTGGTCGTGATATTGGACTCTCCATTCGAAAGATCAGTCGGTAGAACGGTTGACACTGGAGTCACAGGATCTGGTGTCTCCGAGGTAACTACAGAATTGCACATCTGTATCAGGTTCTAGAAAAGAGCATTACAAGACCATTCGTCAAACATGATGACCAAAACATACGTCTCGAATTCCCCCCTTCACATCTGCGAGATATTTGGTTACTAGGACAAAATACTTCTCAGGTATCTGGAGTAGAAAACTACGATCAGCCAACAAACAAACTCGCAGGAGAAATTCACCATTTCTTCCGACCACAATCTTTTAATTAGCCATATCTGCCTGGCTTTATTGAACTTCCAGTTTGGTGGATCCTCAAATCGTGCATATGCATACGACAATGCTGTAAATCATTCTATGATCGATAAACATACACGGAAATTTCGTAACATACCCTTCCGACTTTGATTAGACAGAGACTGGTCTACGCTAGGATCTGTGGAGGGCAAATCTGGTGGATGATTGCCTTTCTTTTTCTTGAGCGGTTTGCTATCAGGTGTTTCTTCCGACTGTTCTTCCGCCTTTCTTTTCATCTTCTTTATCTTCTTCTGTTGTGCCTTTTCTGAGGCAGCCTCTGGTGTTTGCACCTTGGTGTCGTTCGAGTGTGCGACCTGACCATCAATTGCGGCTTCCTCATACTTGCCTTCATTCGAGTCCTTAGGTTTCTTTTTCTTCTTCTTCTTACATTCGCCACTTTTGTCGTTCGACTGCTCATGCGTCACGTCCCCCGAGTGACTCTTGAGTTTCTTTTTCTGCTCTGTATCGCTTTTAGTTAAGTTTGGTAGCTGATCATTTTTGGATGGAACATTTCCTGCGGGGGATGCACTTGAAGGAGATAAGGGATAAATCGCGCTCTGAGAATCTCGTGTCGTAAAACCCGCTTGATCTTTTGGGGCGGTCATGGGCAACGCGTCACTGGTAGCTTCTCTATGCTTCCTCTTCTTCGACTTTACGCGTTCTCGACCTACATCCTTGGCATGAGAATCCTCGGACTTTGACTTTTTGTGTGAGTTGGGCGATACGCCCCCTACAGCTGTTACGGACATGCTGCACAGGACAGGACACGTCCAGGGATGATATCGGTAATGATGAAGTAAGAGCCTGGTCCAAGCCCTGAACTGTGATGCAAACTGGATGGAGTTGTGATTTCACGTGTGCACGTGATAAGGTCGCCAGCTAAACGCCCCAGTCTGGAAATGGTAGTTACACTAGTACTACTACTACAAAGCTACTGATTCCATGGGTCTTACAATATCTTCCCTTTTCACATCGTTGTCATCGCTGGTACGATGGAGCAAAGACCAAGATGTCCGTATACTCATGCTTGGCCTCGACTCGGCTGGAAAGGTATGTCCACTTGCGAATGTGATGTTATTCGGGTTCAAATGGACCGGTGTTTTTGTAGACGACAATCCTGTACCGATTGCAGGTGAGTAACATTGAAAAAATTCAGTGGAGGTTCATATAAATTTGCAGATTGGAGAAGTGGTTTCTACAATCCCGAGTGAGTATGTCATCATAGACTTATTGGGGTTTGGGGCTCACGAGGAACAACTCAGCAATCGGCTTTAATGTAGAGACCGTTCAGGTATGTTCCTGAAAAAAATATGCATCCAACTTTGTTGACAATGCTGTACAGTACAAAAACATTAAGTTCCAAGTATGGGACCTTGGAGGACAGTCTAGCATACGGTATGCACAACTCAATTTTCGTCAGCAATTTCCTGACTGGTGTTTGAAGGCCATATTGGCGATGTTATTTCCCAAACACATCTGCGATCATATACGTCATTGATTCTTCGGATCATGCACGGTTGACGACGTCACGGAGTGAACTGTTGACCATGCTTTCGGAAGATGAACTCAACGGCGTGCCACTCCTTGTATTCTGCAACAAGCAAGACGTCGAAGGTGCACTAAAACCCGAAGATATCAGCGAGCAACTTGGTCTTGCAGGTCGCGAGACGTCAAGACCATGGAGTGTGCGTGGAAGTTGTGCGACAGAGGGGCAAGGTCTAGAGGAAGGATTAGACTGGTCAGTGATGTGCCTTGTCCCATTCTGACGATATTGACATGTCCGAATGACAGGTTGGTGAATGCAATACAGAAAAAGTAGAATACGTGGCTGTCCTCGCACACGTACAACTTCATCGTCTCTTGCATATTTCTTTTGGTCGTCTTTGGACAATGGTATACCCATTGGTACAGCAAACATAATTACATTCGTCCCATAATTTGCGCTATAGATTTGGATTTTGTTTTATGAAAGATGACGGGGATCCTATCCCGGCGCACAATTCGGGGTTAAGAGACCCGTGCTACTACAAGAAGTAAAGCTTGATATCGTTAGATGCTAGAGTTTGGGAGTAGGCAGCGGAACTTATTGCACCCCTTGTTCTTTAGGCTCGGCAATAATGACTATAGTTTTCCATTGACCTTTTGTTGTCACTTCGTGGTGTTGCGTGGACCATATCATCGCCTCTATTGCCCTCAGAAGCAGCGAAGTGCGGTCTGCCATGGGGGTGAGTCATGTCACTAAATCCACCGATACTCAAGTACTTACACACTCCATCGGTATGCAGGCCTGGCATGCTTTTTTAGTGGTACACCAGAAAGGACATTTATCGGCACCGTCGCTAGCCTGAGCGTCAGTGGGGATGGCAGAGATTGACGGTGCTAAAATAGCAACGACGATGGGTGCGATTGCAGAGGAGAAACGCATTGTTTGTGATTTTAAGTTACAGTGTGATGTGAGGATAATTCTGAAAAACACGACTGGCTTTTATATGAATGATTATATTGTTCTTTCCTGCATACCTGGTACCAGTACCGGTGCGACCTTCACACATCAAGGATTTTACTAATTACAACGCGGGTATAAAGTGAGGTACACAGACTCTACACTTCTCAATACTCCATTGAATCCATCATTATGGTTAATCAATTTACTGCCAATGACACAGCCTCGCTCACTGAATCTGCCTCAACACGTTCAGATGTATAGTAATCTCTGCAGTCCATAGCGGACAATGCTTAGACGCGTGTAATCGCAAACGAAAAGGTCACCACCCATCAAACGTTTGGCTCAATACCACATCACAGGCTTAATCCTGAAAATATTTCTTTAATGGCAACAAACGAGATATGGTTCAGCGAACTTAAGTAGACCAAAACCATTCCCACTTTTGTTCCTCCGGGTTGGAAATACAGGTTTGATACCGCTCCAAATCAGGTCTCCAAATCCGTACTGTCCCGTCATCAGCACAGCTCGCAATCATGTCACTTGCCCAGTCGACTGCTCCAATTTCACCCGATTGTCCACGAAAACGGACTGTTTGGGAAATTGGTTCATCAGCTCTCCTGCCGTAAGATGGCGCGATTCTGCCTGCGTTGCTGACGTCAAAAAGAAACAAACTCCCAGCTCGGCTTGTGCTACCGCTTGCGAGCCATCGTCCACACGGAGAAGTAGCCAGTCGGACATAGAACGAGTTCGTTTGGAGGTTCGGGTGGGTCTCAGTGCGAAGCGGGGTTAGGGTAGGGTAAGAATAGATGTACAAACGAGAATCGGCGCCGAGAGCAAAGAGGAGGCCTGCACTGGGACCTGATCCCTGAGATATGCTTGTGATGCCTCTACAACGAGCACCATGAAATGTAGTTGGGTCCATGGTAGAAGAAAATAGCGGGTGGTATGATGGTTTTTTGGGGCTGCGCTTTGATGACTTGTCCGAAGGAAGGCGAAGGTCCCAGTAGTGTAAGATGCTGCAGGGTCGATTAACCACGCACTTCAAATGAAACGTAGAATATTTACCCATCAAAAGATCCGCTACTGACTAATCCGTGAGGTCGGTCATCAGGGTAGAGAATATTTGTGATGCCTCTGGGTAAAGGTCGGATCTTTTGTCTGCCTCCAGAAATTTTATCCTGTCCGTGAGCAGCGGTGATTGTGATTACAGCACTTCTTGCGGGGATTTCATCTTGATCGGATAAGTTGTTGACACGCAGGTCATACACGCAAAGCATTCCGTCCCTGCCGCCCGTAGTTAGAAGGTCTCGATGCGCTGGGTCCCACGCAACGCATTTTACAGTGCTGGCATGGCCATCAAGAATAGAAGTTAATTGTTGGGTCTCCACGGATGATATCCTGGTGCTTTTGTCTCCAGATGCCGTAGCGAGAAGAGTGTCGTCCGCATTCCATTTGACGTCAAAGATACCATTGTCATGGGGCTCGAGGGTCACCCGTGCAGGTTCTTGATTCAGGTCAGTATCGATCAGCGCCGAATTGACGTGATTGAGACCTACCACAGTCCCATTCTGTTCGTTTGGTGGTATCGAGAATGTTGACAGACCCTTGTTCCGTAGCAACGGCAAGAAGGGGTATGCCACCGCGTTTTGCTTCTGCATAAAATTTAATGGGAATATTATTTCAAAAAGGAATGCCATGCCATTGGAGTATGCACAGGCGTAAGGGGGTGTGACGAAAGAGTCGACTGTTCTTGAATGACATTTAAAAACATCCGATGTATGTGAGGACACAAATGACTGAAGAATGTTGCGAGATGGCACTAAAGTGGTTCCTCAGATAGGTATGCAGAGTAAAACTATTTGACTTACAAAGTACCCGATGTTCAGTAGGATAGCCATTGGAAGTCAGGCCCAACGTTCGAAACACTGTACGACGACAACTTCGTTTTTTGACGACAACATCAAATACGTCATTGCTAGACTCTGCATCTGCGAGTCTCGGCTTCTTGGTAGGCGTCTCGTCAGACTGTGATATACGGCGCTTTGGTTTTCCATCGTTTAGTGGTGTAGCTGGCGTTGGAAGTTGAGATGCGTGTAGGTGTAGGTTCTCCCGAACATTGGTAGTATCGAAGAGAATATCGCAGCGGGGAGCCTCAGGACTATCAAGCATATCTGATGAATTTTTTGGACGAGGTAAGTTAGGTAGGCGGTGGTGACAGACAGAACGACCGCGTTCTCCCACTGGCATAATCGCGCGTCGCGCTGCATCACGTGCTACGCGACTAACCACTTGCCGCATTTGGCCGAAAAAGTCGACTGCTCTCACTCCATGGAATTTCGGCTCTCTCGCGAATTATTCTTGCATTCTACCGTGTGGTTGTCTTCAACACCCACACCCTGACAAACTAATACAATGGCATTCAAAGCACCCATTCGTTCGATGGCGACTGCTGCCCGGCAGTCGTTGAAAATTGGCATGCTCCCAGCCGACGGAATTGGCAGGGAAGTTTTACCTGTTAGTATTGGAATTTTCCACTGGGGTAGATTAATAGACACGCCAGTCAGGGTGCGAAAGCCGCCATTTTGGCTCTTGGGTCGTCTGTACCGAAGACGGAGTTCATTGACTTACTCGCTGGTTTCGAGTACTTCACGAAGACAGGAACCGCACTTCCTGACGAGACTGTTGAGATATTGAAAAGTGAATGTGATTGCGCACTTTTTGGGGCTGTCAGGTATGCACTCGTCAACTAATGCATTAAGCTTAATACATGAATGAATGCTAGCTCTCCATCTCGAAAAGTAACTGGATATTCTTCACCAATCGTCGCACTTCGCAAAAAGATGGATCTATACGCCAATATCCGGCCAGTGAAATCAGTGTGTTCAGTTTGCTGCTCAATGCTACTCTGCTTGTCCATTTATGTATTTCTCCGCCAGGTTTCTGTCAATCCTGAAGGGAAGCCAGGTGTAGACCTTGTTGTCATTCGTGAAAACACCGAGTGCTTGGTAGTACCATTTTCGTGCGACATCTCTCTTCGACTTACAGGTGTAATAGTACATCAAGCAGGAAACCCAGACCATCGGAGAACACGGCAAGGAGGCGCGGGCTACTCGTCTCATCACAGAACGGGCTTCCCGTCGAATAGGCGAGCTGGCGTTCAAAATGGCGTTGGAGCGCCCTCGTAAGGTACTCAAACACTTATTGCTCAAAACACCTCCGCTGATGCATCAGCTTAGCACTTGACCGTGATCCACAAATCGAATGTCCTTTCTATTACTGATGGTCTGTTCCGCGAGACGGTTCGTGCAGTACCGACACTACCTGGTGTGGATGGCAAGTATGATGATGTGACAGTTGCCGAGCAACTTGTAGATAGCGCTGTGTACCGGTGCGTGAAATGTTTTGATTGTTAGCCTGCAATGACGTATTTTGTATTTCCAAGATTGTTTCGTGAGCCAGAGTAAGTCTCTCTTGGAAAGCTAAAATTGCGCCTTTAATTATTTCATAGAATTTATGATGTGATGGTTGCACCAAATCTCTATGGTGACATCCTTTCGTATGCCATTCATCACTCCTACTTTTACGCTGTTTAACTCGCTTGGTGCAGGGATGCCGCAGCAGCGTTAGTGGGGTCGCTTGGTCTGGTGCCTTCGGTCAATGCAGGGGATTTGTTCGTGATGGGGGAGCCGTAAGCAATTATATCTGCTAGGGTTCAGCTCATTGACTTTATATCACAGTGTGCACGGCTCTGCACCAGATATCGCTGGACAAAATATTGCAAACCCGTTGGCAGCCATTCGTTCAGCGGCGATGATGCTGCGTCATATTGGTTATGGTGATGGTGCGGATCGTATCGAAAGAGCGGTGGATTCTGTTCTGAGGGAAGGCAGGGTTCTGACACCTGATTTGGGTGGTAAGAGTAAGACGAGTGAGGTTGTGGACGAGGTGACCAAACGGATATAAGGATAATCATTTTCACGTGATGTCGTGTCCTATCTATCCCCCATTAGAAATTGGTTTATCGATCTACGCCATTTGGAAGTCTTCTATCGGATTCATTTGTTGGTTCATTATCCTCGAGTCTTTCATTTCTTGTCTTTACGCGTGTAAGTGCGTCACTAAACACGAGTCTTGCAATCTAAGTAGTTATTGTGGGGTAAGATGCCCAAGAATAACAAGAAGGGTAAGCAGAAGGAGGCTCCTGCTGCTCCTCCTGCTGCTCCTCCACCTGCTGCTCCCCTACCTCCTCCCCCGCCACTCGCGCTGCCTCCTCCCCGCATAATGACCATAGATACGATCGAGGAAGAGGAGGATGATTTTGGTGGACTCGGTGAGTCTTTTCTGCCATCCCTTATCCATCATGGTGGCCACAGGATTCTGAATGTTATCTCTCACGAAGGTGGTATGGAAGCTGGAGAGCTTAATGAGGATTCTTGGGAGCAAATGCATGACACCGGTGATGTGCAACAGGATCTAAATGGGTGGGCGTCCAACGATCCTCAAAATAGCAATGGAGACTGGGGCAGTGATGAGCAATGGGAGACGGGCGCTCCTCCCCAGGCACAGATGCCACCACAACCACCGCAGAAAGATGGTGGCAACACCAAGTCTCAAAAAAAGCAGCACCACCAATACCAGCACCATCAACAGCATCAACAACATCAACAACACCAACAACACCAGCAATCGCAAGATAACGATGGATGGGGTGGCGGCGGCGGAGCTTGGGAAGATGCTGGAGGAACGCCAGCACCAGCGAAAAAGCAGATTTCGAAAGGTGACTGGAGTCAAACCACTCAGCGCGCTATGCATGAGCCTGCCTGGAGTAATTGGGGCCACGAAGCTGGCTGGGAACAAGGCGGGGATACCTCGGAAGTAGAGGAAGAATCATGGTCCGCTGAGGATGACTCATGGGGTGCGCCAGCTACAGCCTGGCCTCAACAGCAGCCTACCCATGTACCACAGCCGTACGCTCAGAAGCAGTCTACCCATGCACCACAGGTGTATGCTCAGCGTCAACCGAGTCAGCAGAGCAGTTGGCAGACATGGGGCGAAGAGGCACAAAGATTACCCAAGGTGACTTTTTATTCCACTATTCACTCCACTTGGAGCATCACAGTCCCATCTCAGTCAATACAATACCGTTACTTAATGAGCCACAACAGAGTCAAAAGCCGTATGCCGCTGCCAACCCGCCCCCGGGTACTGGTGGCTATTTCCAACCGCAAGGCGCAAACAAACAAGTGTCTCAGCAGCAATCTGCTAATCCACAGTGGTCCCAACAACAGGCCGTCATGTCGGCGGCATTCCGCCAGCAACAAGAGCAAGCTTACGCTCTAGCTCAGGCCCAGAGTCAGCACAAGCAGTTGCAGCAGCAACAACATCACCATGTTCAGCAGCAACAGTCTGAAACTTACGCTTTAGCTCATGCGCAGAACCAGCATATGCAGCAACACTACCAGCACCAGAATCAGCCGCAACATAATGAAGTTTATACTTCAGCTCATGCAAATATACGCAGGCAGCTGCAACACCACCAGAACCCCAACCAACTGCAACACCATCAAAACCAGAACCAGCCGCAACACCATCATGACCCAAACCAACCGCAACGCTATCATGACCCGAACCAACCGCAACACCATCATGACCCGACCCGACAACAACACCATCATGACTTGGCCCAACCGCAACGCCACCATGACCCGAACCAACTGCAACACCACCATGACCCGAACCAACTGCAGCACCACCATGACCCGAACCAACTGCAACACCATCAGGACCCGAACCAGCCGCAACACGAGGGGAAGAAGAACAAGAAAGACAAAGAGAGCAAGCAGAGCAAGAAAGAGAGGAAGCGCCAGCAAAAGGAGCAGCAGCAACAGGAACAGCAACATGACAACGATGTCTGGGGTTTGGGCGAGGGCTGGCAAGATGCTGAAGACGATCCCGATGATCATGACGATCCATGGGGTCGACGAGTACATTTCTCGCCCTCTCGTACTGCTCCTTCCGTTGCTCCATCCACAGTAGTAGAAAACTTTACCGTTAACGCGTTTCCCCCAAATAAGCTCGGGTTGTCGTCATTCAGCAGCACGCCATCGAAAACACTTACTTACGCATACCATGGAACGGCGGCACCCATGGAAAATCGCCCAGCCCACAATAACACACAAGAATTTATCGAGTCTGAGGGAGCTGCAATAAGTCCTGTGGCAGGCGCCTTTTTCGGTCGAAATTCGCGCATGGCAAAGGACCGTTTTCACTGGATGTTCCCGCCTGACAAAGATGAGCGCGTCGCTTCTAAGTTGGCATGGATCCAGTCTGTATCATACGGACTGGGCTCTTTTGGGGTAAGTCGAATCTCCCTATGTGATTATTTGCTGTCTTAAAACCGACATTAAAGCTGCATAAGTTTTTGCAAACACGCGAGCGTGGTGCTCTCATAGTGAACGCTGATTATCGGCCTTCGAAGTCACCTAATCAACCAGCGTTTGATTGGTTAACATACCCGGAGTTACAGAGGACCATGGATCGTACTCTGCAAGAGTCGGTGGCCTTTTACGACCCCTCTGCGCTGGTGGTCGTATTCGTATTTCTCCCATCGAAGTCAGGCAATAGCCTGGCTATATGGCGCCGCAAAATTGCGGTGCCGAGTAGTGTGCGCCTAGCGTATCAGGCGCAGATAACCCAAGCCATAGGTTCTCTAAGCAGAGACTATCCTGTATACGTAGATGAGTATGTCGCACTGGCGATGTTGATCTTCGGTCAATTAACTTCTATGACAGGATACCTCCCCCAAAATCCGAACCTCCGAGTCCTCCTCCAAAGAAACGCAAGTGGTGGAAGTTATGGCTATCTACGTGAGCTTTTGTTTTGTACATATGTATACCTTTCTTGCATGGAACTTGTATTGGCCTTGGCCCGTTGGGCATTTTATACGCCGTGTCTTTCTAGCGTAGTATCAGTTGTATCAACTTGTATGATTGGTTTGCTTTCGTCGTCACAAATGTATCAATTTCACATATTCTATGGAGAGCTTTGGAAATATCCTCTGTCGTTGTTGTAATCAAAATCAAGATACGAATTTATTCGACCCGCAATCTCTAGTCCTCGGCATCGGGCGCAATTATGTCCAATGACATCCATCACTCCTTAGACCTTAGGTGTCACGTAGTTGATACTTACACTGCATCAAGTGGAGCATCGTTTCGCATCGTGAAAAACGCAAAAGTGACTTGGCAAAAACGCTCCATTGTTTCCTGACTTGCTACTGTAAACACAATTTGTCATCGAGCAGCAGACCAGAGATGTGTTTGTATGTATATATGATACAGTACAATGCACTCAGATATCGGTACACTATGAAATACATGTATCATACAATTATCCAGACTTCCTGAGTAGTTTATCACGACTCTTGAACCATTCCACGCTTCTCCCCACTGAGTGGGGTATGTGGTTGACGATTGTAGGTGGCTACCTCGACCCCTCCGACTGCGCTATGTGGAATTTAAGTGCAAGTCGGCGAAGCCTTTCTACACCGTGACCATCAATGGCGCTTGACGTAATGCCGTGGTGCAACTCTACTTCGTACATGAATGCGGCAACATCAGCTAGTGAAGTACCCAGTTGGGGGAGAAGTGCCAGGCATTCGCTGTAAGAAAACGACGTCAGCAATGGATGGTGATCACAGAATGACTGCAATTCCAGTTTCCGCTTGCCTGTTCAGCTTTCTCTCTTCAAGAAGCTGCTTCAGAGCGTTCCGCATCGTTATCTCTGACGCATCACGTTCCATGCGAAGCTGTTTGAGGCTGCGGCGCAGCTGAATGAGTTCTGATCTTGCAGCCTCAAGCGAGGCTGAGGTGCGATGTAATTCCACCTTCCGTGCGGCATTCTCAGTCGCAGAAGTCTTTAATTCCGTCCGCAAAGAAGTGGTTGTGGCCGAAAGTTCGTCCAACCTTCTGGAAAGAGTGGAAATATGTCTTTTAGATAGCAAATATGGCACTGCAACAAGCGGTGTCAAAAGCAACGCTAGCACTGTAAAATGGGTGATGGCTGGATATCTTTGGGAAAAGTTATTAGCTCGTGCGTCCAGCACGGCGTTTGTGGGTGCAGCAACAGTGTTGGTTTCAGTGTTTTCTGGCGGTCTGGCCTCCATATTATGAAGAGGAAGAGAAGCCTAACAAACCACTTTAAGTAGAAGCCGAGTGACCGTCACGGCTGAAGGCCTGAGATCGTAATTGAAGGCGGCCCGGCTTAGGTAATAGATGTACCGGTGTGGGCTTAGCGCCTCCTTGGCCTCGTTGAATTCTGCAGGCAAACGCGCGGTCATAAGACTCTGTTATCCAGTGTTGCGGACGTCTGCAGGCAATGCTGCATTTTCCTGGCTGATAACTTTCATACATTTGTCAGTCTTTATCTTACTGGATATCGCCCACGGCGCCTGGACCAATAGCCATACCAGCGGCTGCTTCGTGTGTTTCTCCAGATATGGCGTCCGGCACGCTTCCACTCGATCAACAAGCATTCGCTGGCTCTAAATTGGAGTTCACTCAAACTCAAGTCTCGCAAAATGAGGAGGAACAAGCGTTGGAGATTCATGAGGTCATTGAGCTTCAGGCATTCAGCGAGCGGAAAGCCTGGATAGAAGATAAAATTAAGGTGCGGATGTGTCATTCTTATCCCTATCTTCAAGTTAATTTTTCTTTGTTCCATAGTTCTTGGAGGCACTTTCGCCCGTCCAGGTTTTCGTCGGGCTGGGCGCTATACGAACCTCTGCAGAAGACATCCCTGGTTTACCCACGCGCGAACAGCTTCAGGAATGGCTTGCAGAACACGACAGGATTGAGAAAGAGACGGAAATTTTTGATTCTGGGGAGCTTAAGAAACTTAGGGCACTAACTAAAGGTATGGGCTTTCTGTTCTCCATCGAAATAAGTGCTGACGACGGTGCAAGCGGCTACACAGCGGCATCTGTCACCAGAAGATACTGATGTTATCGAACTCACCCTTACGACCATCTATGAACTCGACAAGCTCCTCCACCTTTTGCGGGACCGCTCCGAAAACCTTGATCTTTTGGGCATCAGGCTGACGTGGGAAGAGCAACGCCGCGCAGCTTGGAGTGACCGCCAGAAGATACTTGCAGACATCGAAAATTTCCTCACTACTCGTGCTAGATGGTCGCCTTCCATCTATGAATTCATGGTTAAACCTGAAGAAAAGCCTTCAAATCGTCGCGGCTCTGTCGCTTCCATGGCTTCAGATACGTCTATTACATCTAATGCTGGTTTCTCTCGCAGCGCCCGTTTCAAGCTTGCAGAACTTCTGTCACGGGATTCGGCACATTTTGCAGGCAGGGTGTCGTCTCTTAGGCACGGAAAGGTTGCTGCAGCCGGCAAAGCTCTGGACAAGTTGATAGACAACAGTCGCAGGGCCGTTCCTGAGGAGCTACTGGATGAGCAGGACAAACTCGAAGACAAAGGCATCAACGAGATGGAACACGTCGGCAAATTTGTCATGAATGTTGTTACACAATGGCGGAAGTAAGACTTCTGGTTTCCTAGAAGGTCGTTTCGCTAATTGCTAGTCAGAGCTGATGAAATCTACGTCGAGACAATGAAGGATGAGAACGCCGCCCGAAACCTTTTGGAAGAAATCGAGATCTCGAAGCTTTATCACCCGACGTACCGCCAGAGTACCAGCTTCCTTTCCCGTGCAGAGACACTGGTGAAACGGCTTGCTGTGAGGGGCAATCCTATTGCAAGTGGTGGCACCTTCCCGCGACCCCAACACGTTCTCTTTCCTGATCAACAGTCAGCTAATGAAGCCATCAGCCAAATCTTGTCCTCAGAACTTGCTTCCACTTCGGATCTCGTTGCCAAAGTTGATTCCCTTGCCAAGGAGTACAGAGTTGGTTATGAAGCTGTTAAGGATGTCGAGTCCTTGTCCCGGTCTGCTGATGAATTAATGTCAATCTTCAAGTCCGCCATTGATCGCCTCGAAAATGGAGTCGCTGGCAGTGATGGTGACGGCACCCCTCCTAGTCTCATGTCGGAAGATTGTTTGTATCCTACGGCGCATTCCGCATTCATCACTTTCCTACCATCAATCACTCAAGAGGTGGAGCAATCATGCACTCGAGCCGACCATCTACTGCAAGCCTTTCGGGTGGCACTTCTCAATGTGGAGCGACCCGGTATTGACCAAACATTCAAGGACAATGCTGCTGCTCAGGTTGAGGCTTTAGTTGCTGTTCGCGACAAGGCTGCTGCCATTTGCGCTGACGTGAACTCAAGACTCGGCAGACTCCGTGTAGCCAGGAGAGTTTGGTCGATCATGGATACTGTTCTCAATGAACTGGAGGACACACGCTTGGAGGTTGCCGACCTGATGGAGAGAGAAAGATGGAAACAGACCAGTCAAAGTGCAGAACCTTTGACCCCGGAGACGCCACCTCAATATGTCCTTCCTGCACCCTCAGTGTCGTCTAGCGACATAGTGGGTCGTTTAGAGGTTGTTCACCAGACCCTCACAAATGACGTGATGCATCCCCTGGCTACCTTAACTGAAATGCTCGAGAAACCCCTTGACGAATTCCTCTCTCGTACCTCTGAAGGATTATTTGGTCACTTGGACAATTTGAAGCAGATGGTCGTCCTCCTGGATGCTATTCAGGCACAATCTGCAGCTATGACCTCCTTTCAGGACAGCGTTCACGACCTCCAGGTTCGAGTTGAGGACCTCAAGATCCACTATGATGCCACTATCGAAGAAGTTCTCAATGACCAACTTTGTGGGGAAAGCTTGGGTAACGCGCAGGATCAACTAAAGGACGAGTCGGATGCACTCCGTAGTACTGCAGACGCATTTACGAACACCGTGGCTCAGCGGATACCATTCCTCTCTCAACATGTCTCTGATCAAAGGGACACACCTACCCTAGTTCGGAAAAGGTTTTCATCGACAGGGAACATAAGACCCATCGCATTCGATGTACCAGCCACCGTCGAACCTCCCTTTACGTTGCGCAGCCTCGATGACGCCGTCCGAAGAGACTCCAATTCGCTAGTCATGCGTCTCTTAGGAAATGTGCAAAGCCTCGAGCAGAAGACTGAACATCTTCAGCTGGCACGCATGGCTAAAGATGCTGATTCTGAATTGATCTCGGTAGCTGATGACCTGCGTGGTGTCACTGAAGAGCTTAGCTCGTTGAGAACACTACTGGACTCTATCTCTCGAGCAGATGAGAAGCTTACTCCGCTGCAAGATCTATCGGAGGAGCTCGACAGACATTCATCGCAACATCGTTCTCGCCTATCACGCCGCCTCTCACTGATCCGTGAATCATTGCGCCGAATGGAGTCCGTACCTTGTTCGCATGATCATCGTATCTACGAGACTCTCATCATGTCACGAAGAAGGGAGGTGGATAACCTTGAGGTCAAATTGAATACCTGGGCCGATGATGCAGCTATGTTTCGGGACAAGCTGTCGGTTGCGCTCACCACGGAGGCAAAACGTATCGAGGCAAAACTCAAAGAGGAACAAGAAGCGGAAGAGAGAAGGCGTCGGGTTGAACTCGAACGCATAGAGGCAGAGGCGAGAGCCAAAGAAGAGCAAGAGCGTATCGATGCGGAGGCCAAGGCCAAAGAAGAGGACGAACGCAGAGAGGCAGAGGCGAGAGCAAGAGAACAAGAACGCAGAGAGGCGGAGGCAAGAGTAAGAGAAGAAGAAGAAGAACGCAGGGAAGCGGAGGCGATAGTAAAAGAACAAGAACGCAGAGAGGCAGAGGCAAGAGCAAGAGAAGACGAAGAACGCAGAGAGGCGGAGGCAAGAGCAAGGGAAGAAGAAGAATGCAGAGAGGCTGAGGCAAGAGCAAGAGAAGACGAAGAGCTCAAAAAGGCGGAAATGCTAAGGATCGAGAAGGAGCTGCATGAACAACAGGCGCGGGAAGAGCGTTTGGAAGCCGAGCGACAGCAGGCCGAACGCAAACGTCTTGAAGCTGAGGCTCAAAGAAAGGCGAGCATTCAGCTACAGGAAACCGAACGTCATAAAAGAGATGAATCAGGACCATTTGAAGGTGAGGGGTCAGTCTTCGATGTTCACTGATAAGTTCTAATCATCCGCGTTAGACGTATTTGGGTTGCGAATTGCTCCTTCTCCATCACCGACGAAAACCCATCAGAAAGATGATCTGCTGGATAAGGTCGTCTCGTTGAGGAAACGACTTCGTTCTATCGGCATCAACGAGGTCGCACGTCCCACAGCTAACTCGAATTCTTCCAATCATCTACCAACTCTGGAGCAATATGGGAAGATGAATGCTCTCTTTGTGACCATAGTCTCTGAATTGTCCGAACTTGCTGCACTGCCTTCTTCGATGACATCCCCTGCTGCAGATATGGAGTTGCGATCGGTACATTCGGAAGTCAAAGCATCCACCGAATTGATGCAACGAATTCGACAATTGGCCGACCTATCTGATGTCGCCCATCGTTGCGATATGGCTCTTAGTGATCTGCTTGAGCACATTGACAGCTACCCTTCTCCTCCTGCTGGACCACTTTCTAGCACGCATGTCTCAACCTCTCGTTTACCCCCAGAGGAACAACTAAAAGCTCGGCTTGGTTTCACGAGGCGCACTGTTGCTCAAGTAACGGCATACATAAATTCGGTCGAGGATGATGCTCGTGCTAGTTCTGAACATCAACGCGTTCAGCAGACATGGGTCGAGTTGGAAGAAATGGCCAACGATAGGATCAGCGGCAGGAAATCCCGTCCTGCTAGTGTCCTCAGCTCTGGTAGGAATAGCAGTGCATCTGGTATCAGCTCTGGAGCGACTGGTCACACTAGGAAGGCCAGTGGTTATTCCAGTCTCTCAGTAAGAGGATCGGCGAATGGTCGTTTCCTAACTCCAGCCCATCCAAGCCCCCGCCGAGTAGCGTCTGGCGATTTGCAAACCCGATCCCGACCGTCCAGCAAACTTTCTATGCTATCTACCGCTAGCATGTCAAGATCAGTATCACTGGCAGGGCCGATGGCAACGCCTTCATCATCATCTTCTCTGCACGGTTCAACCTTTGCATCTCGTCAACGTACTGCTAGTCTCTCTGGTCATGCACCTCCCGGCACACCGACGAAACCACCTCCAGTTCCTACCCGTCCCCGGGCGCAGACACGTTCGAGAGCCTCCCCCACACCCTCTGAAGTTTCCGTCATCGCGCGATCCACCGCAAGTCACTCAAGGTCATCTTCATCCATGTCTACGTGGGCCCGCGCGCCGCGACAGTCATTCCCCACATCAAACAAAATCCAGACGCCCCCAAAGAAAACGCAGCCACAAACGCGAAAAACCTACGTTGCTAATCCCAAGAATAAGTTGGATGTCGCAGTTGGAGACGTTGTCAATAAATTACCCGTCAATATCAATATCGAGGTGGTTGCCGACACTTGGAAGGATCAAAGCGGGAAGTACTGGATTGGTGATCAAGAGCCAAAGCTATGCTTTTGTCGCATATTGCGCTCGCAGACTGTTATGGTGCGTGTTGGTGGTGGTTGGCAAGAATTATCAAAGTAAGCGCGCAGAGCTTAGCCTGATGATTTGCTAACATGATGTATAGGTTTATCAAAGATCACTTCGCAGATATGTTTCGTATCATACCTCCAGAGTCTCCTCCCAAATTCGGCTCTCCCCGCTTTGGATCTCGAGAAGAAAAGTGGATTAGCTCTGCGACTTTGCTTGAAGCGCCTGAAATTGTGACTACTCCTCCCCCTTGCACCCCCGAACCTAGAGGTCCTTTCCTTCCTTCCTTCACCATCTCGACTCCAGGAGCACATAGCTCACATTCAGTGAAGTCCACGCCATCATCGGGGTCTCCGTTGGCTCCGCTTCAATTTCTGAGGCGAGCGGATCCTGACGCAATGCGCCCAGTAACGCCGTCGAAACCACATCGACCTCGAAAAAGCATTCCTAACACCCCAGCTCGGCATAATCTATGGAGACCATGATAACTTACAGCTTTTTCTACTCGCATATTATTGGACTGACTCTACTCCCGATACCTTCCTCATCTACTCTTAATTAGACATTCGTGTTTCATGTATCAAACACAATTGCCGATACCACCAGTCACTCCGCTTTTTGCTATGTATTCGTTTTGTTGTTTAGGCTTTGTTGTTGGAACTACAGTAGTTTCCTTTTATGAACAATTTTAAATCAAAAGCAACCCCGGGCCTGGCCAGGGTTCACAGGCTCTGCTGTCACGGCGAAGCTTTGAAGCTTGCTTAGAAGAATAACTCGCACAACGAGGATGGATGCAGAGCTGCGATGTAACCGAATGACATGTCGCAAGGCTCTCATTGATAAAGCAGTGGTGGTGAGCCCATCACTTTCCTGTTCCGATTTTACCGTGACTGTCTACAACGATTTTTCCAGACAACATGTAGGCAGTCAGGCGTGATTTATTGTTTATGAATGACCGTTCTACACTAGGCTCGCATATATTCTGCGGTAAGATCTGATGAAGGCCGAACGATTCGGAGGGTTCACTGATTGAAAATGGCTCTTGCGGTTCCACTAGTCGACTGTGCAAACGAATTGTTTAATGCTTCGCGGTTATGCCCTGGTAAAAAGATCGTCTTTCTCGCATACTGCATTCTGATTGATATTCTAGCTTGTGAAACATCATTGACCGAGCCGTAAGTCACTTGTCCGAGTCAACATTGTAATTCAAGGCCAGTTCATCAACTGTAATGTCATAAAGAGACGATGTGGTTGTAAGTCACTTTGTATGTGTGCATCACTTTAGGTTTCTAATTATTTCCAGGTGTGCTCATTAAACCCGACTAATGACTACAAAACGGTGAATATATGCGCTCAATTCCTCATCAAACCCAAGCTCAATGTCGGTAGTCTGTTCTTTCGGGTCTCAGCCCGTCCTTAATCATGGAAATTTGCAGTCGGTGAGCGTTGTGTTTCTCACAAGCCCCCTCGGTACCTCTATCATCTAATATATCTGGTGGAGGGCTCTATCATTCTGGCAGTATCAGGTGCACCAAGAGAAGTACGTGCTATACTACTCATGGAGTAGGAGTATTGTACCAGTGTATTAGTTCATTCCAGCAAGCGGTCATCCGAAACCTCAATGACAAGCAAGCGCAATTGCAAAAGCAGCTAGACAATGTCATCAGAGAAGGTAATGCTCCTCCCGCGTTAGACTACCTTCACTCACAGCCTTCAGCGAATGGGGAAATCAATCTTCTGAGCAACAAGGTCGCAGGTATAGTGAACCGCCCCACTCACAGAATAGCATAGGCTTCAATTGTCTCAGAGTTGGAACGTGACATGGAACTGGAACGGCGAAAGGCGCACGAACTACAAGATTCTTTCAGAGAACGCGAGAAGGAGTATCAAAAACTCAAGGTTGCTCCGACAATTGCCTGGAGGGTTAGTATACTTACAACTGCGCCAGGCCCAATACGACAAAGCCAAGCGGAAGTCGTTACTTGCCCCAAGCACAGCTCCGCCAGGGCAGGGTGTTGGCATTGTGAATATGTTTGATCGACCTTCTCAAGATGATCATAATAAAGGTAGAGCTAGTATGGATCTTGGTGCAGTGATCGGTGGAATGGACGCGAATGGGGTAATACAGGATCCATACTTACAAGATCGACTTTGCCTAATACAGCTTCAGATACAAAGAACTCCGTTGGTTAATCGCACCATGGCTGGCCCTTTCGGGCCTCATCAAAGCGCCGCTTGGCCACAGCCTCCTCGCCCTCAGCAGCGCACCAATGCGGGCGGCCAACGACGACCTTTTTCTGTCAGCAACAACGATCATTCATACAGAACAAACACCACCTCAGAACGCTCCGATAGCGCCAACGAGGTTGAGAACATGCTCATCCCACACTTCAATCGTTCAAAAGTTCCTCCGCCACCCGGTGGTTCCAGTTGGGGCGGGCCAAGCTCATCCGCTAGACCTCGTCCTGCCCAGCAGCATCGTGAGTTGCCCGCTGCTTGAATTTTATCTGTCCTAACATGACATCGATCTCGCAGAGTTCAATAGCAACCAGGCCGTCAAACATGGATTCAGACCTGCAAGGTAAATGTCGACACAGTAAGAGTCTATTTCTATTCCGATTCCGACAGTAGTGTAATTCTGAAAACAAATAATACATGTATCATATAGACGAATCAGAGCGCTGTATCGCATGAAGGTATAAAATGTGCGAGTGAAAACAACAAAGCATAAATGAGCACCGTTCAGATCAAACATAACGAAATGATGGATTAGTCATAACGTAAAGTTCCATTCTTATCGTCTTCGAGATATTGTCCGATAGCAAGGATATCCTGGCCTGCCCTACGGAGATACCCTGCCAGGACGTTTTTATCGGCCTTCGGGAGCAGTGCAGCAAGCTTGTCCACCTGACGTGCGAATTCGTCTCCATCCGTGGGTGACCCGCGTTCGGAATATGTGTTGCGGCCACTGAGTTGCGACGGTCGATGTATAACAACTGTGCTTGATCGGTGGTGACCCAAGCCATTCGACGGGGACTGAGGGGATAGGACTATGGTGTGGGACCTTTGCATACGATTAGGGGGTGCGCGCGGACCCCCTGGCACAGATGGAGAATTCGAAATAGTCACCGGTCGCGGATTCGGCTCCTGTCGCGGTGGACTTTTAGACAGCGCCCTCCCAATTACTGGAGCTATCAATGCTACACCCTTATCTTTCTTAAGACTTGTTTTCCGTCCCAAAGACGCGAGGAAGCTTCCAGGAGACTTGTTCGATGAAGTGGGGGAAGTCAGCGAGCGACTAGAGGATGAAGATGAGCTGGCAATGATAGTGGATGCCCTACTTGACCCATTGCGTGGCGCTGAGGCAAGTGCTGGGTATGGAAGCGCAGGAGGTGCATTGGGGGGACTGGAGTCATCGGAGGGAGGTGTCGACAGATCCGTGGCTAAGTATGCGTCTGGACGTCTTGGAAAAGTAACCTCGGAGCCAGTCGAGGACTCTGAGATATTACGGGTTTGGGTACGGGGAGAATGTGTTGAAGGAACACGAGGATTCGTTTTCGCAGGAGCACGCTTTGGGGGATTTGCAGCTAATCATGTTGTAAGCGCATGTATGCATGGAGGGTTAATGTAACTCTCACCTTTGTATCTTGTCTCTACAATCCAATCGCCTAATCCACAATCATACAAATAAAGTTCATTAATCTTCTGCGCATATCCCACCGACCGATCAAGGGCATTCTTCTTCACAATCACATCTGCAAAATGCATACTTGGTGGCCACGCAGACTTGATCTTCTGAACTGGAGGTAATGCTTTTGGCACTGAATGAGCTACGAACGATGGCGACGGCGTCCTCGAAGACCTGTTGATTTCTGTAGAAGGCTGGATGGGCGACATCTGCGAGGGCGTGCGCGGAAGAGACGAAAACCGCTTGATACTAAGCGCACTTCTAACTCGTAAGTCTGAAGGCTGAGGCTCGTTCTTTGCCGGCAGCGGCGGAAGCACTTCAGGTTTACTCTCATTCTCAACGATATCATTGACATCTAGTGGTGGGGTGGGTGTTAAGGAGATGCGTCGAATGTCGAGACCAGATCGGTTGCCTCGATTCTCGTTGTGCCGTAAGGGCTCAAGAACAGTCGGGGGAGGAACGTCAGATGAACGGATTATACCCATGTCATCAATTGCGTGTCCGACGGTAGCAACAAGGTCATCAATAGACTCATGGCGGGGAAGAGAAACAATCGTTCGATCTGGGGACACAGCCAGACTTGGGTTTGAGTCTGAGGTGCAAAAGCGTGAGGGAGGGAAAGCGCCTTCACGGATATGAGCTGGCGTCTGGGGAAGTTCAGACTCCCTTTTCTCCTTGTCCGAGGTATTGTGGCTGTATGAGGGTCATTTGATATAGGGGCAGAAACACAAAAGAGAATAGCGCACTGAGACTTTGACTCATCTGACCGGGGTTCAGAGGTTACTGGTTGCAAGGGACCCAGCCCCAAAGGGCTAGTACTCAAAGTCGGAGCAAGCTCCTTCACTGCTTCCGAAGGCGAGGAATTGGCACTGGTGGTCGCTCCGCGTTCCTCCTTGGGCTGCGCAAGAGGTCTTCGCGTTTTGAGTGCAGCTGCGACAGAAGGAGGCAGAGCCAATGCTTGCTTCACAGCATCTATATCACCTTTCTTCTTCAATGGCTGATGCCGAGGTGGTCTAGGTGGAGGCGGCGCACTGGGATCAATACTGAAGACAGACATGGGGGGAGGAGGAAGCGGTCCTGCTTTTGCATGCAGACCAGGCTGGTAGTGCAAGTATGGAGTAGCAGGTGTGGCTGTAGATGTCTTGGGTGGTAGGCTCATAATGTGCTTCCCAATATTCGGTGTGGGCGATTCGGGGAAGATATTGACAATGACTGGACCAGCCACATGGTCGCCAATACTATTACTCTCCCCCATGCGTGGCGTCACCTCAGGAGCGGGCATGGGACTTGTTGAAGGAGACAGAGTTTCTTTCAGCTCCTTGATAGGGCTTACACTAGGGAAGAGCGCGTCTTTCCTCTGTCTACTCTTGGGAGGCGCAGTGGAACTCCCTGAATCAGATGTCTCGGGTGTCCCAGGGGAAGGTGAACGGGATTGGGGCGTTTGGAATAGGGGTGGCTTGAGTACTTCTGTGACAGGGGACGAATAGCCCTGGCGTGATGGTTTCGTTGAAAGAGATATTGTGCCTATGACAGCCACTTCGCGGGATGACTTCCTGGTGTGCCCCGTAACTCGTCCAGAGACTGTGACTGTCTCTGACGATGAGCGTACGTGAGAGGGTGCAGTGCTCGAAGTGGGTTTTGGTTGGATAGACGGAGGCTGGACAGGCGAAGCGAGTGAATGGGTAAAACCAAAGATTTGTGGCGATGCATCCGCTGGTGCAACAAGTGCGAGACCACCTAGCTGTGTCTCACGACCTCGTTGGGGATATAAGTCGTTCGAAGAAGTGCTCGCGTAGGAATCACCCTTCGGGTATTCGCCAACATGTGTGCTCATCTCAACGATGGCAATCCGTCGTCTGTCTGCGCTACCTTCGGATGGTACGCTTTGGCGGCGCGCTAGCCCTCCGTTTGAACCGAGTGGGGAGGCAGGCCGCGTTTGAGGAGGTTTATACGCGCTCGGAGCAGTTGTACGCGCCTTTGAGGACTCAGAAGTGTAAGCGGAGGAAGAAGATTGGGTAGCAATGGATGTTGACGAAATTGAACGAGAGTGAAAAGCAACAGGAGAAACAAAGGTGGATGAAGGAGCTGAACTGGGAGCTAGACTGCTGACGTCTGACATTGCTCCATTAACCGCAGCAGTCTTGTAATACGATAAAATCGCCTCGGTATCCCCGGTGGGAGCTGACTGCAACTTTGATCGCCCTAGTACTTTAGTTTGGTCTAATTCAGTTACTACAAAGTCAAGCGGGTTACTAGGGATTACGAACTGACCTGAAGGCAGATCGGTTCCGGTGAGCGCTACCATCATTGTGATAACGACTGTGACGGTATCAGAGAGCGTTAAGTTTATCAACACGTTCCTTTTAACAAGGATCCTTGATCTGGTCACACGAAGAGAACCTAAATTTACGGTAAGGAGGATGTTGTTGTTGTCTGGGATCCATTGGGTTACTGGCTGGCCTGTCTTTTATTGATCTTTTTTGTGGCAGAGCTTGCACTGGCTTCGGAAGCTCGAATCACGTTAGTGGTTTCATGACTAGCTCCATCGATATTCGGACCATTTCTCTAGTACAGCTCCTACAGCTCCAGTCGCGTGTCGACACGCGTACGAAGACGGTGAACAACCCATGGCGGCTGTTTTATTAACTTGGAGATCATTTGTGACCACAGTGGACCGCTGCGCAGAATTTCGGGAATTCAGATCGAACACTGCTCTTCACCGGTGGGCACTTTCAGCCTTGTCACAGCTTCAAGTGTACTGCGGGTCGAAAAACTGACACTTTCTTGGCATTCTCTTGACAGAGAACCCTTTTAACATGCTTGTACTACCCAACACCATCATATGAACTTGTCTTGTCGGCTCCAGTGGGTGCTTTATCGATCCTTATCAACAATGGCCATCACAAAGGCGTCTCTTGTTCCACCTATTCGAAGCCACATCGAGAAGCTGTATATCGCCCATGGATGAAGGTGGTTCCGCTAGTTCCTCCCCTTGAGGCTTGTTCATGGGATCACACGCACCGCACGCGTGTCATTAATGCAAACCAGTACCCTCATGTCTAGAGAAGTTGTCGAACGTACAAAGTTGGTTCGTTCAACGTCTTCCTGAGTGCTGTAGAAAAATTGATATGACATCGCTTGAGCAGGGAGATCCATCCAATAGATTGCCCTTCACAGTGCGATAAGTCCGAGTCGCTACAGCTTTTCGGGACGCCGTTTATAGACTACCAATAAACAGAACCCTGATGACGCGAAAGCGATGTGCTTCTTGGTGCCGTGCAATATCCAGCCTTTTCACAGAATTTAACGCAGGCCCCTATCGACTATCCAGTGCACTATAATGTTATGGCCTACAAACGAGATATCACAGAAGCCTCGGTTACAAACGGGAGTCTGTAACTACCATGTCATTCTGGGGTGTTGTTGACCAGTGAGACTTGGTACGTGATTTGGCAATCAAAGGGAGCTCCGTGTTTATGAATACAATGAACCGCCGAGTCGGAAACGCCTGAGAGCAAGCTGAGGTAACCCAGAACAAATCCAGAACATGTACAATGTGGTGTCATGCCGCATGTTCATGTCATATGAGCAACTCGTGTTCTCGCAGATTACAGCCGACCAGCAATGATATCACAGCAACCGATTGGGTTTAGGGACGTTTTTTGCACATGATCAATCTTAAATTTAACTTCGGCATAGAGGACGTGGCAGGTCTTGTGTGCCCACTCATCATTTATAACATTAGATTCACATAATGTAAATTTGTCTAGACTCTGAGCCCGAGTCACGAGGAAAACGGTCACGTGAGCATATTGTCAGACGCGTCAAGTTGATTTTTGAACGAAACGAGGCAAACTCCTGCATCTATACTTCCTCCATAATTGCTCGCTGCGTCGAGCTAACATCTTTTATCGCGACCGTACACAGTGACAATCATCCAATTTGTTTATATACAGTCTGACAGTCCCTAATCGACAAGCCATGGTTGCCGCTGGCTCCATCACTGTTGCAGGTGAGCTTCTTTGATAACGTGCTTCTCATGATTTAATGTCATCTAGTCCGTGTCAGACCTCCCACAACATGGGAAGCTGCGCGTCTCCCAGAGGTCTCTTACGATACCACAATTCGCGGCGATGGTACCCTTGCAACACCAGGAAGACTTGTAACTCAAGCACCCCTTCGCGACATCGTGCAAATCGTCGATGACCGCATCCTTACATTTGACCCAGAGGAGAGAGATAAGACACGTGCATTTGTTGAGCGCGGGTTTGTGCCCCCTGGAACAAAGAGATACAAGGACAAGAGATTCATGTTTGATCGAGTATTCGACAGTGGGGCGAGACAGGGTGACGTCTACGAAGCCACCGCGAAGCCACTATTAAATGGCCTTCTAGACGGCTACAATGCTACCGTATTTGCTTACGGGGTTTGTGCATTTCTTTGAAGGCTCTCGGGTAGCTTTTGACGATGCTCCATAGGCAACAGGATGTGGTAAAACACACACCATCAGCGGGACTGAAGGAGATCCTGGGATCATCTACCTCACAATGGCGGACCTCTTCCAACGCATCGAGGATCGAAAAGATGACTGGAACATAGAAGTCGTTGCTACTTTTCTTGAAATCTACAACGAAGAGATCCGAGATCTACTCGCCGAGCCTGGCATGCCCACGCCGCGTGGCGGTCTGCAAATCCGCGAAGACAAATCTGTTAAGGTCGTGGGCCTCGTCGAGCTACGTCCCACAAGCGCAGAGGAAGTTAAACAGATTGTTCTTCAGGGTAACTCGCGGAGGACACAATCCCCAACCCATGCGAATGAGACATCGTCCCGATCACACGCAGTCCTCCAAGTGCATGTCACTCAAGCGCCTCGTACGGCTTCTCTGACTGAGCAGCGTACCATGGCGACACTTTCCATTATTGATCTTGCTGGTAGTGAGCGTGCTGCAGCAACGAGCAATATGGGACAGCGCATGGTTGAAGGTGCTAATATCAACAAGTCACTTCTCGCGCTCGGAAACTGCATCAATGCGCTCTGTGAAAGTGGTGGCGCTATCCGCCATGTGCCTTATCGTAATAGCAAACTTACTCGACTGCTAAAGTTTTCACTTGGTGGGAACTGTAAGACCGTCATGGTCGTTTGTATTGCCCCTACGTCACAGCACTTCGATGACACGCATAACACCCTCCTTTATGCCGAACGTGCTACGAAAATCAAGACCAAGGTCGTCACTCGTAATGTCGTCAACGTCGACAGACACGTAGGCCAATACGTCGAGGCTATCAACAGACTGAACCTCGAAGTTTCCGAGCTCAAAGCCAAGCTTTCTGGGAAGCTCGGCGCTGAGAATGACGTTCTCAAGCGCAAGAGAGCAGAGGCTGCTGCTGAAGTTGACCGCTCTAAACGAGATATGCAAGAAAAGATGGAACAGACTCAGTCGAGCATAGTTGAGGGCGCGTCGTGTGCTGGAAAGATCTCGGTAGCAGAGATGAAACTCTCCATTATCCGCTCTCGGCTTGCGCAGATTGATGCAATGGCCTCATCATCTCTCCCGCTTACTTCAGACCTCGAAGCGGAGCGTGCCCTTCTTAAAGCTCTCGCTCGCCTTGAGGAATCCGTAGTAACTCCCGATTCCCCTCTCGTAACTCATCTCACGCGGTCTCAAAATTCCCGTAACATGTTTGAGGCGACCTTGCGCGCAGTCTCCGAGCGACGGTCCGATAAACTAGAGGAGCTGCACGTCGACTGCATCAAGACAGACGCACGCTGCCGCAAGGCAGAGATTGAGCGCGTACGAGCCGAAAGAGAACGTGATGCAGTCCGGGAGTCGGTGCGCACCCAATCGGAGATGATCATCAGCCTCCTGGGTATGGTGGGTCGGTGTACGGTTGTACTAGGAGAGACAGCTTGTTCTCTAGAAGCACAACATGGCTTTGAAGGAATGGCATCTGCACTTCGCAGTGTAGTACAGAAAAATGATGATGCATTCGCAGCCCTGGTAGGACAAACCACGGCGGCGTATGTAGCTCATGGAACGAGTGCTCTTAATACATTCCGCGTACCATCAGGTTCGGCACTACCGCAGGCTGTCAAAGCTTCCAGAAAGTCTATGTCTTACAACGCTATCGCTTCACCTTCACGGCGGACATACAAGTCACCGCGACGCTCCCTGCGTTCCAGTATCGGTCAACCCTACCGTCGCGTCTCTGACAAGGAGAAAGAGAAGAAGGTTGTCCAGTGGAAAGATGAAGCCGGACAAGGTGCACTGGATGATAGGGGAAACCCATCTCCTCCAGTCATTCTCGTTACGTCCAGCGATAGCAGCGAAAGTGTCAATGGACGTTGTCATTCGGCTGCTGGGTCTGAGAATGAATGGGAAGACGAGCGGACAGAAGACAGTCTCAACCTGAGCAACAACATGCTTCCCGGATCATCATCATCCTCATCGTCGGCAAGGTTAAATTCCATGAGCCTTCACTCGAGCACAAGCAAGCGCCCGCGGGCAAGCCGCCTGGATCCGAGCTTTCTCAAAGTGAAAAGCGCATCTTCCCTTGGCTGTCTTCAGGAGGCGGACGAAGACTCACCAATGCGACGTGCATCACCACTTTCAAATCGCAGTATGAATAGTCAAGATATAGAATCTCTACACATTCCGAAATACAAGGATTGCGATACTAGCCCAACACGACGCCTTCCCACATCAACCTCTCGTTCGACGACACAGTCCAAAAGCTCTCGACGGCGCTCGAATATTGGTCCTGTGCGCAGCGAGAAGGCAAGGAGACGATCTAGTATGATCCTCCAGCCATCTGGAGAAGATGCTCTATTGCACGAGCCCACGAGTGGGCCCAGACGCGTAGAAACGATCGGGCGTTCACCTGCGAAGAGGCCAAAAAGACTTTCACTCCTTGCCAATGCATCAAGGTCCTTGCGGGTGAAGGGACCCAATGTGATGGCAACCCTCCCGGTATCCACCAGCGATACGAGTGCTAATATCAGCGCGGACCTGAGTATTTTGCCTGGGGTATCTTCAAAGCCTACATGGAGATAAGTAACCTGCATTTTTTCTGTTCATGAGATGCAGAGGCGGTGCCTCCCTGTAATTTTTTTTGTGTACTACACAACATCGCTCTTTATACTATCATGATGAATATGACGAATCTCGCATTCCTACTATACTCGCTATGTTTCGCTATACCCATGTTGTCTCATTCCTCGCATTTTGTCAAAGGGTCCATATTGCACTTGCATATCCTCCCTGCATGCTACTGGCTATCATCATGTTACTTTACATCGATCTATGTATACCTGCTATTTTGTTGTTTGTATAATCAAAGTTGTCCTGTCAGGCACACTGGAATATTTTTTCAGTACTTGAGAAATGTCCATATAGCAAGCTACGTGGATGACGATGGTTGATCAGTTATGCCGTGATATTGTTAGGTGTCAGCATCATGGGTTCTGCGACCACAAAAAGCGTGCTGAAAATCGTCCAATA